CCGAATTTATTCACCGCCGTTGTCCGTTTTAAACAACAATAATCAACAACGGCGATCAAATAGTATCGTTCGTTCAGATGTAAAAATATTTGTAAATTTACGAAAATAATATGTTTAATCTTCGCTTACTGTTCGCGAATTCCGTTAAACATTATTATGTGAACTGTCATGTTAACTAGTTCTGGTTATGTTAAGTAGTTCCGGATAATTTTTATTTAGTAAACACCTCGGTGACTTTCGCGTAAAAATTTTTTGACGATTGACGGTCTGTGCATATGCCATTTTAGTATGGACATACGATCAATAGTCTACGAGTTCTGTATTATTATTTCCTCGTTGGCCGTCGGAGACAAAATATTTATTATTTACAAGACATAATATCGGTCGGAAGTTAATAATAGTAATTGTAAAATCTGGAATCCGATAAACAAAAATACACCAAAATCCCAGTCTATGCAAATTACAAACATCCATATAGCATTAAGATATTTGTGCATACGGATACTCAGATACCTACTATATTTTTGTTATTTTTCCTAAAACATACTACAGTCGCCCGACGCTTAACAGGAAAAAATTAGTCCAACCAAGTCAACAAATATGGTCGTTTGGTCTTATTCGTCGATTAAATGGCAAATAATTATGTATTCATATAGCGTTAGATAGTGGAGGCGCTTCTAGTCTACACTGGCCTTGGCGTATGGACGCAAATTATATTGCTTTAAAAAGAACAAAATTCTTTTCAAAACTTACTGAAAAAAAAAAAAAAAAGACCCGATACTTTTGTTTAATAACTAATAGGTTCATTTAAGAAAAAAAAGTGATCATTTCGATAATAGGTTATTACGCTGTTTTTGTGACGATCGAGAAACGGTTGTAACGGACAACATTTTTCGCCGGTTTGTGAAACGAGAATATAATTATTTTACACGATTCGATCTGCTCATAAATAATTAAGCTCAGTTATACGGGGGAAAAAAAACTAACTGTTTTTTTTTAGATACGGCGGCCGACTTAGAATACGTAAGTGACTAATATAAGTAACTCGATGACATTTATATTTCCATTAATGCAATGTAGCCTTGAGATATTATATTTTTTTGGTCGGATAGTTATTATCGTATTTAGTTCCGAAAATGTCTTTTCTCCCGCAATCGTTTTATTTCAAATACACGTCAGCCGGTAAGATTCACACGATAAACTATTATATACAATCAATTCCGTTACAAAAATAATCAGATTATTTTGGTAAAATACAAACGTTTATAGTTTATTTACCATACTATTGCTGCAAGCTGTCTATTTTGTTTGATTTACCAATAAACATTTCGGGATAAACGCAATAGCTGTGTTTTGATTCGAGGAGATTGTTTTACCTCCTCCCCCTCCCACTAGCAATAAAACCGAGTTTACGAGCAAAAAAAATAAAACACGAGATCCCGTCACTAGAGTTGAATTTTCCCCCAACTGACTTGTTACCATTATAATATTTCAGTTTTTTTTTTTTTTTTTTTTTTGCAGTGTGTATATATAATGATAAGAAATTGAACAAAAAAGTAATATCAAAAAAGATGAAGTAGTTCTCGAGATTTTCACTAGCACACAAACTGGCGGTATAGTCGGGGATTTGAAGTTCAAACTGGTCGTTTGTCATTCAAGTTCATTTGAAGGCACATACTCGACAGCAATTTTATTTATATAATATACACATTTTAACCAAGTCACTTACTTTCATAAGTCAGTGCGGATATTTAAAACCAGCTATTTTCTGTGAAAACATTAAATATGAGCATACGAATGGTTGGAGACGGTGTTGAAAGTTAAAACCCCCAAAAGCCACAAACTTACATACTCACACCGTGCACATATACAAACTTTCATTCCCCCGATTTTATTTATAGGGTCTGTAGAGTCCGTAGGGGTGAACAAAGCTAAAGGAAAACACCCACTCCCCGTAACAATATTATAAAGTTCATATTGAAATTCAACCAAAGCGTTATCACTTCAAACGCCTATAAAAAAAGAAAAAAAACACCTCTAATTACCGAGTTTGAGCTCTTTCGGTCCAGAGGGAACAGCTATAAATGTCTAAGTGTACAGAGAAAAAGACACTGTATAACACATAAAATACGGTATACAATAGTCTCTATTTTCGGGGAAGATAAGAGGATTTAGAACGAAAAACCTCGGTTTACCGTGAAATAATAAAACTTATAAAACGCCCCGCGAATACAGAGTCGGAAGTTCATCGCGGACGGTTCAGTGTAATAATTATTTTTTACAATAATGATTATTGAAACACTATCGTCGTGTTTTTCGGATCCCGCCGTTTCGTTTCTATTGCGAATTTAAGTATAGTAAATACTTGTATCCATATTGCACCATTACATATAATATTTGTCTAGGCGAATATCTACAGGTTCGCCCTCTGTGGTGCAGTCGGTACGCGCACGTTTTCCGATCGTTTCGTATAATTATTAATTATATTTACTCGGCCATAAAATACCGTAATCGTTTTTGTTCCGCAGACTGTATGTATCGCGTGTAGGTATACGCAAACAACACGAACTGTATATAATACGTTTGCTAACAGCGTTGCTCCTTCTTTCCGCGTTAACGCTCCGTTTTCTATAAATTATATTGTACGGTAAAAAAAAAAAAATGAAAAAAATGAAAAAAAATGCCTATAAAACGCTTTTTTCTCGCGCGACAACTTCCCCCACACGGTATTAACGATGCCGCCCGTAATAATATATTATATTATTATTGTATGGAATACATTGTGCCGGCCCGTAAACGCGCTCCAAGTATACCTGTAAATGTACGCTCCTGGAATACAAATATATGCGTACAAAAAAGATAAGGACGCGTAATTCGCACGATGGGTGGGCCACTGTTGTAGATGAGAAATTGGGAAGATGGTAGAGGGAAAATGTTATGTATACGCAACGGTAAACCATTGTTAACGAAAAAACGATTCTGAGCGGAGTTCGGTTAATAGTGTTGCTTTGTCAAGCAATATATATATATATGTATACATTAAAAACTGTCTTTAATAAAATATTTTTTTCTAATATTATTGTACCCATTTTCCCGGTTTTCCAATGTTTTTTTTCCAAAAAATACATTTCTCTTAAAATACTTTTCTCCTTCGTTCATATACGACCGCGTTTATAATAGAACTTCGAGAAAATATATAATAAAAATCGGTGGCACGTTAATTATTTATCGGGGAAATGAAAATATATGTCCAGCCGTTTATTATGGATCCGATGTTATTGGATTTCGATATCACCCGTAATATTTAACCACCCCGTCTAGACGCGTCTGCGTTAAAGATACACTGACAAGCTGTTTTTATCCCTGGGTAAAATCGCTCTAGGTTATTTTCACCCCTACTTATTTATAGGGGTGAATATATTCTGGAATAGATTTACTCCCTGTAAAAATATACGTATAACGTATTCTTACCTCCGGTAAATATAGGTACTCTACGTATTCATTAATATTACGCACCGGGGGGAGTAAGTACATTAGTGTCTTCCCAAATCGCCGAATCCCGTTTTGCCGACAAATAACCCGGTTTTATAAGGTCTTAAAAATCTTCCCATTTCACAGACATGTGAATCTGTAATATTATCATTTTTAATTGAAATATTATTGTTGCAATAAAAAAAATTATTGCTATAGAAATTCCGGCGCCGCAATCGCGGCATGGCCTAAAGTAAATATATAAATTTAGTATTATCGAAAATACAAACACCCGATAGGCTGATGTTCAAAAGAATTGTTCTTATTATTTTCGTAATTTAAGTTTAGTGCAGTTTTACAGTTAAGTTCAGTGACAGCATACAATTAACAAACGACTTAAAAATGGATCGCGAATAGTTTAAAATTAAATCACAGAAAGACAGCGATTTATTAATCGTACAAATTGTATACACCGTCAAGAAAAGGCATTAAACGGAATATTATAAATGCATTGACAATTGCGGAGGTCGAGCTATTAGAAAAAAAAAAAAAAAAACAATGCAATATTATCAAAAGCTAACAACCATCCAACACATTGATTATAATTAGCTAGTCGTGGCTTTCGTAACAAATTAAAGGTAAGTACAAACTTAACAACTTGTAGTAGGTAGTTTTAGATTTTAGGCGTAAAATGATGAAATAAAATTGTTGACCCGTAATTTGTAAAATTTGATTTTTCACCGTTTTCAATTTTCAAAATTATTATACAATTTATTCTACCTTCTCATCTTTCCATCTACAATTTGAATAATCATTTTAAGTTTGAATTTAATAAAAATCGTAAAAGTCACAATATATATGTCAAATAATTTTGTATATAATAATTTAAAACAAAAATATTTTAAGGAGGATATTGCAACGCATCCTACAAAACCTGTACCACAAGCCTTAAATGAAATGAGGAGAAAAATAATGGGATTGTGGAATACAAGGTTCTGAAGTCTGAAATCTAAAGTCGAAGACGCTTTACCAGTATTTAGTAGCGTGAAAAGTTCAATGTATAGAACCAAAATAAAAAATATTCCTACTCTACCGTCAAAATTGTGTGATTTAGTTAACGAAGGGGAATGACGTTTTATAATAGCTAAAACTTGATAATAGTTAATTATGCAGACACAGAAAATTGTTTTTAAATTAATTTTGTCAATTATAAGATCATCTAAAGGCGATTACGATAAAATTATAATGTTTGGAACTGAGGGATTTTTAAAAAGACTGTGCGACAGTAACATTATTTTCATGGATAATACATTTAAATCAGCTCCCAAATTGTTTTTACAAATATATACTTTGCACTGCTTTGTAATGGTCATTATGGTTCCAATGGTGGAATTAAATATATTTAATAATAATATTAATTGCAACACATTCGAGTACAAATTTCTATTTTTAAATTGTAATGTTTTAGTACTCATCCAATTTAGGTTTATGCGTTCTTATCAAATAAAATTACAAATACATATTCACGAATGTTTAAATCAATAAAAGAAGCAGCATTAAGGGATGATTTATTATTTCAATCAAAAACGATCGAAATTGATTTTGAAATCGGTATGATTGTGGCTATTAAGAAATTATTTGGTTACCAGACTGAAATAAAAAGCGGTCTCTTTCATTTCGGACAATCAATACGGAGACAAATACAAAAAGTCGGTCTAGCGCAAGAATGTTCTCACGATGCTGAAATTAAAAAAACAATTCGTAGGATCACTGCACTAGCATTAGTGCCTATTTAACAGACGACTGTTGGGAAACTATTCGTGGTGAAGCTCCAATGAATGAAAGTAAATTGTTGAAAATGTCATAAAGTAATACAATTTTATTGAAATCGTGTTATTTTTCACACAAATTTGGTGAAATTAATGAATTATTTTTTAGATATATACTTAAATTCCAATATATGTCTGTTTGACCGTAAAATACGGAATCATTTTATTACGGATAAGACTATAGCCACTAACCATTTATAAGGGTGGCATGCAGCTTTAAAACACGCAATTAGTAGGCCAAATCCAATTATTTTCGTTTTGCTAAATGGAATTGAAAATCAACAACAGAATTTCGAGTTAGACATTTTAACACGAAAAAAATAAAATCGAAAACCAAAATCAAAGGTTAAATTTAGAAAATTGGAAGAATGACTAACAAATGCTGAACAAAAGTATGTTAAATCTCTTAACAATATTATATCAAATCATATTCTTGTAATTTACTTTTAGTTTTTAATCACTTATACTCTTACTTATTTTAAGTTAAACGATAACCAAAACACGACTATCGAATATAAAGATATAATCAAATGCCATGTGCATGTAGTATCCAACCAATAATATTTAATTTTTTTTTCTTCTTGACATATGTTTTTTAGTATAATTTTTTGTTTGTCTAGAATTATAATTTTTCAATTAGTGTTTTTTTAATTTTGTTCAAAATTAATTGAAGATACATGTTTTTGTTTAAGTTCGAGTAATTTAAGAAAACTAGTGTAAACGAAAAAGGAAACAAGTTCTGTTAACGGTCGCATCCAAAAACCGCACAAATATGATTTCAATACCAAACATGTCGACAGACCAAAAACCGCACACTTTATCGGTCGCCAGGTAGGTACATTGTATAGCCAAATACCGCACACTTATAATGGGTAAAAACCGCACTTTAATGTCTTTGGCGTGGATGCGCGTTGTATTTATAATTTTAAGTTAATCTGTTACCTACAAATATTTGTATACTTGTAGGATGATATGCTCTATTCGTTAGTTGGGTATTTCGTATAAACTTGCAATAAAACTGATGATAAAATATTAAACCAATACTAAATATTTATCCAGTACAGTCGACTGAAACGTGTATTAACGTAACTCGATATGCATGTAGTTTTTAGCGTTTTAGTAGGTTCATATCTTAATTTTTTCAATATATAAATTGTACGTAAATAATTTTTTTTTTTTAATACGTGTATTAATAATAAATAACAGATTATATATCATTATAAAATGTGCGGTTTCTAGATAAGTACAACAGTTTTAAAAAGCGCGCGGTTCTAACCTACCAAAAATGTAGGTCATGGGTAAGTATTAACAAAAGAAAATGTTGTCGGCAAAATGGGAGTCGGCGATATGGGAACGAACCAGTAAATTTTCTGTCGTAATGTCCCAGGTGAAAATGCACTGGGGGGGAGTAAATATGGCCCACGTTATTCTTAAGTCGTCGGCGAAAATTGCACGCACGAGGGGCTTTATATTTTCTACTTGATCCTTACGTCCGCGGTCTAAATGCACTGTAACAATAAGGGTAAATAAATCCTGCGTTGTTGTAACCTCCGCGATAAAAGTTTCTCGACCGGGGTAAATGCGTCATGTGTTTTGGTAATATTATGTTATTCTTACGTCTTTGTAAGAAGTCAAACGCCGTTTTTCGCGTTTAAATCTCTCCGCCAGTGACGGCGGCTCGAAGTGTATTCACCTCGAATCGCCGATACAAATTGTCCACTCAACCACCTTAACCGGAGAATACCCCCGCCCTACCGCTAACGTATTGGAATCCGTTGAGTTTCACCAAGATCTGTCAAATTTATCGAATTTCCGCCGTCAAAAATCTGTTTCAACGGATCGTTTCCCAAAAAATCGTAATCGTTTTCGTAGTGTTTCCGAACGCCCGCGACTCGCCCGCGCGGTTTTTCGCGAACCCCGTGATTCGAGTACACTGTCCCACCGAGCCGCCACTGCCCACCGCCATGCGATTACGCCCTCTCCACCCTCCTCCCCCCGTTACCGACGTTGTAATATATGTATGCGTTCACGAACCGAGAACGCGACGTGCGCATCATAACATTGCGCAAGTTCATTACTGTGTGTTTACACACGTCGGGGGACTCCTTGTCGCGTTATTATTCCGTCTCGCGGTTGCCGTTGTAAAACCCCGGGGAGAAAAAACAAAAAATAAAAACGATCCGGAGCTCACCGCGTGCAGCCCGAGGAGGTCGCAATAACGATATTACCGTGGCAATATTGTCGGGCGTATCCGACGCCGCCCGACAGACTCCTCGGTCGACTCGACCCCGCGGAGCCCGCACAAAAAGTCCTGCGGCATTGCGTAATGCGTCGCCGTGATGTCGTCATTCTTATCCGCGGGTATTTTACCGATAAAAATAATTTACCAATTTTCGATTGTTGTTAACGCATGTTATCGTGGTTTTCTGCGATCAATGGCTCACCGGGTGCCCGAAAATCGCGGGCAATAAAAGGGGCGGGAAGTAAAAATTAAAAAAAAAAAAAAAAAAAAAACCCGATGATAATAATTGGAAATATCGAATCGGCGACGCGACATAATACAATAACAATAATAACTATTACGTTTTTGTACCTACGCGTTACGTGCGCGATTATTGTGCATTTTATCGAACAATAAAATAAATAATAATAATAAAAAAAAAAAATATATACGGGAAAAAAAAATGCGTCGACCTAACCTCGGCGGCGGCTCGTTTCGAACGCGTTTCTGGCGCTAACGCGCGCGCGCCACCACCGCCGTCTGTTTCGCTGCGCTCTCCGCTCACGTCCCGTCCCTTCCCCGTCCTGTCCCGAACCGCACGCGACCGAAACAATACGCGCTGCACGCGTACAATAATATAGCCGGCCCCCTCACCACTCCTCACCCGCCGTTTGTAGAGTCACCGCGCGATTGCGGGCGATACGCGCCGCGCGCGTGTAAATAGTGCAAGGCAAATTTGTTTATCTAGAAAATTTTTACACATTCGGAAGGTCTTTTTTTCTATTATTATTATTATTATTATTTTTTTTTTTTTTTTTCCCATTGTATTCCGTCGACAAAACAAAAACGCGCGGAGGAGGGATACGCGCGCTAAAACAATAAAGCCGCTAAAGCTCTCGCGATCGCGTCGCCGCCGCCGTCGCCGCTGCCGCCGTCGTCGTCGTCGCCGTATCCGTCCGTAGATCGCAGTCAAAAGTGCGCGCGCGTGTTGGACCGACGCCGAAAAAAATCCGCACCACCGCACCACCCGACTGCACCAACGTCGCCACCACACGACCGCCGCCGCCGTCACTGTCGATCCGCGTCCGAGCACCGTGTCCGCGGCAGACGATGGACCCGGGTTGCTACCGTAATACGGCCGGTCGTCGTAGGATCGCGCGGACCGCGAACCGGACGTCTTCGCCGTCGCGTCGTTGACTCCGCCGTGCCCCGTCCCTTCGCCCGCTGCGCACAAGCGGATGCGTTACCGGAGCGTCGACGAGCGCGTAACGACGTCTCCGTCCGACCCTTGGCCCGACGACCGCAACCGCCGCGATGACGGTCAGCTACCAGTCCAAGGTGTCGTCGTCCAGCAGCACCGGGTTCACCAAACTGCTGTTCCTGTGGCGGGGCAGCCTGTACCAGGTTCTGCACAGGGAGCTGCTGCTGTTCATGTTGGCGTTCGGCCTCCTCAGCGCCATGTACCGGAACGTTTTCAACGAACCGCAGAAAGAGTACGTCACGTTGTTAAAAATCGAAAGTGTTTCGAGTACGAGTCCGACTTACGGATTTTAGATTTACGCCGTCAGCGCGGATTTCAAACAGTAATTTTCCTCCTCCCCTTCACGTCGGTAAAAAAAAATAAAAAAAAACAAAACTAAATCCAGTTTTATCGGGATCGGTTCTGTCGAATCGTTCAATTGTATCGTTTTGTTCGTTTTAATTACGTTTTATTCGTATTACGTCGGGAACGGAGCCGAGGTTCGACAAGACCGGTTCGGGCCGAGAGAGAGAGAGAGAGAGAGAGCGTCTCCGAAACGGACGTAAAATCTAGAACGTATGCACGATAGAAATATTTGAAATTCGGATGAAAAAAAGTTGTTCTAGGATAATGGGGACGGGTGGAGCTACTGTTGAAGTTGCGAAGTTGGGAAGGTAGGGTACAGACGAAAACCGTATGTGTATCTTTAAGCAATGATTAACGTTTGCTAACGAAAACCCGATTCTGAGCGGAGTTCGGGCGTACACGTTTTGAATAGTCAAAATATTTACGATTTTCGTTAAAATTCGATTTTGAAACTTGTAAAAAATAAAATTACTACATCATATTATTGACCACAAAATGCGACTTATAATGTAGCTATACCTATTTTACCGTTCGCTCGGTTTTCCCGTGTTTTTTCCCGGTTTTTTTCCATTTATTTGGAAGACTCCTGGGAAAATCAAAAAAATGACCTTACAGTACCTCACCAGTCCGATTTCAGAAAAAGTGTATCACTGTAAATCGGAGCGAGATTTCCGGTAGGATTTCCGAATCTAATAAACCTAAATATATTCGTGTAGGCTATAAAGGCGGGAATTTTCGCGCGACCGTCGGAAAATTCCTGTTACGAATCCGGGGGGGAGGGGGGTGCGTTTTTTCACGCCACACGAATATTGTTCGTGTGTACGAAAATCGAACGTAAAGTGGCCGATTCGGTATTTTGCAACTGCGTTCGTGTACGGAAACTCATCGTGCGTACGAATGTACGGTTGACTTCCCGGTCGGAATCGCTGTACATTTGAATCGACCGTGTGAAATTCGACCGTACGGTGCGTACCGCGGACCCGGTCCCGAGGAGCCCGTCGATCGTTTCGTTTTGTGTTTATCGATTTTCATTAAATTTTCATTATATTGTCTTACGAACCGTTCGGTAAGCGGTCGCACGCGTACATTTTACGTATTATGCGCGCACAATGTCGATCGTCAACGTATTACGCGAGCTCATCGCGCAGTACAATTTTCGATCCGGCCACTTTGTTCCGCGCGAGTTGAAAACGTGATAAAGAAAAACACGGAGCTTCGTAGCACGCGAAAATAAAGATATTACAAACGGGAAAAACCATTGTGACGTGCCGTCGCGAAGCGCGGGACGGGACGCTACGAGTGGGAAACCGTAAACGACAGTGTACCTATAGGTAACGGGACACCCGGTATAACAATACAATGCCTTCCGCCCGACGATATTGTTGTCGGATGCGTATAAATCGTGCCACAAGTGTGAGTTGTCGCCGATACCGTTCGGCGCGCATAAATCTTCCGGCCGCGATTACGCCGGGGCGCCCCCCGCGGCACGACTCGTACGAGCCCGCGTTGTTTGAACGCCGCAGTGTCCGTTTAAAAACGGACAAGCGAAAATTACCGACTACCGGCGATCGGTCGCGATCGGCGTTTTGACAACGCGGGGTTTTTTTTTTTTTTTTTTCAAAACCGATATTTGTCGACGACACGAAAACGTCTATAACCGTGCAGCAGCGTTTTTCAAGGGGGTCGTGAACTCCATTAAAAAAAAAAATAATAATAATACGTACCACCTAACCATATAATTAGAAAAATGAAGAAGTTATAGTTTGTACTATAATTAAAATATTTTATTATATAATATATAGCTGTGTAATATAATATAATTTATTAAATAGAATAATACATTTAATATAATTATGATGTGGTAGTTTTTATTATAGGGAGGGGGGGGGGTCGTGTGGACTAAAAATTTTCAACGCGAATTGAACACATATTATGTTGAAGCGTAAACAACTTTACTGATTTAAAACAATTTGAAATGTATTGGTTTGAGTAAGATCGTTGGTCGGTCGTTTGTTATCGGCTTTACTGTTATTTCTACAATTAAAACTAACATTAAACAATTTGGTACACATATTTGTATTTTGGGGGACACGCTATTTTAGGCCCCGGTAGAGACTGTGCACGAATGTACAATATCACGGGAATATGGAAAAAAGCGTTAAAAAATTTAAAAAAAATATCGGTTCGCCGCTAAGAAATTACATTGCTCAGAACATTATCCTTATCGCGGGTGTCATGGTGATTGAAAAACATATATTATAGTAGTGGAGGAAATATTTTTTAGAATATTTTCATCGACGGCAACGTTTCGTGAATTTTTTTGCTATAGAAAATACATTATGTAGAACAATAACGTATTACAGCCACGTTAGTTTATTTTTAATTTTTTTTTTTTTCGAGTGAAGTAAAGAAAATATTTCAGGTTTTACTAAAACGTATTTTTCGTTTCTATGGAAAACACTTTTCCGATTAGGTACTAAAAATAATCCAATTTTTTTTCCACGCAGTACCTTACTACCACGAGAGTTGCGGACTATTCGTCCGTTCATGGGTATTTTGTTTGAAAAACCTATCTACATCGCTAGCAATAGTTTTTTTATTTTTTTTTTCGATAAAAATCTATAAAAAAAAAAAAACCCCCGACAGCAAAATAGACGATACATCGGTTTTATGTTTGTGGATCACAGCGATTACTGAGGATGGAGTGAGATGGAGGACAAGGTTTATCATATTATATAACCTTTGAATAGTTTTTCGATTGCAACGATTCATCGTCGTTTTCAGCAAATAAACTAAATCACCGCCTTGCGTATACCTTCAAAACTTCCCGTCTTCAACAGTGATGGCCACAGTAAAAGCGGGTATCGCTTCCTCTTAACGGTCGCCAGTGTACGTTTTCATTTAATTTTTGTCGCCACTCGTTTTACGTTAAAGGCGTATGGCTTTTTATACCTCGAGTGACGGGGATGTGGTGACCGAGTTTTTTCCTTTTGCTTGTTTTTTTTTGCTTATTCCGTAACAAAATGTAAGAGCATTTTTTTCAAGCGCGTCGGGACGACAAAATTCTAAATACGCTCGCCCGTGTCCTGCGCCTATTGTCCGTATTCGAAAACACTCCGCGTACATTATAATAATCGGTAATGACGTATCGACGCGGAGAAAAAAAAACCGCTAATAAAACAACACTGTTAAACGTTTAATATACATAACGATGATAATAACGATAATAATATACGTTTACGCCGGACGAGACGCCGACGGCCGAAATAATAATATAATAATATGGAATTGCCGCTCGGTAAATATTTAATGAACGTTGTTTTATGCGTCCGAGCATAAAAAAAAAATAATTATTTATAAATACGGGTACAGTTCGGCAGCAGAAGATACTAGTGTACGGGGGAATAATCCGTCGATAATAGAAATGGATTTTATTGTCGAAACGCACGGACCGCGGTACATTGTATTATGTAGTGTGTGTGTGTGTGTGTGTGTGTGTGTGTGTGCAGCACAATCGCTTTCCTCATTGTGTTCCGGGCGAGTAAAGTTTCTCTTGTTCCGGGCACGTATTACGTACGCGCGTGTACAAAATCTCGTTGTACGAAAAATTTGAATCGCACGCACGATACACCTGCGAGTGTACGGCGCCGCGTATGTATGGGTATTAAACGCGCGCGTGTTGTAAAACAAAAAAAAAAAAAAAAAATAAAACGATCACAATGAAATAATATATAGGCGGGTGTATTATTACTATAATAATAATAATAATAATTAACGTATTTCAAACCGTCGGACGGCTCGTATTATTCAATGATCTATGGACAAGTGCTGCGGTTTTATTCACGCGAGTTAACGCTATAACCCGCCTATCGTATGGTTATCGTATCGTGTATATACCTGATTTTTTTTTGTTCGTAATAACGTTCGGATTTCCATAAAAAAAATTTAAAAAATACCAGTTTAACAGCTTCGCGAAACGAAGTTCGCCGGTAATGCGGATCGAAAATGTCCCCGATCGGGATGAATTTGTTCCCGGGGACATTTCAATCCGTTATCGTATCATTGGACGATGGGCAATTCGATCAGTTTCGGGAAAAAAATCAACTTTTCCCACCGGATCGGATTGTCCCCCGGCGACAATTTTACCATGGCCCGGCGGCGTATCGCCGAGAAAAGACAATTTTAATTTGTTTAGAATTTGACGGGATTAAAAAATTTAATTTTCTAACGAATCAAACCGTGCCGTTATCGATTTAACCTTTTCATTTATAAATTCTCAGCGCGTGGCGCCGTAAAATTGTTTTACATCATAAAACTGCTGTGTAATATTTTCCGATGATTAACTATTATGTAGTTCAACAGTTGATTTTTATTTTTTTTTTCATTATTTAATTATAAATTTGACATTTTTTGTCGTACAGTATAATTAATTAAACTCTAACTCGGTTTTCGACTTGACGACAGTAATATTTTTGTTAACTTTTTGACTCAACTTGATCAATTTAATTATCATTTCTCCTTTGCATTAACTATTATTGTTTATTTGTCCTCCTCATTTGATCTATCCGAATCCGACACTATTAATATACGTCCTATTATTATCCAAATTCTTTTATATTTTCTTAAATTCTACAGTTACACGTGTTACCGTGTTGAAATAATAAACTTCGGCGTTCGACCATTACAAATAAAGTAGGATTTCCTTGAAGCCATTAATTTTCCTAACGATTCAATCGTTTAAACCGAATCCTATACGCATCAGACGTTTTGTATTTCCGTGTGCATTGTTCCAGTCAGTAATAATTGAGTATCGATAGTTTCCGGAAAAAGAATGTAAATGTTTGAACCTAAAGGTTATTCTTTTTTAAAAATACAACGAAAGATGTTTTATTTTCGAGTCAAAGTACAACGAAATAGCTATAATGTATTTTTACAGAGATATTTTTTTTTCTTTTTTCTTTCTCCGGAAACACTTTTACGGTTATTAAAAAAATACACCGATTTATTCATGTCGTAAATCAAAAAATAAGGAATTCACACACGGCGATACTTTATTTAAAATATTTATCGAAATGTTTAGTAGTTCTTCATCCCCTAGATGCTTTTATCGGTGTTTGATTTTTGTTGATATCAGGGTAACCTTGGCAACAAGCGAAAAAAACACGACTTTTAATCCTTTTTCGTTTTTAATTATTCATCGTTTGCCTTTGCATACAGTATTTAACAAAACTACCCTGATATATATCCGACCTTCCCGATTATATACTTACAACAGTGGCCTACTCGTGAACATGAACAGCTTTTTAAATTATCGCATTATTTCGCAAAAAATAATCGGCACGTTTAAACAATAGATGCTTATCGATAATTATCTACTCATCTTGAGTTTGAAATTTAAAAATATTTTATAGATGCTGAATGATGAGTTTGGCTATGTAGTTGTCGAATATTGGTGAAAGGGGATAAACAAAATCAAACTTGACTAAATAAACGGTTTTTGTTTTCAGTATTGTAATTTTGTTTTTTATATGGAATAAGCAAGAAATTATACAAACATATGGATTTTCTTGTTCTTGTAACACATTATATATGGTAAAATGTATTTTTAACTCGATAAAAATTCCATTAAAAACTAACATCGACAATTTTACAAACTATATTATTATATTATTATACATTCGTATTATAATATTATTTTGTAGACGTGGTTAATCCCCGTATAAACTCAAACATCATATTCTACTTTGATCTTTTATTTTTGAAACTAACTCTGGTAAACTTTACATTATTTATTGACATAACGTTGGTATACAAATAATCAATCCATTTTGCTGCAGCGCAGTGTGCAGAAGTTTCTATGTATGTTTTTTAATAATAACTATCGTGATATGTTTTACCCTTGTTTTATAATTAGCTAATTACGTATAAACAAAGTTCAACTTGTATATCCCGTAAAAAGTATTATATATTGTAGTTCTATACGGAAAAAAAAATAACTTTCATTCCAAAGTGAACGATTAATTTTAAAAAATCCGGACATACTCGCACCGTCGCGGTCGGTAAGTCACCATGAAGTATTAGTAGAAAGTATGTAGGATATAATATAATTTGGTATACGTACTGAACGCAATGATAAATCATTAAAAAAAAAAAACGATTCTCAGCGAAACTCTGTTTACTGGCAAGATTATTTGAACGAGTTTTTTTTTAAGTTTATCCCCTTGCATTCAACCCAGAAATGACGGAAATCAACAAAAAAAATTGTCATTTTTAGTTCAAAAAACTGTTGAAAATTTAAAAAATTTTCAAACAAAGTATCATCGAAGGATTGAAAATCCGCATCTGTTGGGGAGCGACATGAAAAAATTGAGCCATTTTACTTATACAATCACAACTAACTATAATGAATCAGAATATAATGTACTCGTACACATAAACATATAAAAGAATAACTTTTCGGAGTATACTTAAAAAAAAAATTAAATAATTCTTGAACATGCTAATCACAAATACACGAAATTTCTAAATAACCAAAACATAGTTAGATACCGATATAAATCTTTGGAATCGTTCAAATGATCAAATAAATTAAATTCAATATACCAACCAGTGGCGGCTTAAAGTATTTTTACCTTGAATTACCGATTTAATTTTCCACCCACCCATGCCGACTCAAAATACCCCCACCCTATCACAAATGTATTGAAATTTAACAAATCCCAATAAAGCTCGTCAAATTTATCAATTTTCCTTAGTCTAAAATTTTTTTAATACATTTTATTTTGTAAAAACATTATATTTTTTGTCATATTACCCATGAATCGGCCACCCATTTTTTTGTAAATCGCGTGATTCAAATGTACATCACTGATACCAACCAAACCTATTATAAATAACACTATAATTAATATAACATGATAAATAATAAAGAGAATTTTAAGCGAAAATGGAATCTAAAAATACAAAATGAATAAGTTATAAAAAAAATATGATACTACTCACGGGTAGGCACCTGTTGTATGTAGATAATTAGGAAGGAAGTACGCTATCCAGGGAAATGTATGCAACTATAAATTTTAAGCGGAGTAGTATTAATCGTATTTGTTCTCTTGTTGCCAATAAAAGAACATAGAAATAAAAACAAAATATAATAACCATAAAGGATCTAGGGGTGTTCTGCTGAAAAAGTCAATACATTTTTCAAATAAAATAACTCTTACTTTCTAAACCTCCCATTTACAACATGTGGCATGGCCATCAACAGAATCAGCTTTTTTTTTTTTATCTTTATCCTTTTGTTAGATATTATTTGTTTATAATACTCGACCCGATTCAATGATTTTTTTTTCCATCAAAACCGATCATTTATGATAATATACTATTCAAGGCTATGTATCTTTCATCTTTACTTTACAGAAACATATTTTATTTAGGTTATGCAAACGTATTTTGATATAACAAAACAAATATTTAAAAAATACTTCATTGTTATATTTTAATCCATTAATAGACATTCGTTTATATTTTATAATAATAATTTGTATGAATCATAACAGTTGAATTGGATTATAGATGCACAAATACACTATAAATTAATACCAATATGATTATTTTAAGTTTTATTTAGATTAAAATCGTAACAATCGCGGCATTCCGCTTACCGTTTTACGAATCATTTGCCTGTGTGAATAATATATTTTTTGTCTCAAGAGACGAAAAATCACCGAAAATGTCAGTAGTGAAATTTTTAATTTCCATCAACCCGTTGACGAGATATTTCACTTTTCGAGTGTAAGAGTAAAATAGTGGAACACTATTCGAACGCGGCGCGCCGTACCACGGCATAATTGATGCTCTACTGCTTTCCCCTGACCAAAACTTCAAAGTGAAATATCTCATCAACGGTTTAACGGAAATTAAACATTTTAACATCAAAATTATTTATTTAAACTAAAACTCCGTCTATGTCTTTTAGTATAGATTGTACTGCTTACAATATTTAAGAGACGAAAATAAATAATTCCTTAAGTACCTCTACCTACCCATCATATAGATCGTCGTAAAATATGTCTGTAAAAAAAAAAAAAAAAGAAAGAAATTATTTCACTTTGGAATATTTTCATATTTAGTTTTTAAATACTATTTATACATCGTATGGAATTGTGAATTTAATAAGTTAATAAATCAATATCGAATCAATTTGTACATACGCGAGTATATTTGGTAATTTATTATTTTTACGAAACGGTAGACGTGTGGTATATTATTATGTTTACTTTTTGAAAATGAAAATTACATTAAATATAATAAAATCTCTCCGTAGTAATTCTAAGTGTATTTTAGTATCTATTTATTCAAATAATGACAAATGTGAAGTACGTAGTATTATTTCAATGGCATAACTATGATTTAATCGTCTAATTTTAAAATTGATCATAACATAATTAATATAAATAACAGTTTTTATCACGTAGTTAACGTTGTCAATATTCACCTTCTTTCCTCGAGGTTTTCGAATTCAAAGACGGGCAAGATATTTGGAAAAAGTATCACGATACGAAATACTATAAATAAATGCATCCAGTTTTACCTTAGAATACAAGAAATACGAGTTACAGTCAGCATTTTTGAAAATATACTAGATACTTGACACGAAATCGAAATATTGCATACATTTTCCCGTTTTTCATACGTTTCTTTCCCCCGATTATTAAAAAAAAAAAAAAAAACCAGAAAGCTGAGCTTTGCTCTAAAGAATAAATAAAATACGGCGTACAAAAAAATGGCCAAAACACAAATTACAAGTTTGAAATTACATTTAATATTACACTATAGTATGATATACTGTCCGTCCCTTTCCACTGCACGTGGAAACATTTGCTATGTACTTTTAATAATAATTGCCCTGTTAAATGCACTAATTGATGTGTAATTTTTGGTACGGGTTTCACAAAATTCTCCTAATTTTCTACGATTGGTTTTATGCAAATATAATATTACTGTGACATAATGAGTTCTAATTTATACCTACTCGTAAAAAAAAGCGTACCTGCTTGCCTACCTATATTTCGCTTTCACGGTAATATACTTTTTAAGTTTTGCATAATTAATAATAGATATTACACATTGTACACAACATAATATATATATATATATATATAATGACGGTCTACTTAACGTTTTTCGATTTTAACCTATATTATAAAATACCGAATTGTACAGTATACAGCGAGTGCATCGCGTAGTACACCTATATAATGTATAGTAAGTATACCCGTATTATACTGTAAACGTTTCGAAATTAATTATTTAAAGTAGTCCACTCACGAGCGCAATCTGCGAAATTTAAGTACCTAAACGTACTAGGTAAATATACAGTGTACGGGTGTGTGTATGTATAAAAAATAGACACCGACCGCGAACGGTATAAGAAATGAAATTGTTTTGAGAAATATAGTATAATATACGTTTTTATCCGGGGCTAAAAATGATTAAAAACAGGAAAGGTTCATTCGGCGAGAGATCTAATTAGTGTGTGGTACTTGTTTTACATACCTATATTATACTATAACTGGATGTCGTTTAAAATCTGCCCGACCGCCCGACTACCTATATGCAAATTACATTCAAAAATCCCGTTTTAACGGCAACGAATGTTTTATTTTATAAACGCAAACAATATTTTTAATTTTTTTTTTTTTGTGCCTTTTAAAAACCCGAATATTTTTATTGCACCTTGCTGAAGAAAAAATTATTATTATTTTTTTTTTTTTTAATATGCGTATAAGTACTACATTAAAATTAAAATCATTTTTCTTCAATCTCGATTTTTTTTCTTTTTCAATCAATATTATTTCGCAAAAGACAACCTGCATTGTTATTATTATTATTATTCGAGTAGATATGTCATCTTCTTATGGTTTTAGATTCTGAGTGGAACGAAGGAACTTTTATTATTTCAGTGTTTTTTTTTTTATCTGTACGCAAATTTTCTACCAGAAGACTTGCTTAGATTTTCAAGTGTACCACCTTTTATGAAAGATAATCGGTGTGGAGAGGTACTTTAAGGAGGTCATTTTATAATTTTCTCAAGATTTTTCTTATCAAATGCGAAAAACTGAAGAAAAAAAATGGGAATATGTACAAAATATATTATTAAAATATTACGATTTTTTTTATCCTGTGCACGACTTCTGTATCAGCAATTTTGCTCCAAATTATAATGATAGCAATGTTTCTAAAAGAAAATGTCACTATGTACTTTAAATAGGCAATTTTTCAATTTTCACAAGAGTTTTCCCAGGAAATGTGAAAAACCAGGAAAAACGTTAGAAAACTGAGAAAATCGGTACAAAATTAAACAAATATTATTAAATAAAATATATAAAACCTATTTAATTGTCTAACTATAAAATGACATATATTTTTGACAAAGCATCATTGTCAACTGAACTTCGCTCAGAATCGTTTTTTCGTAAACAATGGTTTATCATTGCTTATAGGTATACATTAAATTATCAATGGCAGTGACTGCACCCGTTATCCTAGGATGTCTTTTTTTTCGTTAATCTAATAATGTCAATTTAAAACTAAGAAAAATAACACACCGATTTGGTTATTTAATTGTTTCTCAATATACGTTTACGTTTTATAAACTACTAACTGTCTTGAAATACTTCTTTCAGTTTTCAGTTCTCAAACTTTTTAAATCTTTTTTCATCGCCGCATCTTTTCCTATGTATTTTTTTTTTCTCAATTTCCGTTCCATTGCTGCCCAAAAGGTTTTGGTTTTCTTCTCTATTGATCGAGTGACCTAATCACTATATACACTTTGTTTCATATCGAAACTTGTCGCTGGTACTGATTCTAGTGGCCTAAATACGAAATGTTGTATCGATCCGGTGGATTGTGGAATCAAAGTAACGTGATATTAAAAATATTATACCTGTTGAATTTCCTTAACCGATTCCCCATCGCTTCATCGACATATTATTATTATTTTATTTTTTTTTTTGTGAAACCAACATACCATCTTAAACTACATCAAAGCTTTAGACAAGATTATATTCTATCTAATTATAATATGACTTTTGATAATATTTGGATCATCAAGAAATTCAAAATGTCTGTGCACGAAGGATATACAGGCAAAACAATATTCAAATGTGTACAAACGAGTTGCCGCACCATTGTAATATTGAATATTTTAACGTTTACCATTTTCATTTTATTTTTTATTTTTAACAATATTCAACTTAAATTTCACTCCGATAATAATATTATTTATTAAACTTTAAACACGTTTTCGTGTATAGTGTTCAACGAATACTGTAGTTAACGATAACAATATCGAATGTATATTAATGAACGCATATAATTCCTTAATCGGAGGTTGTCCGAGTTCAACTACGTTATAATGCCGCGTAGAAAATAGGACACCTACGTAGTGTATATAGTTTTCACCGACTGCTTTATGTAAATCACGATTAAAAAAAAAAAAAAAACAAGTTTGAGTAGCTCACATTATTCGTTATGATTTTTTTTCTCTATCTATCTATAACATATACTTAGATATATATATTATAATATTTTCACTAAAAGAAACAAGGATATACCTACCTATACCTATTTAAATACAACCGTTATTCCGGTAATATACGATGTTACCTATATTTACACACAATAATATAATATTATAATAATATTATTATAATATACTACATAACAATGCCAGTTTATCGAGCTCTGCTCAGAATTGTTTTTTGATTGAATGATTTACCATTGCTTTACAATCACCATATATCCAGATATCTTTCACCTTCTCAACTTTCCACCTACAACAGGTACTTATATCCATGGTAGTCCGGCTTTTTAAACATTTCAATAATTTACACATTTATTTATTTTCAAATATTATTTCAATTTACGATTTCACACATGCCTATATAATTGTGTTTGTAATTCATCAACTCGATAATTTGTATTAGTTTTTAATTTAATCTACAAACTAATAATAATTACATTTTCGTTATTTTTTAAATTTTATTTTCGTGTTTTCTTATATACACATATATTCATATTTTAATCAATCACGACAATATGAGTAATGTATCGAAGTTACCAACTATACTGCGGCAGCTGCTGTCTTAACTCTTCCAACTGGTTATAATAATATCTCACGTGAATTTTCGAAGCTGCTTCAAAAGTTTCTATATATATCTCGTTATGATGGTGAAACATTAACTTTGAAACGTGAAACGGAAGTTTTTTCAACGTAAAAACCTCGAACTATTGATTGATGGCCGAATAATGCATAATATACTAAACGTATATACGACATTAAAATAATAATATGAACATTTTTTTTTAATATTCATTTTCTAAATGAAAGTTTTCGCAGAGTATAACATTCATCTTAAAGTAGTACCTATGTGTTTATAATATATATGTAAATAAAATTACAAGATAGATATTATAGATATTTTCGTGCGTGAAAAATCTCATATTATTTAAAGTTAAACATTAAACCGCAATATTTAAAGTTAAAATGTGTTAAACTTCAAGACTTGGTTGTTTTCAATATTCAAAGTGTCTTTACATCTATTTAGCTAAAGGCGAATCTATAAATCAAAAGAGTGTAATATATATATACACATGCGTGTGAAATAATTTTGTATGCTGATTTAAAATAATTGTCATCGATGTGGTAAAATAGAAGATTATTTTAGAAAACATAACATTATTATCGTTACCTCAACGGTAAATAAAATTTTTAAAAACTACAGTGTTTTCAGAAATGAAATTGCTTTTTAGTTAGGTAATGGATTCAACTTAATTTAAACTTTAAAATGAAATATCCGTTCACTGAAACTGACTTTCGGAGGCCAATATAGTGCGCGATTATGCAATGTAAATGAACGGCACGACACGGCAGTGTAAAATTAACTTCTTCGAATATTCCCGTATCGTTAGCCTATCGCTAAAATAATATAATTAAACATATATTATACCTAGTAATAAGTAATTTATTCACCCACAAAATGGTGTTTTATTGTTTGGCCTGGTACTTTAAAAGAAAGTAAATTTAAAACATTTGAATAGTAACTAGGTATATTGTATTGTATAGTTTTATCTGTTTGGTTTAAGGAAAAAAAAACATAACAATCATAAAATACTCGGTTATAACAAGGCGTCCAAAATTAATATTACCTTGAGCTATCAATAATACATATTTACATGGAAAAAAAAAAAAAAATATCAAAATCATTTTCAAAAAATAATATAATATTTATGTGTAGATATTTAAATAAAATAGGTACCTATACCTATCAAGAGGACGTCAGCGTGAGCTTTTTATACATAAAATCATTCTGTTGAAAAATCAGTTTATCCCGAAACGGGCATAATTTAGTATAAAACAACTTACAATGCAAATTAAATAATAACACAACTTTATCTATAGATACCTAAATACCGGGGTTATTAGGATGTTTTAGCATTTTGCGTGTGTCGATTTTTTTGATAAATCCAGAAGACAGCTACCTAAGTGTATAGAAATCTATTTCCTATACTAGTAGTTAAAAACACGCTATTTTTAATTTGTTTGTTTTGAAGATTTTGAAGATCTGACTACTGCATATTTTAACATTTTAAAAATGTTAGGTCATTTTATTAAGTTTATTTATAAAATTTCCAAATAATATCAATTATGTATTCTTTTTTAGTTTTATTTCTCGTCAATAAAAACGTTTGACTATGATTAATATCGTCTATGGTATCTATGCTATCGCCAATAATCAAATATTATTCGCCAATTAGATATAAAATTTGTTCTACTTGTTAGCTAGTTGCTGGTACTTGGTGATAAACATTTAATTTTTAAATTTTTCAGCGCATATATTTTTTTATAAATTAAAGTTAAGTTTTTTTTTTTGTAAAATAAATTAATAAAACAATATTTATTAGAGTATATTATTGTCTATTTGTGCATATTATGATATTTTTTCAGCATACTTTTAAAGATATATTTCGTATTTTTAAAGCATATAAATCATGACCCTAATAATGACATCCGTTTAGTAAAATATTAAAATTTGCGGCTTTTTTTTAATTGCGGAAAATGCAACTTTTTAATCTTTCTTACCCGCCGTCTCATTCGAGTAAATTGAAAATCAATATGTCTGTTCGAAATTATGTTTTTAGCTTTACAGTTATTATATAATATGTAAATATTCTAAAAAATATATTGAAGAGTATTTTTTTTATGCTTAATGTGGACATATTATTTTTAAATACATTTCATGACTATGCTATAAATGCTTGTGATAAAAACCCGGGACCATTTCTAAATTTATATTTAAGTGAATTTTAATATAATTGAAACGATTTATTACCCAAACGAAACCCCTTAAACAGAGAAGTTCGTGACTTCTTATTAAACGATATTAGTTTTTTTTTCAGATTTTTAAAACTAATAAAATACTACTTATATTTTTACTTATATAAGTAGGTATATATTACTTTAGAACAGGTAAATCTTAATCATTTTCAAATTTTAGAATTGTCTATAGTTCCATTGTGAAAATATAATATATTTCTGAACGAGTAGGCATTATCACCTATTATCATTTATGTGTTTAGTGGCCTACTTTTAAAAGAATGATATTTAATTATAAAACTGTGACAGATTTTCAATATTCATGTACTTTAAAATAATTATTTCTCTAATCACGTACCTATTCTATAAAATGGGTACTTTTTAATGTTTCTAGGTAAAAAAATATTGTATCAACTTCATAATGTCTGTCTATTCATCGGGAGATAAAAACACTCTTATTAAACTTAACATTGAAAACGGATTTAACAGTGCAAGTTCTATATTATTTATCATGGAGCACACTAATAGATATATGATATTATATTATACAGGATTTTCCAATTTGACAGTTTACATACGTGTATTATTTTATTTATCGATCAATTTTATAAAAAACTAAATTTTTACATTCCGATTGAATTACACGCATTCAGAGACGCTCGCTAAGAATTAACTCACTAGGTGCACAAAAAGGATTATAGTAATAAAATGAAATAAGATGAATTTAAAATTAGTTTATTCGTTCTAACAAAATATAAAAACACATTCACAATAATCATGCAAAAAGCAATGCAAACCACTTGGAACTCTTAATTTCGTCAATAACGAACGTCAATCCGTCAGTAGGTAACTAAAGTATGATATTGTTTTTCTCAGAATTGGTATTTACTATTTTAGCCATCACCGTGGAAATAAATTTAAAAAAAAAACGAATTTTTATACTTTATTATTTAAAGTCTAAATTATTAAAAAGTATTTTCTCATTTCCTCCATGCATCTATATAAAAGTGTACTTGAAATATAAACGCGGTTTTTTTTAAAAATTATTTCAGAAATAATGATTTAATTTTCTTGAGTAGTTACGTGAAATATAATCTTTTGGTGTATACAATCTATTCATAAAATGGAAATAATATATGCCACAACAACCAATACTCATAACTTGTCAAGTGTACACACTTTTGAATAATACATTTCACGGGGACATAAATCCTGAACGATATAAAAAGAGTATAGGTATATGTAATCTCGGGCCATTCAATACTGTCACAGAACAACACGATAACGAGTTTTAAAGTAATTTTTGAACAGTATGTATAATATGCAGGCACTGCGCTTTTGTACAGCACCTATGTAGAGTGTGTAAAAAACTCAATACTCGACTGTAGTACTTTAACCGGAGTATCTTTAGCTTGTACAAATGCCCGCCTGCCTACATTATACGGTAGTAATTTATTATGATATGCTAATTATATTATTAACTCAAAACGTACATATTATAATAATTTTCTACACTCGTCTGCATTTGAAACTTTGCAAATTCAACGTTCGTATACCAAAATGGTAGGAGGGTAGGTATAGGTAGATATATATATATATATATATATATATTATATATATATATATATATATATACATATAATATCTACCCATGTGTGTATGAAACTGCGCGCTTGATTTAAATTTATCTGATAGGTAGCTATGATACGCCTAACAAATGCACAGTACCACGATATTCTAAAATCTAGCATAATAGGTACTCGTATATAAATCTTTATTTGCGTCGACAATGCATTCGAAAAACATCAAAAACTGCCTTTACGCGGTCTCGACGGGTCGTTATGATGTCGTTTATAAACGCCCGATGTGTAGCTTACCTCAAAATGTTTATCGCATGAAATAACAATAATAATAATAAATTTGAATTTGACTGCAGGCCGTATCACTAAACAATGACTATATAACTGCTCGACGTGCAGCTTTTTCGTTTTTGGTTCTCTATTACTTTTATTTGAGTTATTTAAATCAAAACGGTATACAAAACCCTGAACATGCATTCCGCTCACCCGTACGTCGTTTTTGAAAATATAAGCGAATATAACACATCCGTAGAAAAACCCACGACAAAAACATTGTATAATCTTTAGATAAAAACAAAACGTGTCGAAAATTAATTGGATATCCCGAAATGTCGGAACATAGGTATTAAGTACCCACCTAATGACCTAATTTATAAAATTGAAACGATAGTCATCCGTTGCAACAATTTAAAACACCAACGTACTTACTTAACTCAATCATCATGACTTGCTACGTAAGTAATATTGCGTGCCAGATTATACGACGAGATTGCCAAATAAATAAATTCTAATTTTAAGATAATGCTTATCTTGATAACCGGTAGTTACAATCCGTTATCATAAAACGAGCATTGCAATACTCGGTCAACGTTAATTTCAGTAATCCGGTGTTTTGATCCAGTACTTTTCATATTATTTAAATAATTTTTGATAATTTCGCATATTATACAAGCCACAGTGAGTTCAATACAAAAATAGTTGAAATCAATTTTAAATTAAAATTTAAAAAAAGAACTCTACTTCATAAAAGAATAACGAAAACATAATACCAAAGTTTTGCCGAATTTATAAGTAAGCCTATAAATTCGTATCAAATTTATAAATAAACAGTTACATCATTTAACTGACTTGATAAAATGAATATCAATTTGGCCATATTTTCGTACACTTATTATGCATTTTTTGTTTGCTCACAAAAATAACTTTTTACCGGAGATGCGCCGATTTCGATACAAAAACTTTCGAAAACTTTCAGAAATACAAAGTTTTTCTTATTTACATTTTAGCTTTTTATTTTTGTTTAATGTATATCATTTCCGTTAGATTCTCTTATATATTCATATTTCTAAATAACTTAATTGTATATACTATTATAGCCAATAGTTACCTAGATAATTTATATCCGTCTCACACGTTTAGATCAAAAATTCTTTATGCAAATACAACACATTTATAGTACATAATTATTGAATCAACGTAATTATATTATAATAATAATATAGGTATAAATAGTTTACAAATCCAATCTTAAGTTGGAATATTTTAACGGGATAGACGATTAGGAAGAAAGTTCAGATTTTATAACAAATACTCTTTTGGGGGGACATGTGTGAAAGAAAATTATTCATACTTATTTAAAAATAATAATTTTCTATATAATATTTTGATTTTAACGGGAGTAACACTACATTTTGTTATTCCATAATGTAATAAAGTGTGTTTCTCTCTTATTAGATTTTTTTTTTTTTTAGTAATGTCGTAGGTACCTTTTTATAGTTAGTAAAAAATGTTTTATAGTCTACAGAGTTTTTATTTCAACGGTGGTGACGTACAACTATACATGCTGACAATATAATAAAAAATACAAAATATATGGGTAAATGCATAGTATCCTACCTGCTAGTGCATAAATAGTCGTAAAGATTTGACTTTGAACAACGCAATAATCTGGGGAAAAACACTTGGAAACATTGACGACGCACATATGCGTAATGCAGTAATTCACAAACGTCAAGTCAAAATATTATTATTACAATTTACACAATTAAATGTATGAAACGAGAAATACGCATTTCATAATGCTGTCATGATTTCAAAAGTCCGGTTTTTATGCTTAAACATATTTTAATTTTAAATATATCGATAAAAAAATTATTTATTATTTACCAACATGAACCGTTTAAAAAGATATCAACGTATCTGTACGATAATTATAAAAAAATTATTAATGTCCTTGTCCCTTGTTTCATGGCCATCAAAATATTATTAATATATAAGTTGACTTTATGACTCGAACGTTTTAAAAACCTTTTTTGTTGACACACCGATTTCAATCCTGTCCGTAATTAAACGTAAGGGATTCATACGAATGTCTCAGTGCAGTAAACTATATTTATTATTTATTCGAGTTACTATATTATTTATATTATCAGGTAATGTGTGGCATTTATATTGTATTCCGTGCATTTAAACGTATACCTAAATTACTGTGCACGTGGCGTAATTGCTGCAGCTGTGAAACAAAAAAAAAGAGGAACCAACGCTATACAAATCCCAAGTGACAGTCATCATCCTGGATGGCTATTATTCATATACATATAAATATATTCATATATATTCAGTGGAAGATTAAAGATTTTTTCAGGGAGGGAAAAGGCAAAAAAAAAAAATTACAGCTCATTATTTTCACGCTACATTCGAATTAAATAATTTTCAGGTCCGGATACCCGTCCTGCTATACACTCGCACTGCAGCTACTAAACGCATATACCTCCTCTGTATGTTACGGTCTTGTGCCAGGGTTAAATAATTATGTTTTAGCGAGACTCGACATTGCAAGACATTAATATATGTATAAAAGCACGCGATAATTAATCGACTCGTCTTGTCGCGTTTTAATTATTCTCGTTTCCCGATTCCGTACATATTGTATACTATACATTATACCTATATGTGTTAGTGTTTTGCAACGATACAAAAATAATGCGTCCATACAACATAATATACCAATTGTACACCGTGCATGTATTTCATTATTATAACCGCCGTGTAGTTGTATGGATACAGTTAGAAAAAAAAAACTATTAAGTCCATTTTATCAAACGCCAGTTAAATGACCGATAAACTAGCTCGGTTAAAAACGAAATGTAGAAATTAAAGAAATGAAAATTATACAGGCATTTATTCCGAGTTTGAGTGAGCTAGTGTTAACAAACTATTAAAGTTCTCAAAATGCATTATTCGCGATGTTAGTCACATCTTAAACTCGGCTTTGATCGTATATTTATATTATGTTTCAGGATATTTGAAAAAATGGTCAGATACTGCGATACGTTCATTAGTCAATTGCCGCTGTCGTTCATCCTAGGGTTTTACGTTACTTTTGTGGCTCAAAGATGGTGGGATCAATATTTGGCGATCCCGTGGCCGGATAAGTAATAAATTCTTGAAAATAATTATACAATCCCCGTTGATAAATTTAAAACATTTGTTTTCAAGAGCAATGCATACAATAGCATTGTACGTAGAAGGAAATGACGATTACGGCCGTATGGTACGGAGAAACCTAATGAGATATTTGATTTTGACTTTGATATTGGTATTGCGGTCCATCAGTTCGTCGGTGAAAAAACGTTTCCCCACATTAGAACACGTGGTCGAATCCGGTAAGTGTACCTATACTATAATAAAATATATTACATTCGAAATTAAAATTGACATTTAATTTTATATTACATTTTATAACTTAGAAATTATGAAATATCTATATTTATTTAGGTTATATGACCGCGGACGAAATAGAAGTATTCTATTCGCTTCCCAAAGTTGAATTCAATACGTATTGGGTGCCAAGTACGTGGTTCACCAATCTGTTGAAGGAAGCCAGGAAGGCTAAGCGAATCGAAGACGCCGAAGGAGTTAAAATCATTATGGAGGTATAATATAACGGAAGTTTAACGTAATACATGACTATTGAATTAAAAATAAATATATATAACCTGGTAAAGGTATCTGAATGAAAATGAAAATGAAAAGGCTTTGTATAGCATATATCATATAATAAATAGGATCCGAATGATTCTTTCTTTACTAGGTACCTACTGAAATATAAAGATCTTGGTAAAGCCGTCAATATTATATCCACAATCTCGACACGAAATATAATTTCAAATTATCCCCGGGTCGGATTTACTACAGATAGATACATCCACATTGATATAAGCTATAAACACATGAAATGTATTCGAACCGAAAAACCTGTAAAAAAGTCATATTAATAAGTTTATTCCAAAAAAAATATCAGGAAATATCAACATCACACCATGGGTAGGCAATTATTAAAAGTGAATAGTTAGAAAAGTAGGATATATAGGGTAATTTAGTTTATATACAGCATACAACGATAAATCATTACAGACGTGAAAAACGCTTCTGAGTAAAATTCGGTTTAACATTTTTTCATAAATTACATAAATGTAAAATTTAAAGTGTATTAATTTGTAACAAAATAAACTTCATTTATTTGTGATTTTTAATGAATTTCAACATAAATGTGTAAATATTACTACGTCTGTAAAGAGCAAATATATTGTAAAATTATCAAGTATCCACGATTATTTTCCACTGAATTCAAAAAAAAATCTATCGAAATGAATGTAAACCGTTATTGCGTAAATATTCCTATTATTCCATCGTTTTACTCATTATTAAGAAGAGTACGAGAAGTTGTTTTAAAAAAGACCTCCACAATATGTATACCAACTAGATCGAAAATACTACCAATGAGTGTTTATAAATTTTTTAATTTGGAGCAATATTTTCGGTCAAAAAGTTCTTCACAACAAAATCAAGGAAAAAACCACAATATACGCCATTATATAATAAAACCAACAGGCACATAATAAAAATATTTGTTTTTTTGTACCTTTTCACCTATAATATTTGCATAAATAATTAATAAGATAATAATTTTCTTAATATTTTTCACACTTTAACACGCTTACGAACCGAGTATCTATCAATTGTCAGACACCTAACATAATGTGAACCGCATTTAAATTTATTCCGCTTCGGTTTTGGAATATTATTCAAAAACAACACGACGTACCTACACCAATATTGAATTTCTTTTCCCAGACGTATCAAATTTTATCTATTCCGTAGATTTAAATATCTTACCACGCACAAAAAATATGATAAAAACCAACTGCCACCTCGTAAACTTTCGCTAAACAACGACTTTCTATATAACTTTAAAAATCACGAACACGATGACCTACAACCTTCCCGGTTTAATCTGCACGTCATGTTAAAACTGAAAACTCTTAAACAAAATATCTGTTACAATATTGGGTACCTATATAAACAAAAATATTTTGTCAAAGAAAAATTATTAAAATAATAATTTATGAAAAGACAATACTATTATGCAAAAATCATACCTTGGTGTATTTGTATACATTTCCAGTCTCGTGATTTCGGTATAAAATAATAGTACATTAATATTAAAATGATAAAAATTGAATTAATGTCAGTAGATAAGTACATAGGTATATAAAAGAAAAATCGAATAATTTAAAAACATTTTGACAGATGGAAAAATATTACATAAAAAGGACCTTTAGCGAACATAAATTCAAGAACTTTTTTTCCTCGATAAATAATGTTTTTTTTTTTTTTTTTTTTAATGTAGCCATCCTCTCCGATAAAAATATCGATAAATTCACCTGGAAGTGTAAATCATTCGAACCAGATTTTTTATTCAATTTCCGTAAAAAATAATTTTACTCGTGTTTTATAAACACGGAAGGTACCCTATTTAATTCGATAAAATTATGGAAATATTAAGAAAAATATCATTATTTGGGCATATCAAAATAACTGTATCATTTATAATATTGTATAAACAATTATTATAATGTCTATTAATGTACACTAAAAATTTGAAACTAGTCTTGTTTAATGCCTAAGCAATTTTTTTCAATACTGAAACTAATGATGTTTTCAAAAATTCGTAGTTACCTTTTGAGTGACAGTAGAAAAATCCTAAAGTTCGTAGATTTTAGGAACTGATTTAGATTTATTTAGTATGGCTATTAAAGTAAGTACGAGCGGCAATTTTGGAAAACCCCATCAAATTCAGTATTGATAAACCTACACTTTAAGAAAAATCACTTTTGTCGTAAATTAGACTTATTATATACAGACAAACTATAGAGGCTTATAGAGATACCAAATATTTTATTAGATACCTACAAAGTTTAATTTTCATTTGCAAATGAAAAAACTGAATAATTGTTTAAAACAACTGTAAACATTGCAATTAAACCATTGCACAGTTTGCATCTAAAAGTTGTTAGAAATATATATATACCACAGAAGTATAATATTTATTTGATACACACAGCATATTATGCGTGTATTATATTTTGTTAGTTGTTACTGAAGATTTCTATTATACGCTATGATAATTCAATGATTTGTGTTTGTTGTGCTGCAAGTTCGTACATTTTGGGTATACTTACAGTAAAATATACAGCACAAATAAAATTCTATATCAAATCTTAATTCTATAATATGAAAAAAGACTTTCTAAGTTTTATTTATTTTTTGTCGGTTTTCATACAGCAGAAGTAAAAAGTTAAAATTTACTCCAACATGGTAAACCTTCATGACAAGAACAAAATGTTCTACAAAAGTAATAGCTACAGGTATAAGTTTATATTTGTATAAACGTCAGACCTTGTTAAATAAAACGAAAAATTGATAACCAATTTAAAATATCTAATCATAAAAAGCCAAGTAAAAAAAAAAACAAAAACAATAGTTACAGTCAATCTGAAGCAGAGATATCTGGGGACAGTTTATACATTATTATTCTAAAGTAGGTAACTACTTAATTTTTGTTTTTCCTCTCATTCAAAAATGATACCTATGAGGCTGACACGTATCTGTTCGAACTTTCGAAGTGTTTTATAATCCCGTCCATTTATAAAATATTGCTTGTTTTAAGTATATTTTTTTCATTGTCAATATTCTTCTCTGTTTTTTTGTTTTCGTACGCAAATCATCGAAGAACAGTTACAGTTGATGAGAAAATGGTATAGATTATGGCTCAATCTATCACTGTTTCAAAAATGTCATAAAACCATAATTTCGTATAATACCTGCTTCTTGTTAATAATATCGCTCCACTACGTGAGTTTTCTACTTCAAACATGTTTTCTGACCTGACATTTTTCATTTCCGCCCTTTCATCAGTGATGTACTCAGCATTTTCATATGAGGGGGGAAATCTGAATACAACTATATAGTAACACAATCATTACATATAATACCAGATAGACCTCGGTAAAGTACTTGGTACCTACTAATTCAAACAATACATCTGTTGTTACGTCATTTTCTAAAATGTATTTATTTATTTAATCGCATTTCAAAAATAGTGATAACTATAGTGAATAGTTTAGTATAGTTGAATGTTGCCACCAAATATCAATAAAAAGACATACTTCACACGTGGGTGCAGCCGCTGTTGTAAGTGAGAAATTGTGAAGATAGGATACAGGCGGGAATTCAATATAACAATAAAATATTTCTTAAGAAAAAACGATTCTGAGCGGAGTTCAGTTAACAGTGTTGCTTTTTCAAAAGTATAAATGTCATATTATGGTAAAATAATTACATATCCATTAAACATTTTCTTCAACAATATTTGTTTAATATTGTACCTATTTTCTTGTTTGCCCTACGTTTTTTCCTATTTACTATTACCTATTTTTGTATTGAGAAAATTTCTGGGAAAATCGAAAAATAACCTCCCTAAAGTACCTCCCCAATCAAATTTCCTTTCAAAAAAATAGCTCTCATTGTAATTTTAATCAAAATTGCTGAAGGAAAAGTTATTCATAGATAAAAAAAAATCATTGTAAAATTCACTCTACTCAGAATCTAAAAGATAATAGTTGAAGTAATTTCATAAAGCTTAAATTAGTTATGAAAAAAGGAAGACATCCTCATTTCCCTTATAAACACGCCCTTACTCTCCTTTATTTCTATACTCGACATGGTTTTTAAAAGACCAAAGGTTTTTAATTAGGCCATTAATTTTCTCGAAACAGTTTCAATTTTGTAGTGAGCCGAATTTTTTTTTTATACATATATGCTGAGACTACAATTCCCATATTATTTTTCTGGCAACTGCCAACTGCTCTCAAATTTCATACATGATCGGTTAAAATTACCAACACTCGAATACATTCCTACCGAACTTCAATATTATAGATACCCATTACCCATAAGCCTGCCTATACCAATATTTCAAGATTACGGGTTAATATATTACACTCGTACATTGAAATTATACCGAAATACCACATGAATAATAATACTTATGTTTTTAGTTTAAAGATGATCAGTATTATTAGGGTTCTAAAATTGCAAGATACTTATATTTTTTAAATATTTCTTCAAAGTTTTAAGATAAATGTAATTTGATTTATATTTAAATGTAAAACTTTAATAATAACTACACCAGACATTTACCTAAAGCACTGAACAGTCATAATGGTTAATCATATAGCTTTTTTAAAATATTGTTAAAAATAAATTTAAAACATTTACAATTAACAATGGGTAGTCTTAACAAGTTTAAGAACTCAACATCATCAATACAAGCAGTCACTTAAAAAAACTGTACAAACTTTGTTCATGATTTTAATTTTTAATTGTATTATGTTTGTTTGCGAATTCAAAATAAAATTTAAAAAAAATACAGACATACTTAGCACTATGGATAGGCCACTGTTGTAAATGAGAAGTTGGGAAGGTAGAATATAGAAAATAATTGAATGTATATCTATAGGTAAAGATTATTCTAGGCTAAAGAAAAACGATTCTGAATGGACTTGAGTTGCACATCCATTTTTCCTACATTTTTTCCCGGTGTTTCCCATTTATTATGAAAACCTCTAAGTAAATCAAAATATGACTTCCTTAAAGTACTCACTCCCCCAATCATAATTTTTCGAAGCAAAATTGCTTGTATAAATGTTGTCCACAAAAAAAATAATAATAATAATAACTATCATTATAGAACCAATAAATTCCTCGCTTCAATCATAAAACATAATTTTTAACTGTTAAAATCATATATTTTATGATTATTACTAAACAAGGTCAATTTGAATAAAAAATTGAACATTTAAAGTTTAAAAAGAATCCAATACTAATAATTGTAGTATTAACTAATCGTTAATACAACTTTATAAAACATAATACACAGCCGAACCAATAAACACATATTCAGAAGAAGAAAAAATTAATTTTTCAATATTTTATATTCGTAACCCTAAATATTATTATGTTATAGGAGTTTAACGAATTCAGATCGAAATGCGGTCTTTTGTGGAGCTACGACTGGATCAGTATACCGTTAGCATACACCCAAGTAATTTGAATTTTTTCTTCTTTTCATTTTCAAATAGGTACCTAGCAAAGTAATCGAATAATATTACGTTTAATTTACTCAAGGTCGTGACTATTGCGACTTATTCGTTTTTTTTCACCGCTGTTGTCGGACGACAATACGTCGAAGGATCGTCGAAAATGCTACAAACAGAAATCGACGTTTACATACCGGTGTTTACAATAGTACAGTTTTTGTTCTTCATGGGACTTTTAAAGGTACGTCGGATAAAAATAACATTTCAATGTACCTAATATAAAAACCTGAGGAGTAATACATCATTTTAAAACAATAACGGAACCTACATATAATTATTTCTACAAAAGAGCATACATAATATCAGGTATATTGTTTTAGTTTTAAAAGTTTTACATAATGCACATATGTAAAATCTTTAGAGACGGTTTTCCTACAATTTTTTTTTTTATCGTATTTTCACAACGTTATATATTTGTATGTAATTAAATTAGAATAATAATTGACTAAAAAAATAATATTATTTTACCTTTAAAAATAAACGAATTCACTGAATTCGTTTGTAATTCAGCTTATTTATACATTCGGAATGTGACGATTCATTGATCAGTCAAAATCATAGATAAAAGAAATACGGATATTCAACTCGGCTGATAACATTTTTCGCTTAAAAGGATAACCCTTGACGGTATTTATTTGTACTATACTTTTCGTAATAATAATGGTAGTAACTGCAGTTATACATATATATATATATATATATACTGATATGAAAGACACATAAACATTTTTTCATGCAACTAACGCAACAAATAGGAAATGTTTTAGTTACTCACCGAACCGTTTTATTCAGCTATATAAGTTGAATATCTATATTTCCTTTAAAAAAAAAAGGTTAAAGTTCATTTCATTCAGTCGCCTAAGCGCGCATTTTATCATCCGTATTCAGTGAATTTTGCTAGTAAAGGCATAATGGACTGACCTGAATGATATAGACGGAAGTTTAGAAAACTGAACAGAACGGACGCAATGGGCATTTGAATATTTAAATATAGCATGTTAAACAATTAATTTGCGTGACTGTATTGAACTGAAATGAACGGATCCGGTATGCTCGTCCCATAAATGCATGAATGTGTTCATCCCTCGTTACGCTCCGAATCTGAAGTAATTTTATTAAAAATGAATTATTAAAAAATATTAGTAAACGCAAAAAAAAAACTATAATGAACATTAAAACGTAAAATTGTTTAACTTATTCTCTCGTAAAATTGTTATGCGTAAATATATAATAATATTATTACAATATCAATCATCGATTTAAGTAACATTAAAAAATATCGTATTATTCAAAGAGCCAAATTGTATATACATTTTAGATGGATTAAAAATAGTTTGTTAAAACTTGTTCCAGTAATAATTAAATTAATATTTAAACAATACCACGATTAAATGCAATTTTAATATTTGTATTGAATTACTAAATTACATAGTATTAAGTTTATGTAGAATTTTGTTCGTATATTTAGTTAAATAATGAATTATTACTGAACAACATTATATTGATCCATTTTTTTCTCCCCACTGCAGGTAGCTGAACAGTTAATTAATCCCTTCGGAGACGACGAAGAAGATTTTGAATTAAATTTTCTTATTGATAGACACACAAAAGTAAATTCACGTGAAAATAATAATAATAATAATTTCAACTCTCAAGCTTATTTATTATTACTTTAAAAATTATTAATAACAAATGATGTTCAGGCGTCCTTTTTGGCAGTAGACTTTCTTGCCAAAATTAACCTACCGTTGGTCAAAGATATTTACTATGATGAATTTGACGTATCACTTCCGTACACGAGCGCGTCAGCACCGTTCAAAAAAAGGAGCCACAGAGGATCCGTCCATAATATGCCGTAATTATACTATACGATTTTATTGTTCGAAAACTATCGTAACTATAATTTTTAAAGTAATGTATTATGCAGTGTTCCTGAAGACCAACACATGATGTTCCTACCAGAAATAATCGAAGAAACAGACCCCGATCAGTTGAAACGAAAGACGTCGACGAGTTCGAACAAGAGCGACCCGAAATACGGTCAAAACAAAGATAAATTCAACGATTCTTTAGGCATAATGCAGTAAGTCATTTACATTTTATTCACATCAATTTTATCGTGACGCATCATACAAATTTTACCTTGTGCTCAAAAACTTATAGGAAACATACGACACAACGGTAGGTATAAAAACTTATACAGCTAATGTATATATTTTAAAAAAATACTTGATTATTATAATAGTTTTGTAAAATACAAATCGAAAATAAAAAAAAATTAGCTGATACTGATGAGTGCGTCACTATTATAAGTGGAAAGTTGGAAAGGTAGTATACATAAAGTTATTTAATTTAAATCTGTAAGCAACGATAAGCTATATTTCCAACGAAAAACGATTTTGATTAAAGTTCGATGATATATGATTTGAAAGGCCGTAATATTTACAATTTTAATCTTAAAAATAGTATAAAAAAATATTACTACATTACACTACTTTTTATTTATTAACGAAGTACAACTTATAATGAACCTCGTATTAAATTTCCAAGCATTTTTGTTTGGTCAAACAATTAAATTCATATAGTACTTATACTAAATAAGTTTTTCTATAAACTTTTCCTATCTAGTACCTATTGTAAATATGTAATACATTAACGCATACATTGAACAAGGACAATACTTTATTTATTTAGAAAGTAAAATAACAGAAGAAAACCTAAATATATTTAGTAAAATTCACAAGCAAAAGAAGGCTTTTCAAAATAAAAATCATCTACTGACCACAAATAGTGTAACCCAATAGATAAAAGGAAAAGTTCCTAAAAGTATATGTGTGGAGGGTGGACCCCATGTACCAATAAAACTTAGACAATTGGTACAGAAGAGAAAAATATTTAGAGGCTGCTTTCGAAATGTGATACTATCGAAGAATGTCTAAGATTCAATGGACAGAAACAGTAACAAATTGAGAATTACAGAACAGAATAAAGGAAAAAAGACAACTTTGAAATAGTATTAAATTCAGAAGGGATAAAATTATAGAACATCTTAGCATCTACTCCGTCACGATAGTTTCACAAAAATCACCACAAAAAAGAAAGTACAAATTAATATTATCGGAAGGCGTCCAATGTCCATAGATTTACAAAACGGATTTATTGTTGTACAATAAATCCTACAATCCTTGTAGGATATAAAGGAAATAAGTTACGGAATAGAGATCTATTGCATCTGGATCAAGGATTGAAAGCGAAAAGAAAATAGTACCTTTTAGGTTTATATTAAAAGCTATAAAGTCTATAAAGCATACCTAGGTGTTTTATTTTTTCTCGGCACCTATTGGTTATTCATTGGCATAGTAATATTCATCTCATAAGTAAAATTTAAAAAAAACGATTATTGATTACCGTAAGTTATGAAAAATGGTTTCAATGGTATAGCCAGGGTGGGGGTTTTAGGTGTTATAACCCCTCCTCATTTTTTATTTTTTTATCTATAGGTAAAGTCAAGAAGGTTGTAGATCCCTAAACTCCCTTAGACATCTCTAAACTCCATGTTGATAAATCCTGGCCACTGTATGATTTTATAAATTATCATAAATTGGATTTTAATAAATCGATTTATAACGTAAACTAGATAAACAAAAAATTAATACTACCCAATAAAAATATCATTGTCTCTAGACGGAAAATATGTTTACACCGATATATGCTGCTACAGTCTGAAACTAACTGGTTAATATGATAAAAAATATATTCATATAAATGGGAAATCTTAACAAAACTGTTGAAGTGTTCGAAATACCGTAAACTGTTAAAATAATTACCAAATCTTGTCCATATTCATATATCTACATCACAAACACATTTTCTAAAACGTACAATTTAAAATTAAAACATTGTATATTTTGCCCAAAATTCTTGCTTCAATCAAAAACTTTATTTGTACTTTATGTATAGAATTTTGTATCTAGTCGATGCATTTGAGAAGGTGATTTTTAATATCTAAAAATAATAATCGTATACGATTTAGAAATTTAATAGTTTCCGCGGACAAGAATATGGCAAACGCCGGTATCGGAAGATACCTATAAAACTTTATGATTTTTTGCGTACATCCGGGTGGATGGATATTAAAAAAATATGAAACCCCTTTTGTATACATAAATAAACGGTTATCGTAAAAGTTGTTTTCTTAAAAAACATAAAGATAATAATATTCAGCAAATGTTTTAATAGGTATATAAATGTTATAACATTGTTATACTTTGTTTAAAAAAAAAAAGAAGCTATAATAAAAATATAATAATGGTGGTACACCGGTAATAATATTAAAAAATATTGTGTCTTATGTACATACCGAATTGTTTCAATTTACTATATTTTTATTATTAATATTTCTTTTCATTACCTACAAAGATTAATAGTAGATGTGTTTTATGTTTTTTGCAGTATAAGCGCGTATTAAAAATGAAATCCAGACATATTTCGTACCATGGGTAGGCCACTGTTGTAGGAGAAAAATTTGGAGGTTAGAATATAGGTTGGTTTATATACTTTAATCGACAATCGTTGCAATCAAAAAACGATTCCTAAACCTGGTAAACTTGTAAGGTATTAATTGTGTTTTCCCCTAATAGCCAACAAAAAAGAGAAGGCCAGAAATCATATAAAATAAAACCGATGTATCATTATTAGCTCCCTTTTTTTATTTTTTACTTTTTGGAAAAAAAACTTTTCTACCAGAAAACTTGCTCGGATTTCTACGTGTAGCACCTTTTCTGAAAGAAAATCGACGTGGAGAGGTACTTTAAAGAGGTCATTTTTTGATTTTCACAAGTGCTTTCCCATAAAATTCTAAAACCGAAAAAAAAAAAAAAGGAAAACTATAAGAAATGTAGGTATTAGTTAAAATATATTACGGCCTTCTTTTTTTCTGTGGATAATTTTTCTACCAGCAATTTTGTTCCAAATTTTAATGATAGCAATGTTCCTAAAACGAAATTTCTCTAGGTACTTTAGACAAGACATTTTTCGATTTTCCCAATAGTTTTCCCAGCAAATGTGAAAAACCGGGATAAACATGGTAAAACCGGGAAAAAACGTTGGAAAACTGGGAAAATCGGTACAACATTAAACAAATATTATTAAAGAAAATACTTAAAGCCTATTTAATTATTTTACTATAAAATGGCATATATATTGTTGACAAAGCATCACTATCAAATGAAATCTGTTCAGAATCGTATTTTCGTAAGCAATGGTTTATCGATGCTTACAGGTATACATTAAATTATCCATAATAGTGGCTGCACCCGTCCCCATTATCCTAGGATGTTTTTTTTTTTTTTACATTTTTACCTGCCAAAAATAAATGGTGTTATCCCTTTTTACATTTTTAGAGCACATTTTGATCATTTTGAACGGTATTATTTTTTTTTTCACCGGGAGTATTTTTTAAATAAATCTCAACCGTTTTCGAGGCGTTTAAACGGTAGCCCGCGCGTAATAGGACCGCAACAATAACAGTGTTTCTGAGATAACCGAACGCGTGTAGAGCCGCGAAACCGACGTCGAGAGGACGGTTATTATTATATTGTTATTGTTGTTGCGGTTGCGGTTCGCGGAAAGGCGAAACGTTGTAATCCCTGTTGACGGGGAGGGCAGGGGGCGGCTTTTGCGAATACGCAATGCATAAGTGGTATGTACGTAACCAACCTCCCGCGTACATACACGACAAACGTATTTTCGGTACGGTTCGTATTTACGGCCGCGGGGCAAACCAGACGCCGCAGACGAGACTTATCGATACGATATTGTGTTACGCGGCGTACACCGCGGGAGCGCGCGCGCGGACGCCGTGTCCGGGGGGGGTGCGTTTGCGACGACGTAACGAAAACAGATTCGCGGAGGATTATAATATCGAGGCGCTCCGGCGACGCGGGGCCGCGCTCCGGCAACGATAATATTATACCCGTCCGCCCCCCCCTCACCGCCGCGCGACCGCCGTTCTGCACTGCGGCCGCGCGGTATGTATAACTGCATTACGCGCGCGATACTGTTTGCCCGGCGAACCGTAGACGAGCGCGCTTTTCGATCGAAAGTCACGCGGGAAATGTTTCGAAACGGAAGGTACCTATAATAATAATAATAATAATAATATTGTAGCGGGTAGGTACCCGCGTACAAACTATACTCGTAACACGCCCCCTATCCACCCGGCCGCCGGTCTGCGGCTCGTTTGTGTCTGCGCGGCGCTATATCGCATTATTACATATTCGATATTTTCGAGATCCGATTATTTTGCCGGTTTGTGATTACAATACGCGTTCGCGTTCGCGTATAAAGGTATGTAACGATTACGCAGGGTAATGTAACCTGTACGTACGTAAACGCGGATTAAAAATCATATTTTCGAGAAAGAATACGAGCACGCGACTTACTCACGCTTAAGTACCGTCGACGCGAACGCGGCGGTGAAATTTATCGCGGGGGCCGACGACGTTATTCGGACAACAACAATGTACACCAGTATAAAGGCGGCAGGGGGCGATTAATTATCGATTTAAAAAAAAAAAAAAAAAAAAAAACACCTAGCAATCTCCGTCTTTAATCAAAATATATTTCGGTGACCAATAACACGTATGAAAAGTTCAAATGAGAAAAAAAAATGCTGTCCTAGGATAATGGGTGCGGGACTCAGGTGCGTCCCTGAGGAGGGAGGGAACGCTCCCCCATAAACCGTATGATATTCTTTTCTGCTATACAAAATATACATATTTCTTAAGTACAAATACAACTGGTTCCAAATGCCAAAAAGATGATTCCGGATCTTGGAAATACTTTGATTGAAACATGAATAAAATACTTTTCATTTATAAATTTCAATAAATATTCTCTTAAGGGAAAGATAGAATTATGGAAAACTAAGTGGGAACAATCAATTTGCAAGGATATAATAAAATAATATATTTTCAGAATATAAATTGGAAATGATTAATTTAATTTTAATTTAAGATTCTGTGTATATAGCGAAGAACGCACCTATTGGAATAACAATAATGTTTTTTTTTTTTTTTTTATATACTGTGACAAAAATTTTTACCAGTAATCTTGCTTCAATATATAAATGTACCACCATAAAGGTATCTAATGTACCTCCCCACACCAATTTCCTTTCAAAAAGTGTGCTACATGTAAAAATCGGAACAAGTTCTCTGGTAGAAAAGTTGTCCACAGAAAAAAAAAACATAAGCTACTTCGCTTCATTCAGAATCTAAAAAGCTGATACTGCTGACGGGTATGTCATTGTTGTAGGTGGGAAATTGGTAAAGTAGGATACGTACAATTGTTATATAATTTATATCTATTTACCAACGTAAAACCCGACAAAATACCTTATACACGAATTAGGTTGATTAAAATAATTGCAAGAGACGCTAAATTTGTTTAAGTTTACTAGTCCCTCTCCTTTTATGTTTACAATTCAAGCACTGTAGCAACAACAAATCACAACTAACGAAAAACGATTCCGAATGAAGACCGGTGAAACATGCTTTAAAATTACTGCGAGTTTTAAAATTTTCACTATATCGTTTAGTGTTGAATCCAGAAAATTTTTCTGGGGAGGGCTCACTTCTTTTTCATTGGTCATTTCGATGTCAATTGGAAAGAGTAACGAATATTTATAAAATGTAATAAATACATTTTGTTGACAGTTGTATTTGTCAGGGGGGCATTTGCCTCCCCACCCTGGAGTATATCTGGATTCGACACTGATCGTTTATCATCCCTAAACTCTGTACGGTTGCCTTTGTGGTGGGTAACGACTGACGAGTGTCAATGGTACGAGCGGTTCAGTATGTCGAGATACAATATATGATTGTAAGCCATGGACTATATAATATTTAAGAAACGATTTATTTCTCGAGAACGTATTTAGTCGTATTGAACGTATAATAGTTTATTACACCGACATGGGTAACCGTAGTGAATTTATACATATTATAGTAGGTACTTAACGTTATTCCGTGTAGAGTGCTAATCGATTTCCGCGGCAAAGAGATTGGAACAATAGACGAAAATACGATACATCGCACAATAATAATGTCAGAGACAATGTATCACTGACGAGAGAAATACTGACGACATAAGTCCTTTTTACGTTTCCGATGATGCACCAGTAGTCTAGTAGCCATTAACCCGACGCAACTAAAATTACGTTCAAAGGTTATTTAAATAGGAACACTCGAAGTGATTGAACTACAAAACACAAATACCTATATCTCCTAGCTATATTGTATAGTTTATACTCGGAACTGTCAGTAGCACACCCTATAACGAAAGTCAAACTCCACCAATGGCACTACACGAATATAGTATTGTAATTAGAGTTCAGATTTGAACTGGCCTACTGCATATTTTTTTTGTTTTCGTATTTTTAAGTGTTCATTAATATGTATATAATCTTTACGAAATTATATTAATTAATTATAAATCGTTTACGAATTTCTATTTTATATATTTGACCGCAATTGCGTATTTAGATGAAAATTATACATCACCCTAAAAAAATGAGTACCAGCTTAGTTTCAGACGAGATATCCCTAGAAATAATACAATTCATAAATAATAATGAAAAAAGGTATTTTGTTTGTAAGTTACAGTATTTGTATAGTTTTGTTTACGAATATTTTTGATTTTCAAATTTACTTTTTTACAGCATAGGTATTTAAATACTTTGTAACGCATACAAATCCGTGTTCTAACTATAATATTATAAAATACATAGTATATTAAAAAATCAAAAGAGTCACGCGATATCAAAATTATACACACACACACACACACACACACACACACACACAGTAGCAGTTCTGTAGCTCTAGATTTGTATGGATAAAATGGATAAAATCAGACGTGTCGAGTTTGAGAATGGCGTTTTGACGATGACCCGTTTACACCCTTTTGTACACGATCGACTACACAGAAACAAAAACCATGAAACCGTGCAAGGCGAAAACCGGTGGATGATAAAAAACCGCGGAAGCCACCACCTTTTATAGTGTTAAACAAACGTATTACAATCGCACAAAAGCGTTAATTTTTCTGCGAAAAGTACATTAAAAAAAAAAAAAAAAAAACCATACGATATTATAACGTTGCAACTATTATTACATTATATAGCGATCGGTCGTATTTCAAGGGGAATATTAAATTACGTAAAAAAAAAAATGTCCCGTTCGTGTCGACACGACGCACGTAAGCACGTCGGTCGTTAATATTTTTCAACGTGAACTATACGTAATATAATATCACGTGATGTCATTACAATATACAATTCACTATATACACTATATTAATATTATATAGTATCGATCTTCCATCATTGGTCGGGTGGGCGGTGGACAGTAGTTGAAAATAGGAGGAAAACAATACAGTATGATCGGCACAACCTCAAATTTCCCCCAAACTCCCGCAGGAAATCTCAACAGGGTTTCCTGTGGATATTCTTGTGGGTGGACGGGTAACGGATGTTTTCGACTGTATATATCATGCACAGTCAGCTAATTTTTTACCATCGACTAAAACTGTGTTATACTACGTATATACCTATTATGTAAATTCGGAGACGTGAATCCAGTGAATCGCGAAAATTAAATTACACCACTATCGCAGTATATATATATATACTTCTGGTGTTTTCGGTCCAATACAATATATTTGCACTCGTTAAACTAGTATAGTGTTTCATATTCAACGTGCATTGATATAATATTATATATATTTAAAAGCAAGTTGATACTGCATTACTGTTCACGGATAGGCCACTATATTGTGGGTGAATAGTTGAGAGAAGGTAGGATATACAGGATGATTTTGTTTTTATACTGTGAACAATAAATTATTGAAAACGAAAAACAATTCTGCAGAGCGGAGTAGTATTAGTTTTATTCCGTTCTTTATTGTTATGAAAACCCAGAAATTTACCAAAATCAGAAAACAAAAAAAAGGACATAGGGTTGAATATGGCTGAAAATGTCGAAAAAAAAGTTCAAATAAAGTACCACTGAACAAAAATCCGCATTTCTGTCATGTGTGACGAGAAAAAATCTGAGCATTTTACTAACCGAAAAAATATATTCCTAGAAAAACACACACACACACACACACACACACACACACATCTTAGTTAAAATGCATAGCTTCTTCGCTACCCTCAGAATCTATGAACTAAACAATACATTTGCTTTACAACAATGAATCGTATAATATTATGTTCGTATTCGATACATACGAAAATCCCAGGGGCAGTTCGAGCAATCGAAAAATTGGACCACATACTAACGAATTAAAATGGACCGCTAAAGCAACAATTATTATATTAGATTAATATTATTTTAGATTATTATACCTTGTACAGATATATGTTATATATAGACAGGTTTTTTTTTTACAGGTTCCTTTTACAGGATCTTTTTTATAAAAAGCGTCGTAAAGGTTAGGCTAGATAAGGTTAGGTTAGGTTACACAATCAAGTATATAAAAATTAACACTCGTTCGTAAAGACTTAAAAACTACCGAACTAATTGACACGGAATTAGAAAGGATTTATTCAAAATCCAACCCTTAAAGAACGAAAAAAAATTAATTTTTTAACATTTATGGACAACAATGGTTGTAACTGCAGTGATAAAAACAGGGAGTCCCGAAGAAAGACGTTTTTCTTTTTCCAATTTTTTTTTTCTCGTTCAATACACAAATTCAAGCAAAGCCGTGCGGGGCAAACAATAATATATAACTATTAGAAACTGAACAATAACTGTAGATAGTAATAAAATCAACCTCTGTAAACCCTAAAGAGTAAAATGCATAAATAATAATAATCGCATGTGGTTATCGTTTTTTCAAGGTACATTATATATATATATCGTAAGCCGTCTGGAAAATCTGTCTTTTTGTAAAAAAAAAAAAACTAGGCTCTTAGCGAAGGGGTAGCCTATTTGCGAACTACTTATTTTTTCAAACAGCCGGCTGTTTTTCAGACTTATTGCAGGTAGACTAGCAGTTAGACCTTTAGAAACTACAATTATTATATAGGTTGCAATTTTATCATTTATAAGACTTTTTAGAAAGTGTAAAACTGTATTTTACTACACTTAATGCTTAATATTTATCATATGCTAATTGTATACCTATATTTATTTTTAAAGAATATTATTAATGATACTAAATAACTATATTTGTTTACAAGTTATACACAATCTGTGCACTGTGACACAATAAGAATAGATGCTAATAGAATAATTACATGAAAATAGTGAAGGGTGAAGCCACCCAGTGATAGCACTACCTGTACTAAATAACTAAAAAATAATAAGCAAATTCATATTTACTTATTTTTACATGTCGTTTTTTCATGGCGTTTTGAAGTACGCAATACATTATTTTTCCTACAAGCACATCTAACTATTTTGAACGACTTTTTGCATAAACATTTTTGATATCCCGGACCTACAAACTGTGAATGTCTCTTAATCTGTTTCCCTTACAATGTTATTATTTCATTTAGTACTTAGTCAAGAAATTCTGCATCAGTTGTTTGTAGAAAATTTCTGTCTATTAAACATGAACAGGTACAGGCCACAGGCTAGTGATAAGAAATTAGTTAATAATTGAAGTTAGACATTGTGTTTTAGTCGATATTCCAGAAGTAGATCGTGTACCATTATACACGCAAAATATAATTGGCAAAGTTGTAGGGAAAAAAATATATGTTGTACACGGTTTGGAATTTATTATAATCACGTAGTTCAACATAAATGTACTACAAACTGATACAGAATTTCTTGACGAAGTACCAAATGAAATAATAACGCTAAAGGAAAAAGCGAAGAGACATTCACAATTATTTCTAGGACCGGAGTATCAAAAATATTAATGCAAAACAAATAGATGTGCTTTTCGAAAAAAATAATTTACTGTGTAGCACGAAATGTCATGAAAAAACAACATGTAATAATAAGTAAATATAAATTTTTTTTTAGTTTTTTAGTCATCTAGTAACATAGATAAAACTCTTTAAAAATAAATACAAGAATACAATTAGTATATGATAAATATCAAACATAAAGTGTAGTAAAATTTAATAAAATACGGTTTCTAAAAGGCCTAACTGCTGTCAGTCTGTCTGAAATAAGTCTATCTCTGAGCAAAATGCCAGTTAATCTTTTTACAAAATTTATAGAACTGATTTTCCATACGGCCTACGACAGAAATACAAAGTGATCGTAAGACACGCATTAATATCTCGGAAAATATTAACTTTTTTCGGAATTTATTTTATAGAACATTTCACAAACAAGCAGCTCTACGATTTTACATTTATGTTATTTTTTGTCACCCTTATTTTTGGTGGTGAAATCATTACCTACTTTTAATTTTCAAATAGCAACTTTCATTGGCAAATAGTATTTTCTGAGACAATAAGTTTCTTACGATAGATTAATCACTCTGTATATTATATACATATAATTATACCATATACGTATGTCAATAAAAATTAACCGCCCCTTAATGGACTGAAAATATTGCCCCTCAGGCACGTTATATATTTTCCCTGGCCTGTCCTGAGTCCTGATCCGTCCCTGGTCAATAACCTACAGTGCGTAATATTATAGTTATACGGGTGTCGCAAACGTGCAGTTTTAGTGGGAGGTCACCGCCTATACTACATAATATTATTATAACGGTCAGGATCCAAAAAAAACTCTAAGATATTAAGGTCACAAACGCGACGTCCGACGTCGGGGGTGGAGGGGGGGTGTCGCCATGAAAAAAAACAGTGGCGGTTATGCATGGTATTCATGGGGTGGGGGGCCGAAATTATAGCCAACCATCCCACACCCCATCACATTTTATATATATAGTATATACATGTAATATAAAATATATATACGGATTATAGGTATAATATTTATACATTAATAATATTAATAACACACAAATTTAATATTGCTAGAAAAGTGTCAGCAGACGACAAAAATAAAAATAAAAACACTCTATGGTAAGATAAATGGGGTAGAATAGGTATAAGCTTGTGTATATACCTTGTGTATAATAATTTTAGTTTCGCCCCCCCCCCCCATAAGACTAAATCAAATACGTCACTGGTACCGCACTATCACCACAGCGATATAGGATATCACGGAAGTATAAACTATATAGTTTACCTACCTCCGTGTGTATCCACTGATTTCTACACCAAGTTAGTATAGAAGTCTGTGTACTTATCGCATGTTCTAATCACAATCCATAGACAACAGAAAAAACCACGGCCTATTATAATATACTGTCCGTGATTGAAACGTAAAATATGATCACGGAAATTCTAAATATTTTGCTAATCAATTTATAAAGTTCGCAAAATTTGCAGATAGGTGTTGTTGGACCAGCGATATACTAATTTTAAAAGATCGAATCGCTAGGGGGAGGGGGCGGTCCACCTATCGCTCCGCCACTTATAACCGCCACTGGAAAAACGCGTGTAGGAGGAAAACACGGGAACGTTTCTCGGCTATGCGTGTACACGAATGATAATCGCGGCGGCAATGGTTTTCAGGGTCGTGAGGGGTTCGAACGGAGGCGGCGAAATCGGGACCGACGTCGGCCGGGAAACGTACCACCACTACCAGAACGCGGCGGCCAAACGCGGGAGCAGCGGCGGCGGCGGCGGCGGCGTCGGCGGCTTCAGGAACATGTCGCAGCGCAAGTCGGACACCGCGCAACCGGTGGTGCTCGTGTCGATGACGCGGCGGCCGAGCAGCAATTCGGGACAGTGGAAGCCATTCAAATGGAAATCGTGCGACGACGGTACTCCCGCGGGCGCCGGGACCCCGTCCGCCGATCACCTGTTGCAGCAGCAGACCAACGTGGACATGAAAGAGGAGGACCGGCCGCAGCCGTCGCCCGGAGGACGCGACAACCCGGCGTACGCTCCGGACCACAGCAAGACCGACGTGTAGCGCCGCCGCTTTTGCACGCCTTAATAATAATATTAACATTGTAAATTTGTAACGTCCGTGCCGTAAATATTCCGTACCGCGGCCGCGGCGATCTAATATCGGGGCGACGACCACCCCTTTTCCCAACCCGCCGCGACCCGCGCTCCGGCCGGGCGCCGTCGCGCGCGCGATTAAGTACGGCGGCGACCGATCGGAAGGCGCCCCAACCACCCTCCCTCACCCGTCAACCAGACATCGTCTTAAACTCCGGTCGCGGTATACCGCGTACAATAACATTCGTTTATTTGTTGTTTTTCTATTTTTTTTTTTTTTTTTGTTCATTGTCGTCGTCTACCGGACACGTTCTGCCGCGACGAAACTTAGCGTTCCTTCCGGTGAAACAATTTAATTTTACACCCTCGATCGCGCCCTCCATTTATTCCTGATCCCCCCCCCCGCCCCCAGTCCGGCTCACTTCGGTTCGCGTGCTTAAACTTTCGACCGCCGAAACCGGAGTGCCACTACCCGCGGGAATATCGTACCGTAAATTAATAATACAAAACTGATCATATCGCATTATTATAATATTATACTACTGTGGGTATGATAATGGGAAAACACGATTCTAGGTCAAAGTATCCTCGAAACATATCCGATTGAATCGATTTCATATAAACTTAAAGTGAGCGTTATTATTGTATTAAACGAGTTTAAAACGCATTAATAGGCGCATAATAAATCCATTATTAATACCTAATTAACAAAAATCGACTTACACAAAAGCGTATTTAAGAAATTATTTTCCAAAAAATGCCCCTCCTGCGCCTTTGTTATATTACTGCAATTATTTTACAGTACCGTTTACATAGGACAATATTAAAGATATTATAATAATAATACATTAAGGATACGGATATCCTACGTGTTTAGGCCTACATAACGGATAGAGAACCGATAATGCTTCGTCCAGCGATCGAGAAATTAGTAATACGCCAATACCTACCAAACACTACACGACAGCTGCTATGGTCAAAACTAGCCAAACCAGAATCTTATCAGTCAGCCCTCCCCCCCCTGAAATTTTAGTTGTGGTCTATGTAATTTACCGTTTCAAAATAAATATATTATGAAAAAAAAACAATGTTCATCCCAAATCTCAATTACCTACCATTTTAAGTTGTTACTACGACACTACGTGTTATGAATTATAATACAGTTATTACATTGTTAAATAGTTAGTTGTAGAATACTAGAATGTCGTGTAACAATTAACTTAAGGAGTAAAGTTAGACAATTTGAATAGCAGTCACGGGGGGAATTGATAAGACCGGTCGCCAGATTTTACATTAGTAAGTGCTTAGAGTAATATAAAGAGATTAGATTAATATATAGAGATATCTCTATGAATAAATGTCTCGTATTGCATAAATAGGTAATATATTATAATGGATAGGCGATCAGTCTTCCCGAATGATAAGCGGTGGGGTAATAAATTATTATCCCATGAACAAGTCATTTTTTTCTTTTAAATTGTTTCATTTCGTTGTAGCAGATATTGTATGGTCCGCTATTTTTAACTATTCTATACTTCTATTTTCATTTTTTGAAAATTTAAATAATTTATTAACCACACACACTATACATGTTAAAGAAATGTAGTCAATATAAATAGAAAATAATACTTACAAATGAAAATTGGGTTGTGACATTACTTTGGACGTTTTACCACGAACAGTACACTTTATCACTTATGCACGGTAATTTTGTACTAAAATTCTGTACGACTGTATTTCTGTTCAAATTTCAAAAAATTGAATGACTTGAATTCTATAATAATAAATGCAAATAATAAATGTTGTTATTTATTCATAGATAATTTGTATTTATTTATATATACATATAAACGGGCTTGTGCCCAATTAATAGGGTGCATAGCATAATATTTAATATTGTACAAATGAGAATGTAAAAGATAATTATATATTAAGGAAAAGGGGGGGGCCCTAATTTGTCAGTTTCATTAGGTGATTGATCGGTTAATTCAGCATGTAATTATTTGTACAATGAGGAACGTGGAAAAGAATTTTATGGAGAGTAGGTCGTACAGAAACTTTAAAATTAACAAATTAAAGAAGAGAGGGAGAATTAATAGCGGAAGGGATAAGTTTTGTTAGGAAGGACATATTGTGAGAATAACGGCGGTCTGCTAAAGAAGATAATTTGAGTTTGGTTTGGACAGGAGAATAATTGTGAGGTGGGCAGGGTATATTTAAAGCATAACTGACATAATTTAAGAACTTCTTTTGAATGCCTTCAAGTTACCGACACAAATCAGCATAGTAGGGATCCCAAACAACCGAACCGTACTCAAGAATCGGTCTGACGAGGGCGCAATAGAGGGATTTAAGTGAACCGGTAAATTTAAACTCACTAAAAAACTCTCCAAATAAATCCCAGTAGTTTATACGCTTTGCATAAAACGCTATTCATATATGCTATTGAACGTGGAGATATGAGATAATATGTAAATATGAAGCCTAGGTCACGTATACTGTCGACTGAAAAGAGTCCCAATCCATTGACTACGTAGGTATTAACTATTGGAGACCGAATTCTGGTAAACAACATTGAACGACATTTGTCTATATTGAGTGTTAAGTCAAGTGCTTCACTCAAACTGATGAATCTATCAAGATCACTTTGGAGAAGTGCACAATCTTCCATGGAGTTAACTTTTTAAAATAACTTAATGTCATCTGCAAAACATAGCAGGCGAATATGCTGAAGCACAGACTTCAGAACTATTAATAAATAAAGAAAAGAGCAGAGGTGAGAGATGACCTCCTAGGGATACACCTAAAGTTGCAATAAAATTACCTGACACCATAAAGTTTTACCCACTGTGACCTTTGTGCTAAATAAGACTCAAACCAAGTTAAAGGAGGTCTCGAAAATCAGAAAATCGTAGTATTTGAAGAAAAACTTTATGATTCACAGAATAAAATGCCTTGGCAAAGTCTGTATATATTACATTAATTTGTGAATCTGTATCGAATACAATGAAAATATAATTACAGAAAGTGACGTTACATGTGATAATCTATCGGCCAAGAAGAAAGCCATATTCGTCAATGAGAATAGAATAATTTATCAACGGCTGAATGCAACCCAAAACAAGAGCCTCAAAGATTTTTGAGATGTGGCTAAGTATTGCAATAGGCCTATAATTTTCCACCTCAGTGGGGTAACTAGATTTTGGAATAGGGATAAGTGAACTGATCTTCCAAACATCAGAGAATACTCCTTGGTCCAGAGATAGACGGAACAGAACTCAAAGTGAAAAGGAAATAATATGCCGGAGATTGAATAAAAAGTTACCTGATATGCCATCAGGGCCAATTGCCGAAACATTACGAAGGGAGATAAGCTTATCGAATGCATCACGTTGGGTGAAGTTACAATTGCTTGGTAGATCAAAACAAAGGATGTATACGTTAAATGAGTCAATATCGTTTAAAGATTTTGAGTACACAGATCTGAAGTGCGAAGAAAATAAATGGACAGACTCTTGCTCACGGGAACTGTACACACCATTTAAAGATAATTTAATAATAATTCGTGTATTTATTTGATAATAATTATTAGTACAGTGATAAATCATAAATGTTACCTATTACTGGTAACAATGGTACTGCTGGGGCATACAACGAAACTTCGGAAACGCTGCCCCGTGGGTGTTTACTGGTTAGTATGGCATATTCATTAGATTATATTATCTATGCCTTATTGTCGTATATTTTAGTACTTAGCACGAATTGATATATTATATTTGGCAATACCAAAGAAGCATAGCGATATGAAATTTTTATAATTCGTCGCGCTATCTAGTGATCATCAATAGTACAATACCGGATGTGTTGGCTTTCCAATTTGTGTTCGGTGCATGATGTTGAGCACCGTGCATCCATAATGCTGCTATTCTAGAAATTCGTTTGATTATACCGGTATATCAAGAAATTCGTTGACTTGTAGTTGGTACAAAACATCATTACCATCTCTATAGTCCATATTTATTTGTTATCACACCGTACACACACATACCTTCGATTTTCGATACACTAGTCACTGGAATCTTCAATCTTTATTATTCATAATTCAAAACTGTCAATGTGAAGAAAAAATAATGTAGACAATAATTCAATCATTAATGTCACGATAGGTTATTTTGTGATAATTTGATAAGAATATGAAATAGGGGAAAGATTGCGATGGGAACATTAAAAAAGAAGGGAATTATACCGGTATAAAATATTTGACTCATGTCGCAAGGTGGCCAGAAAAACTATACCGGTATCACCAACGAATTTCTAAATTATGTCAGCCACCTTAATTTTGTACAATAACATGCATTGCGGGAAAAACTCTCATTCCTCACTCAGAATTGTTAGATTTTGAAGTTTTGTTTTTTATTTGAATAAAGAATACTTTCGTAGATCGCGCTGAACCCCGATTTTCAACATTGAAATTCCTAGAAACTGTATTAGGATTTTTGTCATTACATTAAAAATCAAAAATCGGAGTTAAATGCGACCGGCAAATTGTTATACTCTTTCGAATAAACAAAAAATATTGAAATTGGAGTTTTACGAGTTATTAGGGTTTTTCTCGCGAAATAATTTTCTTCCGTAAAAACGACTGTACCTCATCTCCCTGTAAAAATTAATTCTTAGTCGACAATTATAAAAAAACTCGCCGAGTAACCGGAAATTTAATCCAGTAATGCCAGTGGCAATATAAAGAGCCGATAACCAAAGAAAAAAAAAAAAAAAAGGAAATTAGCTAAAATGTCGTCAAATTTATATGTGTACATTCCCCCCCCCCCATCAATAATTGCTAGCGCCGGCCGTGGGTCAACGCAAAGAGAATTTCGTGGAGGGGAGGGGTAAGTGGTTTGCAAATTAATATTTTAACAATATCATCTTTGTGTCGCCTACTGCATTGCTGTAAAATGTAAATCAACATTTACGATTAAAAATTTAAATACAAATAATTACGAAATATGCAATAAACATATAAATTTCAGGGTTTGATGTTAAACCCTCCCCGCAACCCTGCGTTCGCCACTGTGAACTATATACTATTCCGTAGGTGCGTTATTGTTGCGTACGGGTACATTTCCGATTTGCATATACAATTTATAATAATGTATATAAGCGCGTGTATAAACTATATTATTATGGTTCACCGTCGTCCCCATAATTACGTCGGTATACCTTCCATTAATTATTATTATTATTTGTATTAATTATATAATATTTAAAACCTATTTCGGCCAATTCTTTATAAGCAAAGCAACGAATCTATGTGAATTTTTACGTTTTATAAACTATGTTATTATAATTATTTATTCTGAATAAATGAATAAAAAGCGTACCATATTATTGTAAATAATTAATAATATATTATCCACATTAATAAAAAAAAAAAAATGTAAAAAAAATTACAATATATTTTGTTTGTTTGTTTACGATCCACAGGACCTGGTCACAATCGAATCTATTGGACGCGGGTTAAGTTTGAAAATGTAGATAATACAAAAATGTGTCAACGGTTCGGTGTGCGGCTCATAATTGGATTTCAGAAATTCAACCTCTTATAATAATCAACCCCAATGCAACAACTAGACAAAATTCAAATTCAGATATGACGACACACATGAAGATTTGAGCAAAATTTCTACACAAAAAACGTTTTTTACACTTTTAGAGACACATCAAAAAACACACATTTTAGTAAAACCAATACAATCATCGCTGCACTCAGAATTTAAAATACTCAATCAACTGTTAATAGTAATATAAGTTAGTATGAAAACAAATAACTTTACTTACAAAACAATTACTAACGACAATACGAATATAAAAAATGTATAAACAAGTTAATTTAAACTAAAATAGTAATATTAACAGTATTTTTAGATTCAGAGCGGAACAAAGGATAGGGTTTACTGTTTTTTTTTAATTTCTATCTGAAAACAATTTTTTGAAAGAAAACTTGGTCAGATGTATCAAGTATAGCACTTTTTCTGAAAGGGAATTTTATCAAATCAGTACATTAGATAGGTCATTTTTTTTAATTTTCTAAGTAGTTTTCATAATAATTGGGAAAAAAACAAAAAAGATGAAAAATTAAAATTGTTAAATTATTATATATTAATTATTAATAATGTATTCATTATTTAACATTTTTATGTTTTTATGCTGTTTTCTACCAGAAATATTACTCAAATAGAAAAACAACAAGAGACCATTTTTTGTTTTATTTTTTAACTTATTGGTAAGAATTTAATTTTTTTATTTTCCAAGTAGTTTTCATAATAATTAGGAAAAAAGAACTAATACTAGGGACGGGTACAGCCACTGTTGTAGGTGGGAAATTGGGAAGGTAGGAAATAGTGGAAAAATTAAATAATATATATATCTGTATACAACAATTAATCAATGCTAACGAAAAACGATTTTGAGTAGAACTCGGTCAATAGTATTGCTTTTTCAACAATGTGCATTTTAGGACAATTGTTTAAAAAAAGATTAAAAGATTAAAATAATAAAAACTTAATAATGCTTAACAATAATTAAATAAAATGATTACCAATAACAGACTTATTTTTAATCTTTTTTTAAACCTAAACAACCCGGTTTTTCTCACTATCTCAAATATTTTGAGAATTTCAAAAAAATAACCTTTCTAAAGTACCAACTACGAGTAGAGCTAAAATACAACAAAAAAGGTCTCTAGTCATGTAATAACCAAATACTCTTTAAAGGTTTTATTATCATTCTATAGTTTATAAAATATAAATACAAAAATATTTATTATATATACATTTTATTTGAAAAAATATTATATTTTTAAAAACTATACATAAAAACATATTATGATTAATTAATTGCTATGTTTCATCAGACTTTAATTAAAAATCATCGAGACAGCCATATTCCTATGATGAAACGACCATAGTTTAACAATGTAATCTCTATGTCTAAAATATCAAGCCTTAAAATGTACAATAAAAGATTAATATTTCCTAATACTGTTATTGATTTTTAAGACAGAAAACATTAAACAACAAAAATATCAAGACATAAAATTGCCATCACCCAATTGAATCATTCATTACTGACATTTAAAAAAAAAAAACAATTTTAATTTAAAAACCAATACATGTCATTATGGTTATGGTTCATCAAATAAAATTTTAAAATATCATTTGTTGTTTCAAATGTCAAAATAATATGAAAGTTTCATACTGAGAATATGAAACTCTCATGTATAAAACTTTGTATAATACAACTAATTAGATTAATTTTAATAGTATACCAACATTTGAATAACTAATTTCGTTATGGCTGTTTTATAGTTTAACAATAAACTATTTGTATGGCGATATGTATAATTATTATTCCAGTTATAAGATTGGTTTATAAAAACAATAATAATTATAACTTATTATTAGACTATTTATCATCAATCAATTAAGAGCCACTGTTAAAGAGTTTAATACCAACATATTGAAATATAAATTTGACTACTGAAAATCTGTCAAGTGATGGATAATCAATAAATTCTGAAAACTAAAAAAATGTTTATAGAACTAAAACTACAAGCACAGTTGGTGTTTTACTAATTGGGTTTATCAAGGTTTAAGTGTAAAATAATAATGTGTAATATTGACTCAATGAAAACACAAATTAATAAATAGAAAATTGATTGAATCTTACATACTTCTTAAGTGAAACTTGAAAGATTCTTTAAGGTTTGTATAAAACTTAAATTAAGTTAACTCTATATATAATATATAGGAATCTTAAATTGCTTTTTTACTATGTTATATACTCATTTGGTATTCAATCCTTATCACAGTTTTACCAGTGTTATTCACTATTGCAAAACTCTAGAAGTGAGGATAACATAATAATATTATATACATCAATTCATGTATGGGTATTTCCATTCAGTCAAAGGTACAAAAGTTTCTTTGACAGACTGGGGTGATGTCCATCGTAAAATATAATGGGGACCACCAGCTTTGTCATTTGTACCTAAAAAAAAAAATATACATATATTATGATTTTGAATTTATAAATGAAAAATGTTACAAATAAATGTTAATATTAAAAGTAACAGAACATTTTGATGTTTTTATCAATAACAATACAAGTTTTTAAATAATTAAATAGTTTCTCTTATACAAGTATTCTATCATTTTAATAGTGAACCCTTTTTAATCTTTATGGGTATCCTTTATAGGGAGTTTCCATTGTATAAATAATTTATTTTTATTTTAAACAAAATATAGCTAATAGGCAATAATCAATAACACTTATTTAATAAAAACAAATAGGTAAATAGTAATAGATTGCACAAATTATAGCTAAATTTATATTACAAATTACCTGACATTCTGCTCCCACCAAACGGTTGTTGTCCAACTACAGAGCCTGTCGACTTATCATTAAGGTAGAAATTACCAGCAGAGTATTTCAAAGTTTCGAGCGATTTCTTCAAGAATTTTCTATACAAATATAAATAAATTAATAAATAATTGTGCAATTTTTTTTTTATATATTTAAATCTCACTTGTCCTCAGCAAATACAGCTCCCGTCAATGCATACGGTGTAGAACTAAGAACAAGATCGACTGTCTTATCAACTTCTAAATCTTTATAGACGTATACAGATAAGAGAGGTCCAAATATTTCTTCAGTCATAATTTTATCTAATGGATCTTTGCTTTCAACTATAGTTGGTTGTACAAAATATCCTTTGCTATAATAAACATATTTCAACGCTAATTAGTAAATATTATGTGATAATACAAAATAAATGGATCTAAGATTATTTCAATCACCTATTATCATACTGGCCTCCTCCAATTATTTCCAAGTTGGCAGATTTCTTAGCGTGTTCAATGTATCCAGTAATACGACTGAATGCTTTGTCATCAATAACTGCTGAAGCAAAAGAATCATACTCAGCAACATCACCAATTTTCAATTTATTACGTGTTTCTAGAAGTCCTTCTTTAATCTGTTTATACATAATGATTAAAAATAAAAATAACAGTAATTAAATGAATAGCACAACATTACTTCAGGCCATAAGGATTGAGGAACATATAATCTAGAACAGGCAGAACATTTCTGACCACAATATTCAAATGCAGATCGAATAGTACCATTTATAACAGATGTAACATTAGCAGTTGGATGAACAAAATGATAATTTTTGCCTCCACACTCACCAATCAATCTTGGGAAATTTTTGTAATTATTTATATTTTTGCCAACTTGTGTCCATAACCGATTAAATGTCCTAAAAAATATATATATATATATATATATATATATATATATTTATAAATTTCATAATTTAATATTATGTTATCTTAAAATTTAAAAGGAAAATAAAATATAATAAATAATACAACAAAAATCTATACAAAAATAACACTAATAATATAAATTAAAAATGTGAATTCAATAATAAACATATGTACAACAATAATGGTTTATATGAAAAAATACTTTTCATTAATTATTGCTGTTGTTTGTAAAAAAAATTGTTATTTAATATTATAATATAACACATTTATAATACCTAGTGAAGTTTTTGTATCGTGAGTTCAGAAAAAAATAAGATACAAATATAATACATTCTACTTAACCAATTAGAAGAAAATCACTAAAAAAAATGTTTTATTTTTTATTTCTACTCTAAATTAAAAACGTTTAAACATAAATTTTAAAATAAATCTATTTCCATATCATTAATTCACATTGGAATGCATAAGTTTCTAAAACTTTACAACAAATAAAATGTCTATAATTCAACATAAACAAATTTTAAACTATAATATTTACAAGATGCCGCTCTATTAATAATTTTAAATACTCAATTAAGAAATCAAAAATATATTTAGTAGAATATAAAAATGACCCGAATGTTTTATTTAAAACTTTTCTAAAATATTACTTCACATTGAGACTGTAAAGCATTTCAACTATTATGTTCTGAGATCCTTACATTTAACGAATTTAAATTATCAGTATCTCAAAGTACTCTACTGCTCTCTAATTCTATCATTATTGTAGTATTGTTATATTTTGATAACTTTACATAGAAATGGATTATTTTAAATTAGAGGAGAGATCAAAGGATTTTCTAGTTTTCTGTACTTCGTTATATTTAATACCTATCTCTGCCCATAAAATGACTCCTATACTCAATTCAAAATCCTAATAAATTTGTTAGGTATTGAAGAAATAAAAATATAATCAACACAAATTAAAAAAACAAATTCAAGTTCAGGTTTGCTGGAACTACCCATCTGCAGTTTTTTTCAGTTACAATTTTTTAGTATGAGGCAGATTAAAATGTTTCATTTCTCCGAAATACAGAAAAATCTCTGCAAACTCAAAAAGCTTGTCAAATTGCTCTTTTATTGGATTCATTACAAAATCATCAAATATGAAAACATTTAACAAAAATATTTAACATAAAAAAGAAGTATATAAGTTTAAGAAATGTATAAAAACTGATGTGCTCAAAAGTCATAGAAGCCAATAATACCAATCCTACTGCTCTTCAATGCTCGATTTACGAATAATACTATCAGTCTCGATACATTTTGATACTAGACCACATATTTTATTAACTTATAAATAATTAATCAAAATTAAATTACTTACGGTACTGATCCAGTGAAGTTAATTCCAGACAAATATGGAGAAGCTGTAATAGTGTCACCAAATACAGGACCATCAGCAGGAATAAAATTAACTACACCAGCTGGAACTCCTGCTTCAGTCATTATTTGATATATTACCCAATTTGATAACAAAGCTGTATCTGACGGTTTCCATAAAACGGAACATCCCTGAAAAATAATAATTTGATAACATAAATTAGTATATAATATATTAATCGAAATACCACCAATGGGAGGCCTCATTACTCAAAGCATCTTTAACAACCATAATAATAAATTTCTCATCAATTAAAAGCTTATTATAAATTTTGTTTATAAATTGTGTAATAAATATCTAAAAATAAAAATAATAAAAATCTTATAATAACCATTAAAGCTGGAGTATATGCTAAATTTCCACCTATAGCTGTGAAATTAAAAGGTGATACAGCTGCAACAAAACCATCAAGGCCTCGATAACGCAGACTATTTAATGTGACTTTCTTATCTTCACTGATTGGCTGATATTTTATTAGTTCTTTCGCAAAAAATGCATTTAATCTACAAGTTTTAAAACATAATTAATGTTTATTTTAATTAAAAACAAATTCTCAATAAATTGTTTCATTACTAACTTGATAAAATCTATTAATTCAGCAGAAGCATCTATTTCAGCTTGAATAACTGTCTTTGATTGACCCAGCATAGTAGCAGCATTCAATTTCATTCGATATTTTGTTGCCATTAAGTCAGCCGCTTTAAGCCAAATACTTATTTTTTCTTCTAATGGAACAGCATCCCATTTTATTTGTGCCTCTGTTGAAACTTTAATTGCTTTTGATACTAAATCCTAATAAACACATAATGAAACAATAATAAAATATAAAATAATATGTTTACAAATACTTACAGATGATGCATAATAGAATTTTGCTATCTTCTTGCCATGGTTATGTGGCTAAAAAAAAAAAATAAAATAAAATAAAATAACAATAAATATAAATCTACAATAAAATGTCTTACCATAACTTGGTACCTAACATTTTCAGTCTTGATTTTTTCATTCCCAATAATAATGGGTACATCTTCCACATGATCAGATAATTTTTTTAATTCAGCTTCTATATCTTTACGCTCTTTACTGCCAGGCAAGTATTCTGAAAAAATATTAAAATAAAATGTTATGAACTTATAACTAAATAATTCATTATAAACTAGAACATATAAATGTTAATATTTAAATTGGATACGTACTATGTAAGATAACTTATTAAAAAAAAAACATCAAAATTTAAAATAATAATACTTGCAGAAATCATCTCAATGTTATTTAATCAAATTCAAAATACCAATAAACAATTATGATTTTAATTAGTTACTATCTTAATTTATTATAAAAGTAATTAAGATATAAACTCAAATTGAATTGTTTATTTATTGGATAGTAAAAATATATGATAAAATATGTTTAATTTTATATAATTGACCTTAAATAATCATAATAAACTGATAAATATATTTTTTTAAGGCGTTTTTTTTAAATTAAATTCTAATCTTGACCTCATATTCATAAACACTCCAAATCATAATTGACTAATATATATTTCCAATACTAAACTACTCATATATATTATATTAAAACTTTTAACCAATAAATTAAGTATACACTTATTATATTTATTAAAGAAATTCTGTTTTAATTTCATGCTAATATTGACTTTATATGCATACACTTCAGAATCATAATTAACTGATAAATACTTTTACAAATAAACTTTCTATTATATCGTAACTTTTAACCTATTGATTCTGTATATAATATTTAATTATTTTTTTAGGATTTTTTTAAATTTAAAAGAAAATTGAAAAACACACAAAATAACATTCCTTTGTATACAGTTATGAATAATGAAGCTGCAGTTAGATTTTCTATTTTCACATTTCCGACCAATATTTCTGATATCTTGACTTATGGGATTAGGATAACTGTTTTCAACTTTTCTTTCAGTCACAAAAGGCTGAAAAAATTACTCCTATATGCTATCACCTATCTCACCTAAAATAGTAGCCTACGCCTGAACCCATAGTGCAAAGTATGTTCTTTTTATGTCATTAATAGGTTACTTACTCAAATTTAACATTTAAATTTGTATATTGTATATAATTCACTTTAAAATACATAATATAATGATTAAATATTATATCAATTACATTTTATAAATTCATTTTTATTTAATCTTTTAGATTTTGAAATTTATATCAGTCCTGAAAGCCACTTCTGCTGGACATTGTCCAGAGTAGCTAAGAGAATTAAAAAACTTCTAAATCATTTCTATGTTTAATATTTTTGCAGTCCCAAATACTATAGAACTTTCAGACTTTTTTTTAAATTATTTATTAACAATAATCAATGGAAATAGGAATACTATTAGCTAAACTTACATCGGCTTACCTAAAAGTGGTTCATTTTCTACAGTAAAATCCTTAATTTTAGGCAGAGAAAGGGATCCAATACCTCGGCAACATAAACTGAAAAAAAAATAGGTTATCATTTTTTTAATATCATAAATTAAAAGCACAGATCATATTACTTAGAAATGACAAACTGAAATTAAATACAAATCATGAATTCATCGCAATTCATAAAATAAGACTTTCAAGTAGGTAGGTATAATGTTACAATGTAAATTTGATTTTATGTATGTCTAAATCTGATGAAAATCCATCCATCTATTTTAATCTATATTATGAATGTCTTCGTTGGGTATAAATACTGGCACAGGTTAACCATTTGTCAACTAACCATACACGTTTAAATAGATATAAACAATTTAATTAATGAGATAAATTTCAATATACGTATTATTTCATTTAATCTGTTTATAAGACAATTTATTATTGTTCATTCAGCAGGTACCTATATTGAGATATAATAGTAAAATAAACACTGTTTAAAAAATGTAATATTTATAAGAGAGGTCTTTATTTATGTTAATTTATAGAATTGGAAAGTTTGCCAGTAATGAAACATTCCATTATACTTTTCAACAAATATCTCAATATAATGCTGGTACCTAGCTATAGAAAAATAGTAAAAACTACAATTTATCTAAAACAATTAATAATAAGTAGGTATATTTTTAATAAACCTGTTATGATAAGAATTACAATAATTATTTAAAAATATAAAAAATTAACGTTAATTTTTTTCTTTAAATTATTAGTTTACATAACAATAGTATTATGTGCCTACATTATATAACTTTAATTAGTTAATTGCTTAATCAAAAAAAATGACCCGTTCTAAATAATGTTTAAAATTAGTAATTATTAACGTGTTAATATATTTGACCTAGTCCCCAAGTAATATTAAAAATTAATAATTGATGTATTAATATATTTTAATGTATTTGACCTATATATTTATGTCCAGTAGTATTGCAAACAACAAATTGAACATCCTGGTTATATGTTTTAATATAGGTATCTACTTTTAATGTGGACACAAATTAACAAACATTCAATATTTAATTGCACAAATATTTATCTAACAAAATACCTATTAATAATATATAGAATACGTCATTTGATAGCTTCATTCTAAATTTTATGACAAATGCTTGGTCAATTATAGTTTATCAACCGAGTAAGTACCTATTCCCTTATTAGAGTTCAATGTCTAGTTCAAAAGTGCATATTAAATTGCCATTCATCTATACAACACAAAGATCACTAATTGCTGTAAACAATAAATCAATTGTATTGTTTTAAACAAATCCAAATTGAAAATAAAAATTTAAAAATTATCGTCTCAAACCCAACGCCAATACTGACCGTTGGTAAAAGCATTTTAATGAATTAAAAAACGGTTTGAAATTTGACAATACTATAACGACGTTATTTCTTGTTTATTATTTAACCATCGGAAGACGCACACACACACACATAATACCAATAATATAATACGCGTCACACAAGCACGTTTTGGGCCGACAGGTACCCAGAAACATTTATTTACCTTTGAAATCCTTTGAATGTGGCCGCCGAGAATCGATTTGCGTTAGACAACATGTTTGCGATGATTATATTGGTACGGTTTTTCTCAGTCAATGTGGTTATTACGACCTGAGGAACGAGACAAACAAAACAAAAATTACTTTCGTTATGTGGTTTGCCCCAAATTCGGGCCGCGAACGAATATATTAAAACGATTGTATCAAAACACGTCCGACGGCAACGACACTGTTCATAACGACTAAACGAGTGACAACAACCGATTTCGTCATCGGCTAATACGAGCGTCGACCGCGTCGAGAACAATCGCTGCCAATCGGTCGTCCGATGCAAAAATGCATCGTCGACCGAAAAACAAATAAATTATAATATTGTTCTATCGACGTCATGTTTGACGATCACCTACTAGAAAAACGTGATATTTAAAATTCGTCGATTGCTACCGTTGTGTTTCTGCCATAACGTAATATAAATAATTTTACGGAAAACAAAATAAAATTAAACAGCAAAATACACTGCAGTTTTCGGTCATCGACGACAATAATAATTTAGATGTTAAATCGGGAAATGGTAGTAAAATATCACAAAAACGATTCCGGTAAATTATTTGAGTGACGGGAGGAATGTTCGACGTATTCCGTACATTACACTCGCCAACACATAATATTATAATCGTTTTACATTTAAAAATAGTCGGTAACGAAACGAGTTATTTACAGGGTGTGTTTTTTTTTTTTTTTTTTAATTGTACGATTATTATACATTTTAGCTAGATAATATTATACAAAAATAATATTAATTATTTATTATTTCGCGACGTTCTCATTTTTTATTATAAGTAGGTAGATAGTTAGGATTTCGAGTCTCCCTTGAAACCGACCGGACGACGACGGCGTTTCGTCGTTTTTGACACGCGGCCAACACGATATCGAGAAATTGGAACAGGCGACGACCAGAGTTAACGTATTATTATTATTATTTTAATATTATTATTACGTGGGAAGTGCACACAGCCGGATGAGAGCGAAATACATTCGGTATTCGTACAGAAGCGTCGAACGAACACTGACTGGCACTGGCGATTAGCGCCCGACGTCACCGCGGAATATAGTGTTATTATAGTAATAGTCGCGCAGCTGCAGAAGCAGTCGTGTCCCTCGTCAACGAGAAAAAACTCTCCACGATAGTGAGTTGTGGGTTGGTTGGTCGATGGCCAAAAAATCATAGAGAAAAAAATATAATATTCTACCCAGACGTGTTAAAAGTGCTGCCAACGTGACGAGGGCGTCTGCCGTTGTCGCGCCAGGTTCGAATAACATAAAATGGCGCCGCCCTCTCCCCGCACGGACGTGTCGCACAACACGCGGATAAATATTTGAATTGTAAAACAGTCCTATTTCGATCTACTTCAATAAATTGTGCACTTTTCGATGGGATTTATAATACTATAATGCGACACTTGTCCCACGGAAACCCATCTAATAACACTGTTGAAAATTACAAATGGTGTACTGGAATGTAGAGTGTCATAAATTAATAAATATTGCAATTTAACGTTATGGAATACCGCTGTTTTTTAATTGTTTATGCACTTTGTTGAAACAACACTCTGTTAGATAGACAAGCATAGATCATTGTGCTATTTAGTACAAAAATGTGTTAAATATTTATCGATATTCATGTTTTCAAACGCATACACCTTGCATTAAAAATACTGAAATCTATGAAAATATGTGTTAAATACTCCTCAAATGGTCCACAACAATTTTAAATAGAGAAAACTTTTAACTTTTATTTTTGTACTGTACAATCTGTAAAATGTGTTTTTATAATATGTGCACATGTGGTCAGAAGGTAATGATTATAAATATAAAAATCTGAACTTCATGCAAACTTAAAACATAAAATATATAAGTATAAGTTTAACTATAAGTATATATATACTTATAATTTATAAATCACAAGTTGAAAGAACTATAAACATTTAAATAAATATACATAAATAGAACCGTTTAAATTTAAAATGCATTGAATAATATTATGATTATACAATTATCAAAGTAATAAACTCTAACAAATAACATCTTATAATAACATTATCATAGGATATTATATTACTGCACTGAATTATAATAATAACTAAGAAATAATAATCTATATAAAATCACAGGTAAAACTATTTTAGTAACAAATTATTATTTTCAATTCAATTGTAATATTTCAGTATAGAAATATTTTTTAAATTTCTTGTTATGTCGAGATTTCAACCGCAAAATTGAAAAAATATTAAAACATTAGTACCACTTATGTGAACAATAAGTAATTAGACCATATAAGTTACTCTGAACTCATTTCTAAAAGAGAATAATTCCTGTTAGGATTATATTATATTCGATTATTTCTCTTAAACACCTATAATTGTTACAGTCTTTTGAAATGATTCATTTACAATAGAATTCTTAACTGTTCGTCTTTGGGTACTTTGTTAAGCAATAAACGACCATCATAGCTGAGAGAAGCTAATATCCATGAATCTGTAGCTGACCACTCAACACAATATACAGAATCTTCATGCTGATCACACGTAGCTACAATTTTATCTTCAACAGAAGTTTTTGTTTTGATGTCTTCATTTTCAATCGCTGAAGAAGAAATTCCAACTAAACGTGTAATAAGGACTTGGCCATCACTTGAAGCTGTTCCAATTAATTCGTCATGCACTGGGTTATACCTTTGAATATAAATAATATATTAGAATACAACTAAATTATAACAAACATAATGATCAGGCCTAACAAATCAAATTTCATAAAAAAATGAAGTTTCGTCAATTTAATTAAATATTTCAAATTTTAATTTGAATATTATTCAAATTGGTTAATAAATCATGAAATTTAAAGCTTCATATACCCATTTTGCAGTCAGGTAAAAAATATTTAACCACAAATATTATTATAAAAATATTAAAAACTATTTATAATAAAAGAATTTATTAGGATTTTTAAAATTGGAATCTTATTCATAGGAGTCATTGGGGGAAATTCATAGTGGCGCTTAATACGTGCAAGTGTATAAGATAAGTATAATATGAAATTAGTGTTTTTCCTTTCTGTATTTGTGTTGTGTTGACAATAATCTTTATGAACTATACTAGTTAGAAATCATTAACATTTTGATTTACATATTTTTGCATATTTGAGTGAATTGAGTTTTTTTTTTTTTTTTGAAGGTAAAAATAAAAAAAAAATTCATATTTTAACAGTTTTTTTGTCTACAACAATAATGCATTCCAATTGCTTTTTAACTAATTAAACTTCAAAGTCTAATACAAATTAAAAGGCAAATTGATAACATATCAATAAAATTCCAAATGAAAATATATTTTATCGATTCCACAAAGTTAGATTTACATTATGGTTGAAAATACCAATAATTTTAATTGTTATTTAACTTAAGTAATTGGTAAATTATAACTCATTGTATAAATTGTTGAATGTTTAAGTATATAGATATATTTTTTTACCTAAGTGACCAAATCCAATGAGAATGATCAGCACGAGATATTAAGGGTTGACTAGAATTACGTATATCCCAGAACTTAGAATATCCATCATCTCCACATGTAGCCAAATAATACTGACGATTTGGATTGAAATCAAAATCTCTAAAATGTAATCAATATTGAACAAATTAATAAATCTATAAAAATATGATTTAAAAAAATCAGTACATCATAAATTGGTACAGCCTTATAATATTCTACAAATTCCTTGTATATTGTAATTTATCATATTTTAAAAAGAAATGGTCTAATAGTTTATACAATGTCATTAAGTATAGGTAGTAATAATAAATAATATTAGAAATATAAGTATCATACATTTATAAGTCAGTAAAAAAAGCTTATAAATGTTAAAAAAAAATTGCAACTGCAATCAAAATGTTCAACTTAACATAAGGTACTTCATTAAAATATATTATTCAAATTCTATTTTGAATTTAAAAAAAAATATCAGTCAAATAAAAATAAATTTAGTCACTAAACTAAATATAAAGTTTATAATTTTCACTTTATATTATTATTTTTTTTTATTGTGCAGTTTCATTTATAAAAATAATGCTGATATGCTTTGTGACCACTATGTGTAGGCCAGTAGTATAGGTGGGCAGTTTGAAATATGTAATTTAGTTTATTTACTGATGCTAGATTAAATCATTGCAATCCGAAAAATAACTTTAAAGATTAATTAAGGTTAAATGGTTATTGTAACAAATATTAATATCATTAGAGACTGATGAAAACATAGTTTTTCTCAATATTAAGAAAATTAAAATTAATTTTCGAAAAATATAATAAATAAAATACTATTAGTCTGAAATCTTTTATTTAAATACTACATGGCAAAATTGTAGTTAAAAAAAAAGAATAAATGCTTTTTAATTTTACCTAATAACTTGAGTATGAACTCCATCTAAACTCCATGCAATTTTGGCTTGTGATCTTAAATCCCAAGCTTTTATATTACAATCATCAGCTGTTACAAACTGTAGATTAACACTTTGTGGATTCCATTTGCCGGTAGTAAATCTTGGTTGACCTATAAAACAATCGTAAAATAAAATAAACTATGATAATACAATAATAACCATTTGTTTAACAGATTATTAGTAATTAATCATTCAAAATATTTTGTAGGTAACTTTACTTGTACGGATTATGTTTTACCGTTAAAAAAAAATAACAAAATTGCATACCTTTACCATCTAATACCGCGTTACAAATAACTTTTACTCCACTTTCACCAATATCCCACATAACTATATTATTATCAACAACAGATGCCATGTAAGTTTCATTTGTTGGATGAAATGTGGTTACCTAATAAAAATAAGTAAAAGATTAATTATTAAGAAATAAAGAAATAACAAATTTAAACATTTAATACCTTAACATCAGTACCATACTTTTCTGAAGGGAAATTTAGGACATTTTCTAAATGGCCATCATTTTCTGGTAGACGCCACAATGCTGTACATTTTTCACAATCTCTTTCTATGCTTGCATAACAAGAAGATATTAATCGTTTGTCCATTGGAGAAGCTGTCAAAGACCATATTTCACCAACACTATGCTCATATATCTGAAATTAAGTAAATTATTTACTATATTGTCAAATTGTTATATTATTTATCTTATGAAATCCACCCCCATAAAAAGGTCAAATGTCATCAATAATTATTATTTAATGCAATAATTTATAAATAATTGGCAAGGAAGATTTAAAAAGCATAATTTAAATTATTGATTCAACTAAGAAATATAACTGACCATAACCTATGAGACCTATGATGTAAAAATGTAAGTGTGTAATCTAACCTAATATAATCTAGAATGTAATATTACTTTATTTAATATAAGAAAATTCTAGTACCAGGACAATTACCTGTGAAAAAGCGCTGTATGCAGACAATCAGCCCCCCATCAACATTTTTTTTTCAATAGGATAAAATAAGATACAAATGTTGATCTGTTATAATTTAGGGCTACTATTTATCTCAATTTTGAAAAGATAATACCAACTACCTAGTTCCTATAATAAGTAATTAAAACATTTTCATAATAATACATATAATTAATTTAATTTAATTATTACAATGTGTCACTAACAATCAGATTATAGATCTATGTCATGATTTAAGATGTATCTATGAAGGTAGTTCATTTATTATATATTCATTTAATATTAATTAATATTAATCCACGTTGGTATCTATGATATAAATATTATAATTTATCTATAAGCCATGAGGTACACTTGGATTATGTACATAATACATAATATGATGCGCGATCTTAGAACTTCTAAGACTGAGATATGATCTGATTATAAACACAGATCATTTGTTTTAATAAATAATATAGCAGATGGCGCCAGATATCAGTGTACTTTTTGACAATATTAAAAAATCATGCTTTTTGATAAGAGCATTTGATGGCCACCTTATCATTGAACATTCGACAACCAGTATATTATATTTATAATTAATCAGAATTTTTATCTTAAAAGAACTCAATAGTTTGATATTTAGATTCGGATATCAAAAATTTGATAAAAAAATGAGCTAAAAATTGACCGTGTAAAGAATTATTAAGGGGAGTTATAATCTGTAAACAAGGTATTTTTGAAGAGACTAATTGTCTACCGAAAATACTAATACATTATATTTCAAAAATGGTATTTATTCATTTTATAGAAATTGTTTAACTAAATAAAAGAACAAATGTCTAGGTACTTTTAAATAAATATTTTACTTGGGTGATGAACAAAAATAAAAATTCTTGCTACAATATCTTCTTAAATTATTATTATTGTCTTCAATTTTTTTTTTAAGATTACTGTTTGTGATTAACTATATCTATTAATACATACATGTGAAGAAAGTGTATTTGTCTTTTCTTGTAGTTTAACGAGATGCACTTGATTATTAGTTGTATTCAATGACTGTGTTCCAATTAAAAAACTGACTTGATCCATATCAGCATGCAATGAACATAAAGATCTTGCCTAAAAATATACGTTTAATCCAATTAAATACGATAGCAATTCTTATTGATACATTATTGTTAATTACTTGAAATTCAACTCCATATATAAGAGGATTAGACATTTTAAATTATTTTAGAATCTTTTTTTTATATAGCAAAACATAGATACTAAACTAGAAACTATAAAAAAAAATTTAGGCATTTTATTATCTGTAGTGTTATCACCACAACTATAGATTATGTATAGCCTTGGTTATCAAAGTTGATAACAAATTGACAATTGTTTTTGTTTCATGTTTGAGCACAGACTATAGTTTATTATAATAAGCAATTTTAGTATATCTATGTGTTAGAGTTATTCTTTTCTAGGTATATTGTATTCTTCCAACAATACAAAATTCTATTGAAGTCTATAAATCAATAAACCCAAATAAAATATTTGTAAACCAAATGTCTGGTAACTAGTGATAAATTATACTAATATAATTATTGAAAAAATGGCAACGGCATTGGTATCTGTAGAATTTCAAAATCTTACCTTGTCTGAATGTTTTGATCAAGGATTGGCATCTTACGAAAGTATTTGTGAATCCATTGAACCAGCTAAAGAATCTGGAACACAGGTTAGTCCTAAATTATTACATTGTGTACCTAGGACCTTCAACTAATTGAAATGTATTATTTAATTTTGATTTCAGTATAAAATAATAAAATGCATGAAAATTTTGGAACATACAACACAACTTGTGTCTGCAGCTGGGATGTTCAGCGATAATGAAAACATTGAGGAAATACCAACTGCAGACATCAAATACATGCTACTGCCGTTCATGTTAGGATCTTTAGCTTTAAAACTAACTAATAATGGGAACAGATTAGATGTTGTTAAAACAGCTGAAGTTTATTTTCGTGACTATCTTCAGAGGTATATTTGTTTGTTTCACATTCAGGATTAAAAAGTTACACTTTTTATAATATTATAGGTCTAAAGATTATGGAATAACGGACCATACATTACCATCTGCTTACACAGATACTGAAGAAACAACTACCCAGACTGCAATGGATTTTTCTCTTATGGCTCGTAGACGTGCAGAAAAAATTAAAAACTACAAGGAACAAAAGCTAATGGAGTCACAATTGCAGCTACTGAAGGACCAAAACGAATCTGAATCAGTCGATGACGAAGTAAAAAGAAAATATATAGTTTCTTTGTTAAAATACAATGTTGGTAAGGCTTTGGAAGAAATTGATTCACTCCAAGCAGAAATGAGAATATTACATTATAAGCTGAAACATGAAGATAAAGACAACCCTGAACAAGCAAAAGCTCAAAAGCTCAAACCAAAACCCCTAATGCCTATTATTATTACGAAAAACGAGTTGCAAAAACAAGTATTTGGTGCTGGTTACCCTAGTTTACCGACTATGACTGTTGAAGAATTCTGTCAAAAACGTATCAATGATGGAATGTAAGTAAAATAACAATACAATTCTATTAAACATATTATTTATGAACTAAAATATAAATTTTATTTAGATGGCATTTACCTACTGCTGACAATACTAAATGTTTACAACAATTAGCTGATGCACCAGAAAAAGAGGATGAGGACAAAGAAGACAAAATAAATGAAGAAGAAGAAGAAAATGAAAGACAGAGATTAAATGCTCGTGATGAATATAAAGATGACCATCGTCGAGGTTGGGGAAATAGGCATAATCGAAGTTGAAAGGCTGTTATTATAAATATGTTTTATGTAATATACCTACATAGATATTATATTGTATCAGTTTTGTAGAACAGTAACAAAATGGATAACTATTTAACATATTTAAAATCATCCAAATTGTGTAAATATATTAAACCCAATTAAAATAGTGGTAATCTTAAGAGTTGTAAAATTCTTATAAATACAGCTTTCAAGTAATTTGTTTATGTTTAGTAATAATCAAAACAGAATTTAGATATATCTATTTTTAAAAAAATATTACAATTTATGAAATGATTGGATAAGTGCACATTGCCCACAAGTTTTAAAGATTATTTTTGATACTGATTTTAGAATTTTTTATGAAAAATTATTAAAAAAGTTATTGGAAAAAAATATAACTACATAAGACCAGGCCTTCGGCGACCTCAATAAAATAATTTCATGTGGGATTTAAAAGACAAACTTTAAATCATTAACTTACCTATCCTAGCACTTCCCACTTGATACTAATACAAAAATAGTGTCCTAAGTGTAAAAATAAACCTAGCTACACAAACACAGAACTTCAGCCACCTCCATTCACGATATCATATTGATACTTAATTAAAAGTAAACCCAAATTTATTATATAAAACCATGTCTGATGATAACAGGGGTAAAAACTAGAGGTGAACTATACAAAAATAGTATACTATACAGTAAATAAAGTATTAATAAATTAGGTTTTCAATTAATATATTATCAGTTAATTTCAGTAACTCATGATTTTTATTTCAGGCGTAAAATATCAGTTTTATATTGGTAATACATATTGAATATCCATAAAAGTGGTAACAGACTAAGTAGTATAAACTAAGAAAATATTGTTGCTTGTTTTTACTGGTGTAATTTTCCGTGTATTATACAGGTGATTTTTTTATCATGAACCAACAATTATCTTAAAAATTTTAAGTGAATTTAATTTATGTTTTTTTTATTCATCATGGAATTGTTTAAACTTTATTTTATTCTAACCTCCATAGACCTTAAATAAGTATATACTTTTGCTTTTCAAACAGTAACCACCCTTTTTAAACACATATTTGAATAAAGAATATTTTTCTAGAAATTGTTGATATGCATAACATTAATATCAGATTTACAGTTTATGCGTTATAACAGTTTAAAATTTAGACAGAAAGAGTAGGAAAGGGTTATAGATAGTCAATTTAGGAGTGAAAGATTAAAAATGGTTTTCAAATAAAGTTTAAATGATTCCGTGATGATTAGAAAAAAACAGAAATCAAATTCACTTAAAATTCTCAGAGATAATTGCTGGTTCATGACAAAAAAATCACTCTGTATAATTTTATGTATATTAATGGCATACAGACTTCAAACTGCTATAACTTCGGAAAAAATAGTTTCTGAAAAATTCTAAAAAAAACCAACACACAATCTACAAAAGAGTAATGGTGCTAAATTGCATTCATACTGTTTATTAATTTTTTAAAAATATTTGTTTGCTATAACTTCTATAAAAATCATTGCCTCAAAAAAAAAAATTAAATATTTTCAGAATCAGTAGTTTATTTTGGTCAAATTATGAACTTTTGACATTTTATAGTATATTTTTTTTAATTTTGTCACCAAAAGTTAATAATTTTATAAACTTTTACAGCTAATATATTTTATTAAAAACGAAAAGCACAGAATACTGCATTAATAATTATACATAATTTCTTACAGAGAATCCTTGATATTTTGTGCATGATATTTAACTTTCTACCTAATCAATGAGAAGTTATAAGATACTACTGTTTTAAAGAAAATAATTTCATTCTAAATAAAAAAAAAAACTATCATTTATTAGTTAATTTTATTATTAATTTAATACTCACAATATCATCAATATACACTTGTACACAATTTAAATATTCATATTTTAGATCAAAAGGTGTATTCTTTTTTTTTTACTTAATAATAGGGTGTAATAAACATAAATACCTCAGTGATTACAAAAATAATACAAACAATTATAAAAGAAATTAATTGTTGAATGGATAAGGGGAACATTGGAAGATTGGAAACTATGAGGTAGCGAAAAAGGAATATTATTAGAAGAGCATAAAGAGGAAAACTGACACTTATTGGAAAGGGCAGAACAATTGAAGAGGAGATAGGAGAAATTTGGGGATGAATTTACCTGTTGACAATTCCATGACCTAGAAGCATGAGCCTCACATGAGGGATAGGGAAAAGTCGAAATAAGGGATTTTAATTGGAGAAGGGATTAAATAGAAAAATGATGTAGCGAGCTAGTCTGCGATTTCATTCCCTAGAATACCTGAATGGGTAGGAACCCAGACAAAATAGATTGTGTAACCAGAACTGGAAAGGGAGAAGACGATCAAACATATTTGAAGTACGAGATAGGAAACAATGGAAACAAAAGGGAAAGAATTGAATGCCTCGAGACAAGATTGAGAATCAGAACAAATGACAAAATGATGAATAATTAATTCTTTGATTATTATATATAGCAAGGCATTCAGTTGTAAAAAACGAGGCAGATATAGGAACGCTATTAAAAAACTTAATATAAAAACTAGGGATATAAAAGGTCTATTTTATTACTTAATTATAAAAGTATTTAATACATTGTATTTTGAGTATAAATTTACCCAGATGATTGTTTATGAATCCGGTACCATTTTAAGTTTGTCCATTACTTCCATTTTTAATTGTTTCAATGAATTCAAAAAATAAGTTAGCCTTAATTGTTCATGTTGAATAGCTTCTTTTAATTTAATATTTTTTTCTATATTTTGTCGTTCACATTCAATTCTGTTCCTTGCATGCTTCATTAAATCACATTTTAAAGTATTTGGTTGTTGGTCCCAAGAATATTGTTCAAAATCAAATACATATTTTTGATCAGAAGTAGGAATATTGCCATTTATTTTATTATTGATTAACTTCATATTTATATTTTTCTTCTTTACTTTTATGTTCAGAAAATTGATTTTTGGAAATTGATTGCATCAATTTTGGAAATATTAAAAGTACCAATCCAAGACACCTGAAACAACAAAAAAAAAAAAATTGAAACAACCAAACTAAAATAATTAAATATATAAATAGAAGACATACAGATCAGATCAGTTAATTAGACTTCTGACTTACCGTTATTTGGCTTATTTTCTTATATCATATAAGCTTATTTTACTGCAGTCCACGATTTAATTAAACCGTAATATACCAAAAAATCGTGCTGAAGTAGCGCAGTCTACAATATTAAAATTTATTTTATTATCTTTAATTGATAAAAAACTTAAATTATTTTTGATAACAAAGGAGCAAGTATTTTATTTATGTATAATCTCCTTGCCGACTGTGTGCAGTACTCAACATTTTAGGTTAGTGAAAAATAAGAAAATAAAATAAGTTATTATACATACCTATCCAAATCGTGAGTGTTATTCCAATTTCAATCAAAACTTTCAAAAGCTAAAATCGAATCTTCAAAATGGTAAGTGAAATATAATATAACACTATACTGATTGTTTTATAAATATTATAATTTCTCAATTTTTATACTACCTAATACGTATACCTCAAAAATGTAGACTGCCTACCTACTCAGTATTCACTCACCACATGAGTACAAAAAGCTTAAATACTACGTAAATAATTCATAAGTTCATATTGGCATTTTTTTTTAAATAGTAACAAAGTCAAAATATGCTGTTCAATAGTTATTTCTATTTAGTAATGATATTTGTATTAGTTTATATAACCCATTGACTTATCAACACTTGTATTAATATATTACAATTTGTTCATATTTCTTATGGTTAATTACTATAAATATCTTCTTTCTTTTTTTTTTTAGTGGATCATAGTGATAAATATCTATCTTATATTATACTTATGTACCTATATATATAATTGCAGTCCTTTTTTTATTTTTATTTAAGCGTCCTCCAATTTTATTACTTAAAGAAGGAACAGAAGATAGCCAAGGCAAATCACAACTTTTGTCTAACATCACTGCTTGTCAAGCAGTTGTTGAAGCTGTCCGTACTACCTTAGGTCCACGTGGAATGGATAAGTTAATTGTTGATAGTCGTGGCATTGCAACTATTTCAAATGACGGTGCAACAATCATGAAAATATCTGATATAATTCACCCAGCTGCCAAAACTCTGGTTGATATTGCTAAATCACAGGATGCTGAAGTTGGTGATGGTACCACCAGTGTTGTACTACTTGCAGGCGAATTCTTAAAACAAGTTAAGCCATATGTTGAAGAAGGAGTACATCCAAGAATTATCATCAAAGCATTACGTAAAGCTTTAAAAATTGCCCAAGACAGAATTGATCAAATCGCTTATAAAGTAATAAAAATATAAACGCCTATTTCTTTATATACCTAGTATAAAGTATAATATCATAAATGTATTTTTTTTAGATGAAATTTAACAATGATGGAGAATACCGTATTTTTCTACAAAAATGTGCAGCTACTGCTCTCAATTCAAAACTTATTCATCAAGAAAAAGATTTTTTTTCTAAAATAGCTGTTGATGCAGTATTATTATTAGATGAATTATTACCTTTAAATATGATTGGTATTAAGAAAGTTCAAGGGGGTGGTTTACAGGTAATATTTAATTTCAATTAATTAAAATACAATACAATTAAACTCCTAAAGCTGACCTAAACCTAAGAAACATTTTATAAACATTAGCTAAATATTCAATATCATGGCCATATTTAGGATATATTGACTCCTAGCCTGCAATGTAGGCCCTCATTATTTATTCGTATAGCAATAAATCAACATTACAGCAGATTAAATTTAGTTTATAAGTAGTGATAATAAAATAATAATTAAGAAATATATGAAATCTAACTAAGAAGACTAGTATATTATTTTTGCACTATAGCCACTTTGGAACTTAAACTGTTTATTCACAGACACACGTTCAATTCCTATATCTATTTTATAGCCTTAAGTGTTATCGCGTGGATTCCCTCAATACCCTGATTAAATTTCCTCGATTGACTCTGTTATAATGTGGTTTACTGTTTGTCTGTGATTACTGCAATCACATGCTGGATTATCTCGGAGTTGCCATTTATGCATTATATCAGCACAACAGCCATGACCTGTACAAAGACAAGTTTGGTACAGATCACTCATGTCTAGGCAATTCTATTCCCATAACTCCTTGTGGTCAGGTATCAAGATTTTGTTTGGTATAGTGGATTTAGTCCATTCATCACACCAATACTTATTAGTATCAAACCTTAATCTTATTCGATTTTTGGCAGCCTTCCAAGGTGGCTTTTTAATTTAAGTGTCGATACATCTTTCAATCTTTCAGCTAATAATGAATTATTCCTATCCTCTGTTTTCTTAATTGTTTTCATAAGCTTCTCCTTTCTTCGTAAATCTAGAGGGACTATGTTGGTTAACACTGGTAATCACTGCAACTGAGTTGACTTGACTGTGCTACTAATCACTCTCATCATTTCCTAGCCTGTGGTGCAAGCCCTGCCATGGCTACAAGATAACATATTTAATCTTAATTGACTTTTTTATCCTATTTTTACTTAGCTTATTTGATGTAAACTTATAGGCCACATCCTATAAAACTAGTACAATATGGCTGTCCAAAAACCCCAATGAATAATTTATACTTACGCTTCTTATCACCTACCTCACCAATATTCATCCATGTTACTTCCTATCACCATTAATTGAAGTCCGACTAATTTAAAGATTATAGGAACCTAGTACTTTTATGTTTAACTTAATTATTCTTTAAAAATGATTTTAAATATAAGAAAATAATACAAAATCACAAATTTTCCATTAAAGGTAATAGGTACTATATTACTATATTACTATGTAATGTTATTTCCTCAATAACTATTATTATTATTGTGCAGTCACAAATCAACTAAAAAAAGCACTCTCTATCTTTGACCGCTATGAGTGAACAATAGACTAGTATATTAGTATAAAGTCTATGGATGAGACTGACTTTATTATTCAGAGTGTTGGGCAGTAGCCAGAAATATATAACAGAGAATGAGTGTAGCAGAAATAATAATAGGTGGATGAGTGAAATGGCGAGAGAAGATAGGATAAGGAATGACTACATATGAGATAACTTAGAGTTAGTTTTGGGCATGTAATAATGAGAGAGAAATCTGAGGAAGACCAAAAAAGATTGTTGAATATCATTAAGAATGATGTGAAGATAACCAGTGTTTTGTGAGATGGGTCGTAGTAGATTCCAAATAGTTGGATTGAAGAAGAACTATATGATACAATTTTAAATATTTTCCAATTACCTATAATCTATATTTAATTATTAGTATCTATGTATCAAAAATTTCAAAAAAACAAAAAATGTGGTTTTTTTCTCAATATTTAATTGTAATTTTAGGTTGCCAGAAATACCTGTTATGAATAATTAATAGTTTTTTTTTTCAATATTACTATTTTAATTTTATTAAATTGTGCAATAAAACTAACTATTTAAACTACATGTAACTATATTTAAAAATATATTTGGGTTTTTAACAGGATTCACAACTCATTACTGGAGTGTCATTTAAAAAAACATTCTCCTATGCTGGTTTTGAAATGCAGCCAAAACATTATAAAACTCCAAAAATCGCACTTCTCAATATTGAACTTGAATTGAAAGCCGAACGTTCTAATGCTGAAGTTAGAGTAAACACTGTCGAGGTAAATATATATGTATTTAACTTTTTAATAGTTGTTTATGTTCATATGTATTAACAAACAGAATTAGTATCTATGTATTAATACAATGGATGTCGCTTATAAGACAGAGGTATAAGGTTCAGATGCTAAGAATACTCAAGAATTTAGATAAAATAAAATATAGTCTTTAAAGTACAAATCTTATTTAATTCATTAATTGTCTATTATAGATAATAAATAAAGCTAATTTTTTTACTTTTCCTTACTTTCCTCTTAAAAATACACTGGTTATTATTAAATTCATAACTTCCTAATAAAAAACTATACCTATTAAATTATTAATAATAATAATATTTTTAAACTATTGAAGTTATAATCCTTAAATAATTTATTTGCTATAGTAAATAAATGATTCATTTCATTTGTATGTTTGATTTTAGGAATTTCAAAAAGTAGTTGATACCGAGTGGAATATTTTATATGAAAAACTGGAACATATTTACAAAAGTGGAGCTCAAGTTGTGTTGTCTAAATTACCAATTGGTGATGTAGCCACTCAATATTTTGCTGACAGGTATAAATATAAGATAGGTGTATTATATTTTTCTTTGTTTTAATTGTACTTTAAAACGTTATGGGTTTTTTTTTTTTTATATAAATATATAATTTAGAGACATGTTTTGTGCGGGTCGTGTTGATGAAGAAGATTTAAAACGTACCATGAAAGCATGCGGTGGTGTTATTGTTGCCACAACTTATGATTTAAACGACTCTGTACTTGGCAAATGTGAATCCTTTGAAGAAAAGCAAATTGGGGGTGATAGATTCAATGTATTCTCTGGATGTCCTAATGCTAAAGCTTGTACTATCATTCTACGTGGTGGTGGTGAACATTTACTAGATGAAACTGAACGTTCATTACATGATGCTATTATGATTGTTCGGAGAACTGTAAAAAATGACTCAATTGTTGCTGGTAAATAAATTTTTATATTTTCTACTTACTAAGTTTATTGTTAAATTAATAGATATTATTTTTATTTTTGTTTAGGCGGTGGTGCTATTGAAATGGAACTCAGTAAAGTACTTCGTGATTACTCTCGATCAATAGCTGGCAAAGAACAATTAATTGTTGCTGCTATTGCAAAATCATTGGAAATCATTCCAAGACAACTATGTGACAATGCTGGTTTTGATGCAACTAATATACTGAACAAATTACGTCAAAAACATGCTCAAGGAGGTGAAGCATTTGGTGTGGATATCAATCGGGAACATGTTGTGGATAACTTTGAAAACTGTGTATGGGAACCAGTAATTATTAAAAAGAATGCTCTAGCAGCTGCTATTGAAGCTGCTTGTCTAGTATTGTCAGTAGATCAAACAATCAAAAATCCTAAGTCTGGTGGTGGTGAACAACCTGGACCTGGACGTGGACGTGGAAGACCTATGTAAAAAATTTAATTCACAATAATTATTAATACTTTTTGTATAATTTTTTTTTATAAACCATATGCTTACACACTTACAACTAATTTTCATCTACATCTGTTTAATAAACAATTTTTTATTTTTTTTTTTTTTTTTTGTATTAGAAACTTGCACAAATCTAAAATATTGTTAAGTATTTAAAAAAAATAATAATAATAATAATTTATTATATTAATATTAACTATTTTAGTGTTTTTGAAATTCCATCCATCTTGATAGGGAAAAACTTTTGAATAATGCTATTTATATCCATTATATAGTATTTATGTATTTAAATAGAAACTAATTTCTTTAAGCAATGCTTCCCCAACTTTTTTGACTCATGGCTCCCTTTTTGCACCTATTTTCTCAGGGCGTCATTGCAATTAATTGCAATCAAAAACTTATTCTGATAGTAGTATTAGTCACAGAGTTTATCCCAGAGTATAGCCAAAGGTAACTAAGATAAATAACTAACTTTTTTTAAAATTTAGAGAAGTATTCAGAATCTACCAAAAACTAGAAAAACACATTTTATGACAACCTTTCAATAATACAATGTATAATCTACTTATTATTTTTAATGAATTAAATGATGATAGCTCCAATATAATAAATTGTAATTATGTGAACTAATTAATATGGTGTCTTCTAACCTGTTTTAAGGTAACCTGAGTTACCCTGCTCCCTCGGTCTATAGGAAATATATTTTATTATTAAAATCAAAATATTTTTTTTTTCAAATGAACCCAACATTTCACTGTTGAAAGTTAATAATCAAAAATTTCATAATACATTTAATTAAATCTTGAGTTAAGTAGAATTTATATATTTATTGTGGTAAAACACTAGACTTCCGTGTAAAAAAAATGTGTACTTTGTTCTCTTTTTGTATGTTTGGAAATCATGACAGTAAAAAAATTACTAAAATATACCAACAAAAAAAAAACCACAGTTACATGAAATTGAGTACACTTTTCATTCTTTTTAATATAACATTAGTACACCAATATAAAAATGATTTTGTATCTAATCGTTTTCAATTGTGTACTAGCAATTGTCAACTTTTCACGTAAAATTATAAAATAAATTCTGTTTATGTATGAAATATCTACATTATTTTGATAATCAATGGGTAACTCAATATTTTCAAGCAAACAATTGATGTCATGTCAAATTAATGAATTTTGGTAATTTCTCATTACAGAATGAATGGCGTATCTAAGTAAAAGTTATTAGCTAATCAAAAAAACATTTAAAACCTGTACTAGATTATTAAAAACAATATGACCATCATTAGACGTTAAACTTCATGGCAAATTAAATATAAGATTTTACATTCTTAATAAGATAATATTTTAATATTATATTCTTGTCTCGTTTATGATTTTTCAGTTCTAATGTATATTATATGGTACATATTTTATATTAATTATTTGTATTAAACTTATACAGAAATATAATAGTTAACATTTAATAACACAAAAATTGTAAAATTAATATTTTTTAATTATTACCTACCTATTAAGGTAGGTGGATAACTAGAATGGGTGTCTTTTGGAGTGGTGGTAAGAGGGGGACATGTTCCTATCGAAAATATTAAAAAACACTAAATATGTTTTCTCAGAGCCTTGATGCATTTAAATTCTTAGAGATGATTTAGATTTATTTGTAATAAACCTATTACAACTATAACATTTATTACATACCTTGTATTCTAATATTCATTGTGTTCTATGTATAATTTTTCAATGAGTATTTGGAAACTAGGTTCTAGTTTGTCCCTCTTCTGAAAATAACCTTAAGGGCATCCAAACTAGCAAATAACTTCATTATAAACTATTGATTTCTTAACACAATATTTTATGGATTACCAGCTATACTGAATGTCATTAAATGTCACAAATGTAATAACTTTTATTTCTATTGAATATTTAAAAAAACTGTTTAGATGCAATATGCATTTATGATTGAAATTTTTATTTAAAAGCAAGTTAAAAAAAAATAGTATTAAAAGATAAAAATAAATATATTTTCAAATATTTTGGGTATTTTTTATAAATAAATAAAAAATTATAGTATCAATTACTCAGTTATTTTCACAGCTAAATAAATTATGGTGTTTGTTAAAAATAAAATACTAATATTCTTAAAAAATTATTTAAACTGTTCTTTAAATAAAGATTGAAATTAAGTAATTTGTACTGTTTTCTTTAACAATTTTTTTTTTATTATTTTTAAGTTTTCAACCTAATTAGAGTTGAATAACAAATTCTATACAAAATAAATTTCTATTTCTTTTCACCCCACCAGATTTAAATAAAACCTGTGGAACATCACATTTAAAAAAATAGATAAAATAAAATTGTATAGTTAGGTACCGATCTAATCATTAAAATTTTTATTTTGTTGTGTACTGAATAAGACCCAAATTTAATGAAAAGTAATGAAAGTATTTGAAAGCGTTTTGGATATTTTAGATCCAGAGATATAATAATTGAAATTAGCAGAACTACAGTTTCTATTCAGCCACTTTTATGGTAGTTACCTACTAACAAAAAAACTCCCATGAGCAGCAAAGTTAAATCATTAGTCAATTTTCCCCAACTATTTGTGTTTTGTTGTGATGATAATATACATGTATAAAATGTATTGTTTAAGACATTGATTCTCAACTTTTTTACATTCGTGTATAATTTACAAATTTTTAAATTGTTCACCTATCACTCAACACGAATATTAAGTTTTATTTTAAATTATAAAAAATAAAATGTGTAGGTACTTTATTTTACATGTATGTATGGAGCTTTTTATTATTAAATCTACATATTATAAACATTTAGTACTCAAAACTAAATTTAAATATTATACTGTTAATAACTTTATTTTTCACTATTAAAAAATTTCTCCGCGTACTACTTGTTGAGAACCGCTGGTATAAGTGGTTTAAGGTATAAAATATGTACAATTTTTTAGTATTTGATATTCAATTTAAATACAATTTTTTGACCAATATTTCTATCTCAAACCATTTTGTATTAAATAAAAATAAAATGAATTATGTAAATATAAATGTAGGTAGATTCAATTTTTTTTTTCTTATTATGAAACACAAAATAATGTAGGTACCTAAGTATATATTATGTAGGTACCAAGTAAAAAGCAAATATTTTGAATGAATATTAAATAAGTAGTATAGTATATTATAGCAACACATATTATGGTAATTATTATTAGGTAGGTTACCTATATATTTATTTCATTAAGGCATCCATTGTAATTTTAAGATATGGGTACATTCATCAAAATCGTGGTAATTATGATAAAACCGAAAATAAATATAATTATTTGGTTTTATCACTATATTATTTATAGATTTTGAATTACCTGCATTGAAGTTTCGAATGAATAAAGATACCTTTTTCATACAAAGTCGATGGTAGGTAATTTGTCAGACAATAGGTAGGTATATTATGAATTATGATTATGCAATAGTTAGGTGTATGTATTTGATACGCGTATACCTACGTAATAAATAACATGTCCAAATGAGGCTATACCCCCCCCACCCCTTGGAACCGTACCTGAACCCAACTCTCGAGTATATTATAATTATGTCTGTGCCGTTTTATATTACGTATACATATAATATAGAATATTGTATATACGGGTCTATGATAATGAAGTATACTTGCCGATAAAATAATATTTTAGATACCTTTATGTTATTATTATAGTATTATAATATTATATTGCTTTTTTGTCAGGTGCACGTTACCTGTGAAAATAAATACAATATAGGTAGGTACCTACTATACCTAAGTATATAGACGTATTTCCTATTATTCGATTACGGCCACGCACCCACCTAACCAAACGCATGTGTAGCTCGGTGTCTGTTGTATTATTAAAATCACTCGTATAAACATGCCGTGACGTTGACACGCGTTTGAAATTTGAAAAAATGAAATAACATTAAAAAGGAGAGCGAAATGTAATACCTATGTCCTATTTCATAACCAATCTTGTCATATTATATGAGGTACGAACATAAGCGTGTGCTGCCCCCAGGGACGAACAAAATGTGGATAATAACAACCCCTCCCCCTCCTTTGGGAATATAAACTATTTTTTAGTCGGTGAATTCCTTATATAGAGCAATATTTTATAATATCAATGTCAATCCAAAAAGTCACATTGTTATAATGCTATTTAGCTAATGGCTGCTATTTTTTATTACCATTGGAACCTATTGGCAGTTGTTCAAAAAATAAAAAAATATTGGCAGTTTACTACGACTTCAGCAGATATTCCTGAATTGTCCTCTATTCATTATTATTAGTTTTGAATTTGAAGAAATGTAACGATATGCTTTAAAATTTATTGTACTGGATTTTCTACCAGTTTTTCTTCAAGTATTATCATTTAATTATAATTAATATAATTTAAATATTATCATCTATTTCGTAAATGTCCATGTTGTACCTAGCGTATTTAAGACTTTTTAAGGAGAGAGATATCAAATTTGAAAATTGTATCATATTGTATAACGTATACCCAGACTACGAAAAAAGGTTAAAAATGATCAATTTATACATTTTTATTAGTAGTTAGGTAGATACCTAATGTATAATTCTAGGTAGGTATACATAGACAAGTAATTATTATTAATTGATTTACCATTTATAATTACTAATCTAATTTCCTTTATATTTGATTGAATATAGGTTTCGTTTTAAACAAGTGAATGTATACGTTCAGGTTTTTTTTGAAAAATTCACATAATTAACTTTAGGTAGGTTGGTAGGTAGGTACCACCACATCAAATTTTTGATTCTTCTGAATAAAAAGTAAACAAATTTGAATTTAAAAATAAGTTGTCAAGGAGGGAATTATATCTCCTTAATCTCTTCTCCATAAATAAGTCATGCACTATTTCCATGTGTCAATAATCTGTAAGTTGCAACTACGTTTACTATACATTAATATGTCTATAAATATCACTTGAAACTCAAAATTAGCAAAATAGCTCTGTATAATATGAAGGTCCAAAATATGCAAAAAAAAAATAGTAACAAAAAATTTCGTATACGGCACCGGCAATGTACGAAAAACATTTTTTTCCTTACTCAGAATGTTCTCTAGGTGTGTGCAATGAAAATTAGCATTTTTGCTAATACTCATTCCTCGCCCCGATTATAAATTATAGGTGTTCTTAACTAACTATTATAGTAGGTATCTGCCATAATAATATAAACTGTGTAATGCAAACGTATCGTTACCGACTGGTAGGTATGTAGTCGTTTACATTTGGCGTTTACGGTTGTAAGGAACCCACCGGCTACCGAGACCGACGGTGGTGATGGATATGGATCAGTGTCAACTCAAGTCACGTAGAAATGATAATATATCCGCGTGTACAGAATTACAATAATAATCTTTGTTTGCGCACCTATACGAACCATACATACATGTACCGTCGTTATGTCGTAGCCCAACAAACGCCTGTGTAACACCGCGTCGGTATTGTATTTATTGATTTTCTCTATACATGTTTTTTTAAGACGTTTGAGTCTTGTACCAACGGTACGTCGTTCGACAGATGATATATTTATGCTACGTTTCCCAAAATATTCTGTCAGTTTTCAAATCGATCAATCAAGATTACCCCGTGTTCCATTCGGGTGTTTGGATTCTAGTTGACTATATTAATATTTCTCTCTTGGAAATGCAAAGCATGCGTTTATTTCCTGGCCAGGGATCCGCATTTATTTATTTTAAACACGCATATGCCGCAACAAACAATTGGGGGGGGGGTAGGGGCGGTAAGGATGTAGTCCTTAAAAATAAGTCCGTAATTTAAAAGTTATTCGATCAAATTGAACAATTTATTTTTACTTTTTATTGTTTTTAGGTAATTTTTGTACCTGTAAAACATTTGTTGACATTAAAAATTATAATTTGTAACTTCGTAATTTGTCTAAGGTTGGGTTATCTCTATGATATCACGTGACGGCTGTTAGCTGCTAGCCGTTGTAGTTAAAAAACAAAAATAAAAAAAACTATAGTTCTGATCTTAATAGTAATTTTAATGATTAATCTAAATGTATTTAATATTTTTGTCTAAATTTTTACATTATTCTCATTTAAAATTAATAAAACTAATTGGAATTATCAATTTAAGAAATAATGGATTTATAAGTTACGGGATGGATGATTAAAAACACGGGTTGAAAGTATTAAATGTAAGTTAGAACATTAGGTAGGGAAACCGGGACGCTTGATTTAAATACGCGATCGGGGACGATCCCGTATAAAACGGGACGATGGGATCCCTATTCCTGGCGCTGTTAAAATTACAGCTATGAACTGTGTTATACGATACTAATTACCTTATATGTACTACAATGCCGATTTTAATTATAATTATCAAGGAGAATTACTTTACGTTGATTATTATGCAATTTTTCGGGTTTATCTGTTATCAGTAAAAACGCGACAACAGGCCGTGGGGAAGCCATGTCGGGTCGAGAAATAGACGAACATACCAACTGAAACTACTAGCTGGTCACTGGCCAGATTAGGGTGTATTGCGCATTGCGTATATTTCGTTATTGGTTGGTTAGAAAAAGGATAATGTAACCGCAAATTATATCAATATTTTACCGTCGTTATTAACCAAACATCACAGTTGGCGACTCTGTAACGATTGCGGTGACTCACTGCCGACGATCACGGCCGCCCGACCAGTGCTGCCCTCACACACGTAACGCCGGTTCTACAACTACTCTATCCAACATGGCCGACGAGTGAATAGTTTTCCACCAAAAACGCATCACGCTTCCGGTCACGCATACTTAAAACATCAGGTTTGATTGACTTTTTTTTTTACTATTAATTATTTTTCCCCTGCATTTTTTTCATACACATGCATGCGTACTGTTTAGCCGACGAGGAGACGATATATTTATCGCTAATCTGCTACAGTACAGCATTGTCATGCACATTGTTTTCGTTGTATCATTATTTTATGCTGTATAAAAAATAAACCCCTAACCAATACGTGCATATTATTAATTGTTTTATGTTGTCGCTGGTACGTGAACAGCAGCAGTATCAGTCAATAACAGAATAGTCATCCACACCTTCTGGGCGAAGTAAACGCAGCGAAAGATACATTGGATTCGTCTTAGAAATTAGACGACCATCGAAATCGATTAGAACGCCGTTGGCAAACATTTGCCGTACAGGTATGAGCATTGATCACTGTATTCAAATATTATTATAATCTTTATCGTTTATCCTCGTGTTGTATATTATATGTTTTAGGTAGGTAGTTTGATGCTTCCTAACTTCTCGATTTATGATAAGACTTAATACTTGTTAGATACATGATATACCTATACCTATTTACTTATTCATTCATATATCACTTCCTTTCAAGATTTTGTGGTCAATTTTGAATCATTTAATGAGTATAATTTTCTGTAGATCAGTTATGTTATAAATTGAATGATTATAATATTGATGTCAGTTTACATTTTCTCTAATAGACGCCTATTAAATTTGTCTATTCACAAAAATTTTTAATAAATTGTTTAAAACATTTTAAATTTAGAAGTGTGAAAGTATATTATTACAAATTTACAAATATTTTTAATGTGTAATATACAGTAGTTCATTAATGACTTACTGTTGGCTTTTTTTTTTAGATTTTTAATAATTTTATCCCATAGATCGTAATTATTGTAAAATGTTCTATAATAGTAATTACTACCATTCCTCAAGCAGTTTTTTGTTTTCTAAATTCTTTTTGTTAATGATTAAAGCCTGACAATAGTATTTTAGATACCCATTAAATTGATACAATATATCCATTTGTAATTTAGTAATTGTTAAATTAATTTTTATTAGTTATATATTTTATTTTTTACATTATACGAAAAACCAAATCTTGTCATTTAATTACATACCATAATTTTTCATTATTTTATTAGTATTTATTTAATGTAACAATATAATGTAGATATCTACTACTTAGATAATATTGTTACATTATAATAAATATGTCAAACTTAATTGTATAGCTTGGTTAAAAATGTTCATTTAGGTACCTAGGTGAAATATACGTCGAGGACAATAAATACTTTTACAATTTCTATCTCTTTATTGAAAAAATAATGGTTATAATTAATAATAGGTAATCTTTTTTCTGATATTAATTGATTTATCAATGTTCATTGAGTAAAATAATGAAATTGGTGGTTATTGTAAGTATTCAGGAGTATTTAATTCTGTGTATTAATAAGTAGTTGTTTTAATCAAATAGTAATACCATTTAAATTAATAAAATAAACTATTAAAAAAAAAAAAAAAAACGTTAAAAACTTAAAAAATTATTTTATAGGTTGGTATACCATAGATAGTTGGATACTGCTAATGTTTTTAGACTTTATTTGTGAGTTTTGTTATTTTTTATATTACATATAAATAAATCCTTTTTTGGACGGATAAACATAGCTATTTAATTATTAAATAATACTTAAGCTGATTATTTAATTTGTTGATTTATATTAAAACAAATGTCTGTTCTTATTTTTAAAACACAATAATAAAATGTTCATTTTGAATTTGGTTATTAAAATTTATATTTGTGATTGCTCTTAACTTAAAAAAAATACTTTGTAAATTTGTTTTAAAATAATGATTTGGAAAAACAATACATTTTGTACACGATAAATAACCATGTATCGTGCTAATTATAATTTGTTTTTTAACCATGGTTGCAATTTTAGGACAATTTTCTAATTTATAATATTTTATTTTGTGATTTATAGATATTCATAGAAAAATTTTGGTAACAACTATCAAACAATGTTGGTTTAATGTTTTGAAACGTATATTGTATGTATCCATTTTCTTCTTGAACTTCTGAACTAATTTTGATAAAACAAAAATTAAAATACTTAGTGAATTTGTAGAAGTGTTCTTAGCACTAAGCGCTGATGTTGGCGTGTCGTCGACAAAATGTATTCATTCCCCGCAGTGGGACAATGACAATTTGTCATTATTTTCTTAGTTCTCCCAAATATACTGTCCAGACTATAACAAGTAATTTGTTCTTGTACCTTCACATAGATAAGACCTATTACATTGTTCAATTTGTCTTCATGCAAAATTCTAGCTATTTTTATAATATTGATACTTGGAACTTTTAAACCAAAATAAAAGATCCACATAAGGGGGTCGCCCAATTAAACCCATGCTACAGTTCACATGTTAACTATGTTTAATTAATATGAGGTAAAGTTTAAAACAAAACATATTTGAGTGTACAGTATTATACTCTAGCTCAAACTAGAGTACACTGGGTTCGTGCTTCGCGACTTACCTAACTGCCTAATTTTTCCCTCACCATGCGGCCACTAACAGACTAGTTATTATAGTAGATGCGCGGAAACGAACAAAAACTGGTCGGTAATTGATGTATCCTAGTTTGAGACAAATAAGTTAAAAAAACTGTCTCGTATAATGAATGTATGCTGACTCAGTGGCATTGATATGACAAAAATCAATCAAATAATCTTGGGTTTGAATATCTAACACATTCATTAATTTTAATAAAAGTACCGTTTTAAAATACAATTTGATAAATTTTAATTTGCCATTTTGTGGAATTTTAATTTTATACAGTTATTTGTTACCTATGAATTATTCATTATAAATATATTTCATTATTAAATGTCTTGTATGTAGTTATTAATTAATACAATTAATGAACATTTTTAATTTCATTTTGCCAGTTTTTTTTTACCAAAGCACTTGTTTAAGCAGTTTTATTTTTCTTAATTAGGTATATTCTTTTAATAATTTTGAAATATCTATAGTGTATTTAATCTCATTAAACAACTTACCATTATATTATTATATATTTATATAATACAGATTTATAAAAATTTATAGGCACATTTTATCTATTTGTTGGGTTATTATTTATTATCTTAACATTTTTCCTTTTTTTTAAAAAAAAAAACAACAATTAATCGTAGTTTTAAAATATATTTAAAATGAACCCTTATCCAATTGTATTGTTATTTGATGTTTTTCTATTAAGTTACCTACTCAATTATTCCTATGTTAAGTAAATTTTATAAAGTACCATAAAAAAGTAAAAATTACAAATATTTTTAAAATACTAATGATGCCTTATTTGGCTTAATTCACTCTTCATTGTTTTTTGTATGTAAATTACATTGTTTAATTTAACTATGTCAATGGGTTAGAACAAACAACAGTATTACTTTTAAATTAAAATTTAAATAAACAATTTTTTCTAGCAAGGGTTGGACCAATCCAGGATACCAAAATTATATGTTGCCCTGGACCTCCATTTGTATTTATGTTCTGGCTCTTATAATAATTGTTCTTGGGTCTGAAAAATTAACATTATAAATTGTCTTTTTAATTTAACTTTTTCACCAATTTTCAAGTTAAATAAAATTATTTATTTGTTAAAACATAAAACTCGAATAAAGCATGAATGACTTAATTTAATGTCAATTTAATTTGATACTGACTCATATAATTAGAATGGTGTAAATCTAATGACTTGTAATACAGTTTGCTTTCTAGGTTTAAAATTACCACTCTTCTATTATAAGATGGTTAGGTTGTATTATCTGCATGAAATATTTTAATTTTTTTGTTTATTCATTTTGAGTTTTAACATGAATTTAAATCCATCAGCTCTAATATAACTTAAATAATTATATTTTAACTTTTTAATTTGGATTTTAGTCAGAATATAGTGTAGCTTGGTGACATCAATATTCACGTTTAAACAATATCAATAAACACTAACAACTTTACTGATATACAATAATATGGTAATAATTGTTTTGTAAACGACGGCAATTTTCGATCTGAAAATCCCATCCTATGCATGGCCATAAAAAGACATTGACCTTGTTATTTATTAAAGTATGTGGACGTGAGTTCAGTTCCAAGTAAAAATATCTATGACTACTGGTCATGCTCATACACATGATTCAAGAATGTCAAACAATAATAAATGTTATTTTTTTATTATTATTTTTTATCACCATTTTTTTTTACTTTACTTATACGGGGTTGTTAGAATTGTAATTTTTCATCGATTATTCATCATAGGTAGTTCAAAGAAAAACCAATATTACTACACGGGTGTGCCGTCATTCTGTGTCTCCCTGTAAACGAGTATACTCGGGGATGGGGATCTTAAATAGCGTATTGCGATTTTCGATTGCACAAGTTCGGTGTGCGTATTCGTCGTTTATGGCAAAAGAGGGAGGGGGGAGAGACTCCCTTCGTGGAATGGCGCAGCAGTCGTGGCTGGCATCCACTCGTGTCCGATTCCTATCGTGCGCGTCCAGACGCCGCCTCATGCGATTTACAAATCGTTATATATTAAAATGAGTGTATTATAGCTGATATTTTTATATACACGTAATGTATATGTATATCTTCTGCTGCTGCTGTGTTGTCCGGTTTGCCGTACGGCCGCGGCCCGGACGTTAATCCATGACGAAAACAAAACCGCTGTTGCCATATCTCATCACGCGAGGCATCCGGCGGGCGCGCGCGCGCGCGGTGCGGCGCGGCGCGGCGCTCTCCGCTCGCCTGTCCGCCACCGCGGGTCCGTCACGGCGGCGGTCCGGGGGCCGACGTTCGCCACACACATACCTATCGATCGAACGCGCCGTCGCACTCACGTTTGCATACGCCCAGCAACGCGCATGCGTGCCTGTGCTCGCGATACGGCCTCACGGGGACGCGTGCGCCGCGCGAGTAACGTTCGCTTATTTTCGTATATTATTCTCGCACGCGTAAGCCACCAAAAAAAAAAAAGACCATTGTATCGATATATGATACATTCGAAATCCGAACATAAAGATACATAAACACGTTACACGTTATAATATATATATACACGCGATATCGTGTACTGCTGTACTGTGTTTTACAACGGCACGGCGTCTATGCGTGAAAAATTCCAGGTATTCTATTTCCGGAGTGCCGCCGCATGGTCCCGTGTGTAACGTTCGTTTTTTTCGGCCAGTGTGTATCCGGCCATATTATTATTGTGTTATTACTATTATGTAAAATCGACACGTTTCGATATCCATCTCTCCCTCCGCACTGCACCGCCGACGGGCGATGACGTGCACATTTCGGCGCATCTAACCCAGTCGGGTGTCCCCGTAACCGGAATATCTATCATCGTGTACCCAGTTAATTTTATCGATGACGTACATTAGTAGATTAATAATGTATTATTATTACAGTTTATCGCCGTATTCGAGTGTTCGAAAGACGGGCTGGTAAAATAAAAAAAAAAAATCTGGTCGTCCGCTCATCGTGTAACGATTTCAATTACCGGTCGTAATACTTTTATTACTTTTTATCATTTTTTTTTCTCAAATTTTGAGTATTTATAAATCTACGCGTTTTCCGTTGCGGCGTGTCGTGTGGCGATCAATCACAATCGATTGTGGCGTGCTATGCGATTGTGCCCGGCTACCGCGGTGGCGGCGGTGGTGGCCAACGTTCGCCTCGCCGGCGGTATGGAGGGGGTAGGACGCAGCGTCCGCAGCGCGTTGTGTGTTTGCTTTGCCCGTTCCACCACACCAGACCTACTCTACGCCACCGTCGACTTGTAGTTGCCGCCGCCACCCTTCTATCATACACACCGTTTCGTTTTCAATCTCGTCCGTCTGTGAATCGCGCGCGCGCGCTTCGTTCCTACACGGTACGCACACCACGCATACACGCACGCACATACACTCACACACATATATAAACACATAGTGCATACGCAGTTGATCCATACGAAATATTTTTCCGTACGTTTATATCAAAAATAATACATACGTATACGTAATATCATTTATATATATATATTCGTTGACCGACAAAACAATATTTTATTTTTCTCGTCTCCGCGTCGTACCACAACACTCAGTTGTATAATAGTAGTGACCGTGTGTCCGCCACCGCGAGTGTGTACCCGTCGTCCGTTGCCGCGCAATATTTCCGTCGCTCCGGCCGTCCACGTCCATTATAGGTGAGTAACACACACGCATACGGCCGGCCGGTGTCTAATCTATTTTTATCGCACGCACGCAATTCCCGGCCGGGGGCCCCCCGAATCGAGACCATGTACTGTTTGTGACATTTTTTCCGATTCCCAGTTAACGGACTTTTTTTTTTCTTCCCCTCTAGATTTAAAAATTGATCATCTTACGATTCGCCCGACCGTGTTTGGTTTTTTTTTTTTTCCTCTCTTCTAAGTTTTCCCAGACGACCAGCAGTCTGGAATTGCTGTCACCGTCGCCGCCGGCGGCCACTACCGCATGGTTATTACGCGAACGCGTCTCGGGGGTTTAGGGGAGGGGGGCCACAATGCAGCAATCGCATTCCACGACTGTGTGTCACTCGCTTGCACAGACACACACACACAAACGCGCGCGCGTGCGCTCGCAGGTAGCGTACACACTATACCTGTCCGCCGATAACCAGGAAGAACTCGTGTCGTGCGCGCGCTCGCGCGGCGCCTCTACTACGAGGAAACAAATCGTCGTCTACTTACGTTTTTCTGGGAAATCTGCGCGAGTTTTTCTCGCCTCCTTTACTTTCCCGCCCGTCTTATCGTAAAAATCGATCGACGCGCATTCGCTCCCCCTCCATTCGCCCCCGTTCGGCCGTGCCCTAAAATATCGCGCAACTTGTTGTGTGATACTATAGTAGTAGTAGTAGTAGTAGTAGTATAATGATATTATCGACTGGGTACCGGGGAAAACGCACAAGAGCAAAAAAGAAAAATAAAAAAACCAATTCGTTTTATTGATTTCCAAATATAGAGTTTCGTATCGAATAAAATAATATTATATTGTATAACGCGTCATACTCCGACGACGCCGTTGTTGGCTTTGTCGTTATTGCACTAGGTAGTGCTCGCTATAAAATATTATGTGAAACCAACGACTATGACGACACGGTAATAATAATATCGAGTATGCGAGTATATGGAGTATAATATATTCGGTAGTATTAACCACTTTCGATTGGAAATATCCGGTTACCCGATCCTGCCTCCGCGCAGTAAAAAAAAAAAAAAATCTATATTTAACTCGAACCCAAACAAAGGTACCTATATCGAAGTTGTGTCGTACGACCGTGCACTGAACTTTATTAAAACATATTTACTTGGGTGCGTGTTTATACGTGTCGATTGGTGAGCTGCGTATGCGAGAGAAATGTTTTCGATTCTCGTAAAAGAACCGCTTTTGATTTATTATCAGACTTATCTCCACAGACACTCCGTCGACTTGCATTTATTCATTAATAAATCAATATAAAAATGCACGATCGAACAATATTATGATACTAATAGTATTGTGGCGGGACTCGTATTGGTTATTTATATTTTTCAATGACCTATAGCCAACTAATAATTATAATTAAACACTTTTTTTTTCGTAACTATAGGCACTTAATTTGAATAAAGCATTAATTGTATAAATTTGAATTCTTTGTCGGTGTTTTGCTACCAATGTTCAAAAATAATACCTAATAAACAACTAAACATTATTTAGATGACAATAAATAATTAACATATTATTTTAGTTGTTTCCAATTGATTGGTTAGTTAAGTAATTTTTAAATTGGTTATTACTTTCAGTTCTTTTAAATAATATGTTGAAAATAGAATTCATTGTGTGTGTTTGTTCTAAACAAATTTAATCCGTTGTTCACTATTATTTGACAACTAACTGTGTTGACTTGAATAACACCGTATTATTATATTTGCCGAGATATCTACTATTTGATTTAATTTGAATACCTTATTTAAATGATTTAAGAATACCTTCCATAAATGTAACTTATGCATTTAACACAAATTAGGTTATTAAATAACACATTTAATTTTCAACATTTATTGTTTTTGTTTGTGCAGGTTAAATTAGTCTGTTGGTCAAGTTAAATATCAAATGTCTGGAGATAAGGAGGATTCGGTTCAGAGAGCCAAGCTGGCCGAACAGGCTGAACGGTACGACGACATGGCTAGCTCAATGAAATCTGTGACTGAGACTGGTGTGGAACTATCTAATGAAGAGCGCAACCTGCTTTCGGTAGCCTATAAAAATGTTGTGGGTGCTCGACGATCATCGTGGCGTGTGATATCTTCAATCGAGCAAAAAACAGAAGGTTCGGAAAAAAAACAACAAATGGCAAGAGAATACCGGGAGAAGGTTGAAAAAGAACTTAGAGATATCTGCTATGACGTATTGGTAAGTCTTTTATTTTTTTAATTTTAAATTGTAAATTAATTTTATTTATGGACGTCAATATTTTAATTGCTTATTGTAAATATTTTGTTTTATTTTAGAACCTCTTGGACAAATACCTAATCTCCAAAGCGAGTAATGCTGAAAGCAAAGTTTTCTACCTTAAAATGAAGGGTGACTATTACAGGTACCTGGCGGAAGTAGCTACAGGTGAAACGAGAAATGGTAAGCTTTTATGTGTATCAATAATAATTATTAAATACTGATTTATGTGCTATAGGTTTTAGAAATAATTCTATAATTTAAATTTTAAATAATCTTTTTGAACAGACATAAAACTACATTTTGTTATTTAATGTTTATATCTAACATTTTATTTGCATATTATTTTGTATGTATACATTATTTGTTGTAATTACATCAGGGTTTTATATGGACAAAAATTTAAATAGTTCAAAGATAGAACAATTATGATAATTGATACAACTTACTTTTACTATAATATTTCAAATGTAAAAATATAGAGCAATATTAACTAACTCAATGCCTTCTAGTAAAGTTCTGTGTTTCCATTTTAAAGCTATTGTATGATGATTTACTAATATAACTTTCGTTCTTCTGAAACATTATGAAGAATAATACATTTTTTTAGCTGAATAGTTAGTAACTTTTACTAAATGTGTTTTGTATTGATGTTTTAAACAATTTAACATATTTAAGTCAAGACTAAATGTACTTCACACATATATTAGATTGAATTCTTATAAATTCATATTGTGCATGTAAAATACATGTACAGTAGCAATTCAAATTTAAGTTAATTTTATTGTTCTATAAAGTTTATCAAATGATGTTTAATAATAACTTTCGTTCTTCTGAATTTGATTGAGGAAAATATTTTTAAATAACTGATGAGAAAAAATTGTACAATTAATATAGTTATATATATATATAATTGCAATGTTTAGGTTAATTTTCCCATGTATAATATATTATACAGTAAAACTTCTGCTAACGGTCACCTCATTGTAACTAGAATTTTTTATGGTCCTGCCAAGTGTTATGTCTTTATAAAACACCTAAATAGCGGTCATTATTTCCGGTCTCTTCGGTAACCTTTATATGGAAGTTTTACTGTAATTTTTTCATTTAGGCTATCTATTATAATCATTCAATCAATTTAATAAATATGTTTTAAATTAGTTATAGATGTTTACAATATAACCTATATTAATATATAGTTCAATAGTATTAAACTTGTGTATCAAATGATGTTGCAATTAATAACTTTCGTTCTTCTGAATTTGATTGAGGAGAATATCTTAAAATTACTGATAAGAAAGAGTTCTAAAATTAACATAACTATACAAATTCTATATTTGAGTTATTTTTCTGTTAATAATTTATACTTCAAATTATAATTAGTTATTACTTTTATAATTAAAAACTTAATATTGTCCTATTTAAATTAATTTTAGATGTTAGCATTACAATATAATCTATATTAATATAAATGTCTACATAATTAAACTTGCGTATCAAATGATGTTACAACTAATAACTTTCGTTCTTCTGAAGTTATTTGAGGAAAAATATTAATTTACTGATGATCAAACAATATAAAATATAAGAACAATAATAGATAGGCCTTGTTGGTACTAAATGAATTATTAACAAATTAGTTGAAAATTTTAAATGCATCTCTAATTTCTTGATGTATTTTAGTATTAACATTATTTTTCTATTTTAATTTCAATGCTATATGATTGCCCAAAATATCATATTAAAAAACAAATTGGAAGTCTTGTTTTAAACTATTTTTTGTGATAAAATAGCTGTGGTTGAGGATTCTCAACTAGCTTACCAGGACGCATTCGAGATCAGTAAAGCAAAAATGCAACCAACACATCCAATTCGATTGGGTCTGGCGTTAAATTTCTCCGTGTTTTTCTATGAGATATTAAACTCACCAGACAGAGCTTGCCAACTGGCGAAACAGGTATTTATTTCACAAAATGTAACATATTTCTTTTTATTGGTATTTAGGGGTGGTGGATGATTCACAAAAAGCATATCAGGAAGCGTTTGATATTGCTAAGTCAAAAATGCAACCCACTCATCCTATTAGACTTGGATTGGCATTGAACTTTTCGGTTTTCTATTATGAAATTATAAACTCCCCAGCTCGTGCTTGTCATTTGGCCAAACAGGTACCCTTAATGTCTTCCTGATGAGTCCTGAAATTGTGGATTTGAGTGATTTCTTCAGTGGCGGAGTATTAATAAATGGATATTTTCAATTGCTTTATAAAAAATAATAATAACAATAATTTAAAACTTTTTCATACATTATTTGGTTTTGCTAATAATTTTAAATCGATAGATTTGTATATAAACTAAAAGAAAATCTAGATTTTTCTAAAATCCGCCACTGTTTTTTTTTTTTTTAACATGTTTGATTTTGGAGCTTCTTTAATATCTAACCAGATTTGTATAAACTATTGATTGCATCAAACTACAGCAAAAATAATTTCCATATGCTTTTTTTTTTGCTTTAAAAGGTTAAATATTTTTATTAATTCTCATGAGTTCTCGGTCTCCTTTTTATATCATACAGTAATTTTCATTTTTATTAAAATTGGAATTACATAATGATCTGGTCGTCTTATGTAAAGGTTAAATATTTTATATTGGAGATCGAGGTTATTTATTGTATGAAACTAATGCTTATATTCTTGTGTTTGGAATTCCTTATTCTTAAAAAATTACTTTCTAATTATCAATATTTGTATTTAGGCTTTTGATGATGCAATTGCTGAGCTGGATACGTTGAATGAAGACAGCTACAAGGACTCAACTCTCATCATGCAATTGTTGCGTGATAACTTGACGTTATGGACGTCTGACACACAAGACAACGATGAGCCCCAGGAAGCCGCTGGAGACAACTAACTCTTTTACTAAAAATATTTAATATAAAAATAAAAAAATACTATAATAATTTTTAATAAAGCAAAACAAACATTTTCACATTTCCGCGAGAAACTGCGCCCCCTCATCTTCCACCCTCCACACATCTGCGCTCTCACGACACGCTCTTTGTTTTTGGTTTTTTTTTTTTTTATACCTGTTCTCTAAAAACAAGAAAACTTGAATAAGAATAAATAAACACTTTTTTTCTTTATTAGTCTATTAATTATCTATTAATTATTATTGAATGTTTATAACTATTATTATATAGAGTTATTTCAATAATAATAATAATAAATTATATATATATATATATATATATAACTACATTTTGGAAGTATGTCATAGTTATACTATTCAATTAACACGTTGGATGCTGGTAATTTATCGTAACTAATTAGATAACAATATTTCTTAAATCTAATGTTTACTAAATTTCATCTAATAGAAGTATCGAACTATCTTCTTAGTGAAACTATTGCCAGCACTCTTCGTGTTGACCGTCCGTTTATAATGTTTAAATGATTTATATGTTTAATTTTGAAACCGATTATACGGTAAATAACTTTAAAGTCTGTAAAAAAAAATGTTTGCTCTCATAATTCGATCATAATTTTAAACACATATATATATATATGTATGTATATATATATTATTGAACTAATATTTATATATGTATGTATATGTATATAGTTATATTTTATATATATTATATAAACCTCAAAAATTTGTTTGTAATAATAACATTGTGCTGAGTTTCTAATTACTGTGATTTTTCTATCTTTACAAGTCAATGAATATAGTTGTTTCTTACTGGTTTTAGTTTATAGTAGTTTCATCTTTACTGGTTTTGACTTCCATTCCCTTACTCACATCGTTATTTTCATTTTTAATATATATATATATTTATTCAAATTGTTATTGTACTTAAAATGGAATTATTTATCTTTTTAATGAAAATGAACGTTTATTCGAGTGAATAACTGTTTCATATCAATTATCATCTTATTTTTTCTCGTTTCTGTATTTTTCTCAAGTCTCTTACAACCTAACTTATTTCTTCAAGCGCGGCCTGACAATTCATTAAAGATTTGATTAATTATGATACTGATTGATATAAATTTAAAATATAAGTGTTTCATTTTGAAAATTTTTATACAATGTATGTGGTATAAACTTAATAATTAAAAAATTGATAAAAGTTTTTCTTTTTTTTTTTTTAAGTATAAGCAGCCATTGTAATTTTATAAGATGCACTTTTATTATTTTGCAATTTGTTTAATTTAAATATATATATATATATAATTATATATATACATACATACATATATATTTGGTCATAGATAGATTATTATTACTATGATTTGATAAAGCTTATTTATATGTGTTGCCTTTCCTTTAAAATTTTCCCCTACTATTTTATTCTTGTTTCAATCTATAATTATTTAAAACAATAAATATTTATTACATGCAGATCCTTGGTGTGAAAATTGAAAAATATAAAAAAAAAAAAAACTGAAATTGAGAAGATACACATTGCTAAGACTTATTATTTATTTTTTTTCGTAACATATTCTTTACATTTTGTAGATTAATAAATTAGTGTTTTATAAATATTAACATATTTGTTAAAATTAGTACCATATTTGTCAGCATATTATTTATTATATTTTTATTAAGAATATTAAATTTTAAAATAATGTATTAAGGATACAGAACTTATATTCATTACTGAAACTTGGTACAATTGAATATCTTAAATAATTATGATTTACTATTCTATTGGTTTGTATTTCTTTTTTCATATGTCTTGAAAATAATATTAATGAATAATAATGCTAATAAGAAATTATTTCTTTTTTAATATTCTTATTCTATTTATGCTGATTAATCTGAGGTACAATTTTTGGCTGAAGGTCTGGTGTAATAGTTCTTAAATGTTGCAGACTTTTATTTAAAGTACAAAACTCTTAAAATTGTTTTTACTTTTTAGAATGGCTTATTTTAAACTGAAAATATTTTAACAGGGAGATGAAGGGGGAGTTATAAGATTTTGAGTGTGGGCCAATTTGGCCTCTATATAGTATTCTGATGCATAATTGTTATTTTTATTTTAAAACTGGCGGTTATTGAGGTTATTCATAGCGATTAAGACCGGCGGTGTCTGTCAGTCAACTAATTTAAAATTTGTGCAATTAGACATATCTAGTTAAGTCGCCAAAAGTTTGTTTTCTGTTATAATTTTTAAAGTTATGCATTCAGTTGTAAATAAAAAGTTACTGATCAAATCATATTAAACATTAATTTTAATCATTGACTAGGTAATTAACGTTAGGTTTTTATAAATTGAGGCCTTGAAAGAATTGCGCTACTATAAACATAAATAATCTACACAATCGTTGATCGTCAAACAAAAAAATAATATGTATCATTTACTTAAAAATAATTAATATTAATATTGCATTGGTAAGTATGTAAAAATTAAATGATTAATATTAAATATATAATTAAAATAATAAAAGTATTAGAGAGCCTGGAGTGTGCAACAACCAGTTATGAATTAAAAATTTATCATAAGGTATATCAAAGTTAAAATGTAAAACGGGGCTGTATGTAAAAAATAATATAAATATTGGGTATCTATATATATTTGTATAAATATTTGCCTAATAGATATTGTTTATTTTGATGCTATAACTAGACAAGAATCACATTCTAAAAATATTTTTTATTAGACTAAGGAATACTTGATTTAAACCTACACTAAGAAATTATAATAGTAGTTGAATTTTTTGATGATTATTTATTTTCAAATAATTTATACAACTGAATAATTTTTAACCATCATTTCACTCGCTCAATGGACTAAAAAACATATAAAGCATTAATTTATGAATTGGTATATTTTATAGAATTTCATAAATCGTTTTTAATATTTCTTATTTAACCTGTACAAAATATGACATAATTAAATTTTAAAAATGTATTGCTGTATTAAACTAATATTTCTATATAGTATTGTGTATTGGTAATAGTTATTTTAGATTTTGAGCAGAGCAAAGAATGTATTGGTTTTACAATTATATATATATATATTTTTTTTAATATTTTGTACAAAAATTCTACCAGAAATCTTGCTCCGAAGTATCAAGTGTAGCACCTTTTCTGAAATAGAATGTTCATAGGATTGTGCTCTAGGGAGGCCGTTTTTTTAGTTTTCCCAATAAATAGAAAAATGTACGAAATACATTAGTTATTATTTAAGATTTAAATGAATTCTAAAAATGTAATTATTAAACAAAATAGATTTTGGACAGTTACTATATTACAGTCTATTTAATGTATCTAGTAGTATTAAATCAACTTTTTTGTGCTATTGATTACCTAATATATAATGTTGCACAGTGCAAGATATTCATTGCTAAACTTAAGGAGGTTTTCCGGTCCACAAGGCATCTTTCAAGTACATTTATCTACCTATTATTTTGTGAAATATTATTGTTTGCCCTGGATTTTCTTCTATTTTTTATCGACCTTCAAACTAAGATTGCTCACATTATTAAAAAACAATTGTATGATACACATTGTTTTTTAGCACCTTGTGATTGACCTTATAAAACCCTTTATGTGTAATGTGTATTTAAGTATTTATCATAATAAACTTTTATTATATGTATGGTATTCAATATTTATTACCTAAACACTACCCAAATAGCAATATTTTGTTTTTTTTATTTTAGGAACCACTGTGTTCTCTTATCAAATAAAAACTTAAAAAATATCACATTACCTACATGAGGAAGTTTGTACTTATGTAGGTGATTTGTGTATGCACGTTATTTACAATAGGCGTCATCTGTCAAATTTAAATTTTTAAATACCTTTGGTTAATTAGTCGTAAAGATGTCGTATTTGTATCATATAAGATACGTAAATATGAAGTGTGTTGTAATTTTTTGCACGCAATGATACTATTGTTATAATAGTTAAAATCATTTTTTTATTCTTTGTTGTTTTTTTTTAGGTATTATGCGTCGATAATCAATTGTTGTTTGCCAAACGAATTTGGCGCGAAGTCCATTGATACTTACGATTTATTAATGGACTTGGACCGTGAGTTAAATTTAATCATTTTGCTTTGTTTAAGTCCATATTTAGACATGATCCATCCCAGGCTAATGGCTTTACTCGAAAATGGTTTAATGATTAAGCGCTACTTAGTTGGCGTCTACTGATCTGAGCATCTTAGTTTTCCTGATATGATCGAAATTGAAGATAGAGTTTATGTAAAATGATTTGTAAAAATTTTAAAACTTAATGAAGTTCAATCCAGTCATAAATAAATCTAGTTTCCGGCTTAAGTAATTTTTTTTTATTTACTTATTTTTTCAATAACTACCGAATTTATGGGAATTTAAAACGGTGCTTTTCACGTCTGTTTTACACACTGCTAGCAACATGGGAATTTCTACTTCTAATATCATATTAACTAAAAAAGTAACTAAGAAATGGGATGTATTAATTTTGGTGAAAGTCGATCTCAAATTGATGACAAATTCAAATCTGGTTTCAGAATTCTTATTGCTTTACTAGATTAATCAGTATATTGGAAACAGAAAATATCTATTTTCCTATGTTGCATGTATCTAAGACAAAAATAGAAAATCATTACTTCCAATCTTAATAGGTATTGTTTTACCGCTTGCACTAACAAAAAAAAAATCATAAATTATCTATTATAATTGATTTTTTATCAAATAAATAAAAAGGATAACTGTAAAGATGCTAAAGCTTCCTTGAGTTCTAATTCAGAACCCCTAGTGCTAATTCTGATATCAGCATTCTGAGTAGGTATTAAAAACCAAAACTAATTATAAAAAAAGGCAATTTTCTTATTTTTCTCGTTAGTTTTTTTTGAATCTGACATTTGATTCATGATTAGTATATCTACAATATTTGTTTAAGCCCCATATACATTGCCTTATAATTAAACATATTTGTAAGAAAAACAATTTTATAAATTGTTATACATTTATTATAAGTTGTTTTTCGTTAATATGGAGCAACAGCGTTTCTCAAATTGATCAATGTTAAACATTAAAAAATAGAATTTAAATTATGCATAGATGTTTAGTCATAATTTGAATACATTGGCAATATTTGCATTCACCATTTATTAAAAAATAAAAGGATTGTAATTCAATGAATGTATTCTCTCCAAACACTGGTTGAAAGTTAAATACATTTATGTTTTTAATATTTACAAAATTATATTAAAGTTGCATGTTTAATGTTAATTATAGTAATTTTCAGATGTTTTATTTGTATAATCACACGACACTGGAATAGCAACAATTAAAATTAGAAAAAGAAAATCTCAGTGGTTCCGTTACAATGGTAGTTGGGTCAACTGATGTTGAATAATCCTTTCTGTTTAGAATACTTCTCAATAAATGCATTCTTTTAGCCATAGACCTATTTATGTTGATTTAGATCCAGGTTAGGGACAAATATCAGTTTTGGAAACATTCGGTAATGTATAATATTATAAAGGGCGATTACATTATAATTTACAGTAGGTCATTAACATTAATCTTTTATTAGGTGCAGTCGTGGTTGAAAGGCCAACAAAAGTGGAAGAATGCTTCTCCCAAGCACTATTACTAGTTTATCATTATGATGTAATAATTGAACTTGCTTTTGGATGGCAGAGGTTCTACATTAGCAAATGGATAAAAACTAGAAGTAATTTCAACCTATATTAAAATATATATTATGTATTGTGTGCTTCAGAAAAAATGAAGTCAACTAATAATTACAGACCTTTAAACTGTTATAATTTATAAAAAAAAGTTTTATAACTAAAGACCGGATTTTTGTGCAACTAACACCTAAAAAACAATGAAATTAAAAATGCTGAAATGTACATATATTATATAACACATATAATTATATAACACATTTTTCATTATAGATACTTCAAATTTTATTTGTATTGCTATTTATTTTTATAATATTATTATTTATTAGTAGACATTGAGAATATTTGATTACAATTTTACTATAAAGTATTACTTATGTAAAAATATAAAATTTAAACTGCTTAGCATGTAAATCTCTAAGTTCTTTTCTGTAAAATTATGTCTTCTGTCACTTAATATGTGTTAATTATGAAAACACGCGTTCTACATCAAAACTTGTTATTGGGCATTGTTTGTATTATATTATATCAATATATACAATTATATTATTAAATATAAAAGTCCAGTGTTTCATATAACTACATAATATAGTAATGATAAAGGAACATAAATTACTAAATAATTTCTATTAATAATAAATGTTATAATAGATTATAGAGTAAAAAAGTACTAATTAGTACATATTTATAAAAAAAAAACTTAAAACGTGCAATTTTGTGCAAAAATAATCTTTCTTTAAATTAATTCATGTCTCTTGATTTGGGTTTTTAGCTTATTTCTATAGGATTTAGAACACTCCATAAAGATATATAATTACATGGGAATCCGGTCTTTATTTATGAAAAACCTAAATAAAACAATTTATTAAACAGAACAATAATATATTTGAATTTAATTACCAATAGTTTGGTAAAACAAATTTTAAGTTAATTAATTACCTTACCACAAACCACATTAAAAGATCATTTAATAGAAGTATTTTTAATCTAAAACAATTTGTAACAGAATTATTAATACTGAGGTATTCAAATTTTAAATTTTAAATGTTTAAACCAAAAATTAAGTTTTACATTCTATAATATTTTAATTTATGATTTTAGCTTGGATAAAATATAAAATTTCAAAATAACACATGTTTAATCACTAAAAAAAAGAAACATTTTAAAATTAATACATATTACATGCAACACTGTTTGATGTATAACTATTAACAATTGAACTGTTTTTCATTTTAATCATTGTAATAAGCTTATTAAAAATACAAATATTAAAAAAAAATATTTTTAAGTAATGATTTTTACAAATAGTTTGATAAAACAAATGTTTTGTTATATTATTAATAGTGATTGTAGTTTATTTAAAATTTAAACTAGTTTACTTTATTTATAACATTATTTATTTTTCAGTATATTATTTTTGGGTAATTATCAATAAATGCAGATGAGTTAAAGGCAAATAATATTAACTCTGAAATTGAAGTCTATATTATTCCTGTGTTCGATCAAGAGCATTTCTACAATGAAGTATTGAAAGATGTGCTTTATCAAAAAGTGACTAAGAAGTAACAGAAATTTAATATCAAAATGTAATTATATTTGTTAATTTTATAATTAATTGTATTTCTTCTATACTTAGTTGTAAGGAGTATTACAGAGAAGCGCATAATATTCCCAGATACTTTTAAAGTTCTACTAGAAAAACATTACATCATCTTACATTTGTGATTGTGAAGTTATGTAAATAATATATAATAATATAAGTGTACTGAAACAGAGCTCTACACGTTCCTAATATATAGCTGATATGTAAAAATCAGATTTTGAAAAAAAAACTTAACTCTCAGGTCAATATCTAATAATTTTAGACTATTTTACTTTTTTGAGGATTTTATTTTAATGTTTTATCAAATTCTTTAGGGCCGAATATTAAGTTGGTTTTGAGTTTTGATAATAGATTGAAAATGCTAGTAGAATCAGATTGCTAGTTTAAAAGTATGTAAGTATAATTTATTCTAAAAATGGTAGGAAGTCAGTTTTCTCAATGCTATTTATTTTACTCAAAAGTTTATTTTTTAATTCATTATTAACTAATATATAGATATAAATATGTTTTTAAATTTTACTTAATAAATTATTTAATTTTTATTTTTCTATTAATATATTTCTATATGGTTATTTTAAATACTATCCATACAACAAATTAGTATAAATTGTTCTCACTTCTTAATTAAAATAGAAAATATGTATTAATAATTGTAAAATTTATGTTGTGAAATATTTATTTATAATTATTTATAACCATTGGGCTACCATTAAAACAAAATAAATAAATAATTATTTAAATATGTGGAACATATAAGATATAGGTATCTAATTGTATATTATGTATACATAAAAAAAACGGACATCGCACCATAGATGGGCCACTTTTGTAGTTGAGAATTTGGGAAAGTAGGATTTAGATGAGAATTCAATTTATATCTATGCAATTATTAATCATTTCTAATGAAATATTATTCTTAACAGATTTCACTTTTGTAGTTGAGTAATTTTAGTAAAAACAATTTCCATTTTCACAACAATTGTTTAAAAAAAGATTAAAAGATTTAAAACAACAAAAACTTATTAATAAAAATAAATAAATCAAAATAGTTGCTAATGACAACTTTACTTGTAATCTTTTAATATTTTTTTTTAATCAATAGAACCAGTTAGGGTAGATGTATAATACGCCTGAGACAGACAGAGAATATGAATCGAGTCAATGACCAGTGACTAATAAAGTCTTATTGATGATATATTATCGCCAGATGATATATATATATAAACTTGTTATTAGGCAATTAGGAAAACTGTTACATAAATAAAACATAATTTTTGAATGTATCTAGTGTCTTAATCATAAAAAGATACTAGATACAAGTCAAAAAAAGTATTTAAAACAAGATACAATTGTATCTCAGATACATATCTGAAATATTAGTATCTAAGATACTACCCAGTTCTGGTTATAGCAAAATGAGTGAAGCATTAGTGGACTGTGGTTCTGTTAAAAATCAATTTATATGGTACACACATATAGGTAAATTTATTCAATTAGTGGGCAATTTTTATTTTTTTGTATTCAATTCACTTCAAAAAAAAAATGAATCGAAAAATCAAATTAGAAATTAAATAATTAATAATGATATTAATAAAATTAAAATACAGTTTTAACAATTTGTTAAAAATATTGCTAATATTGATCAATTCATGAAATAGAGTAATTATTATCAGTCATATTTTGCGCATTCTAAGAATTATAAAATTCATTTGGCCATTTCAAAAAAAGAGCAAAAAAATTATCATTTCATGAATTGGACAAATTTACCTTTGTGGTGTAACATATATATTATTATTTGTGAATATTATTTTAATTGGCATTATTATATTAATATTATAATTGTTAAATTTGTTTATCATTTCTATATTTATTTAATTAGTTTTTTGATTATTAACTACTAAAACAATTTGTTTGATGTTTGTTTCTTTATTTACTTTATAATATTATTATTTACATACATTTAAAAAAAATTATAATCCAAAATAATAGGAATGTACTTGGGGAGTACTTGTTAGAATTTGTTTTGTCTTTTTAATTTTCTAATCCATTGTTTTTTTAATATGTCCAATTAATATATGATTTATTTTCAGGTTCAATTGACTCAAGTATAGTCAAAATTAATTTATTAGATACTTTTACTGAAAAAATGAAATACGTGATTAAGAGGTATTTGCACATTAATTGGTAATGATTTGACAAACGAAGTACGCTACAAGACCAATCGCAGAAGAAATTACTGGAAACTCTTTTCTGAATTTGCCAACAAATCAGTATTTATCACTAAAAGATGATCAGATTCGAGAATTTATTTTTACTATTACTGTAAAAGAAATATTGTTATTATTCTTTAATTTACATAAATGATGAGTAAATTATTATTATATATTCATTTTTTTTTTTTTTTTTTTGTGGTCGAACAACCTGAGTACATAAATAACAAGTATAATGATAATACAAAAAAAAAAAACAAATGTATAATACATAGTTGTTAAGCTGTGGTAAACCAAAAATAAATACTATACATATTAGATATTAACAATGACTAATATTATATGGTTTTTACAAATCAACATTATATTCCGTTCTGACAATAGGTTTTGTATAACTAATGATTGTATACCTGTATAATAATTTACCGCGGGTCTTTGTATTTATAATATTATTTATCAACACATATGATTTTCTGGTTTTTTTTTTGTGGGAGGGGGGGATAAAGGAGGGTTTTTGTAAACAACTTTTACCAGAAATAGTTTTTTTAAGAATTATATAAAAATGTGTATATAAAAAATAAACATAGACACATAAGTATATTATAATTTATAATACATTATTTTAATTATACCTATCTATATTTATTAATTTGTTATTAGATTAATCTTAAAAATGAAACTATAATACCTAAATTCATGTACCAATTGTATTTTTAATATTAACAAAAAATAATTACAAATTTAAAGTTATGACATTACCAATGGTGTAAATTGGACAGTGCAAATATAGCATTTGCACTAACACACTTGAAATGTGGTGGTGCCAAGAGATAAGTTTGCACCACCGGACAATTTTAATAATATGTATAATGTGTATAAAATAAATTATTTCCACGTAAAATGACCAATTTGTATAATTTTTTTCTATATATTCCTTCATTTAATTATTTATATTCAGTCGAGTTTTACATTTTGACTGTGATATACCCGATGAAGAATTTTTATTTGAAATCACTTATCATATTACTCTGGAGACACATTTATTCATATATTTATTTCCAAATATTAAACATTTTAATAATTTTGTTTTTACTTTATTATTTTATTAACTAATAAAAAGTTTTACTGTCCTAATAATTCAACACAATATTTTGATTTGTGTAAGAAATCCAAATTTAGTGATAGAAATGAATTGTTTATTAGTTAGTGATTTACCAACAAGTTGAATTATTGGTAGGTTGGAAAATTAAATATTTCACTCCACCAATAGAAATTGAGATCAATTAACACCACTAGACATTACAAACTATGATGAAAAAATAATCAAAATGGACATAATTGTGTGCATATATTTTACTACCCAGATTTGTACAATGTCCTAGCCTAGTATTTCACAATTTAGGTACCACATCACAAAGGACAGAAAACGTCAATGCCTATTGGATAAAATGAGTTCAGTATTTTTTAGGAATGGGAATACCCTGGAGAGATTGGATTTTCACATTGGAGAATAAGTGGGACGCGCGAACGCGATCCCCGCTACCAAAAATTACGCGTCCGAGGTATTCGCATAAGGAATACTCGCAGGGGTCAACCAGCCCGGTGTGCAATGGGCAAGTCTCGTCCTGGAGGAACCGCCTCGTTGATCACGGTTAACCTCGACGCCAAGTAAGTATACCGCGCGGCCGTGTCGACGGCGTATTTATAGCAACAAGTCCCACCGATCCGTTACCGAGGCATCATGTGGACCCACCACTCCTAGACGCGTAGACAACTTTACCGACATGAGGTCGCATCTGCCGAAGGTGTGCGTGTGATGACGCTCGTGGCCATGTATTTCACGCTGTCTAAGACATCCGGGACGTCCCGGACCGTTGGCCACCCGAATCGCAAAGCCTGCTAGTCTGTGAGCGCTATCTACCAGCCGTACGCGGAGTTTTTCTACCGATAAAAGCGCTGGTTTCTACCAAACTGGCTCTTTCGGTAGGAACGATTACAATGTCCGTTTGCATATTACTATTTCGCACATGAAATAAAACCCGTCGCTCGTTATTTTTGATACCCACCTCGTTTGGCACGAAAACCTAATCTAGATACTTACCTACTTATTTATCTAAACGTAATACTGCTACTAGGAAGTAAATGTCCCAAGTGTAAACCTAAAAATCCCGATACCTAGTCAATGAAACACTTTAAAAATTTTGATGAATTGTAATACAAACCTGAATCTAATTTAAAAATTAGTGTTGACTTTATCAGAAGCAAAACTATTATTAGCGAATGGTTTTGATTGTTTAATTGACCGGTTCTATCGTAATATGACTTAATCAGGCGACCGAAGACACAATAATTTACTGTGTTTAGGAATATTAAAAAAAGAAAATTATCATTGTTGCCGTCCGAAAAGTAGTGCGTACCTACGTGTTTCATAAACTATGAGAAATTTGTGTTCGTCATAACTAATAACACCTAACAATAATAAGTAATAACATTTATTCAATCATCTGCATAATGATAATCCTATATTATTTACCTACTAGGTACCTAAGTGGTTACATTTAAAATCCACATGACACAATTTCCCCTCTTTTTAAGTAAAGTCTACAGTGAAAGGATAATGTTCGAGCTAATTAAACAGATAATTTAATAACTATATGATTTACCTATTTGTAAAAATTATCAATTAGCACAGAAACAAAAGTCTCAAAAAATAAAATGAGAATACAAGTTATTTCTTTTATATTTTTGTCATTTAATGTTTTTCATTTTTCTGTACTTAGTCGAATTTGATAACTACGATTTTCATTGATATTATCGACTGTGTAATTTAAAATTACACAATTTGTTTGTTTGGAAAATCTATTTACAGATTATACTATTTATTATTTAGGTAAATACGTCGTATATATTTTTATTATTACAATATCAAATGGTAAAGTTAAATATTTTAGTTGGAACAATCAAAAGTTGATTTCTCCAGTGTGTGCCGCTAGATAGCCACACTATATACACGCGAACGTTTTTTTTCAGTTCAAACATTACATTCATATGATTAAAGGTAGTACTGTAGTATTTTTCGTAAATTTAATACAGAATCGTCATATTCAAACGACCTTTGTTTGTGGGATCCAATAGAGGAAGAGGGGGGGGAGGGTAAGACAGGGCACTTTCTTTTCCCCTTGAAAAAATAATAAGAACTAATAATTTTAATAAATTGAAATGTGAAGTTTAACTATATATATATATAGTATATATTTTGAGATTTTTTTATTATTTTGTATGCCCTTACGTACGTTGTATGTATTTGTTGTGTGAAGAACAACATTATGCTCGCAGTATAAACCAGACATGTAGGTACCGATATGTCATAAAGGTTGATTAGTACTTACGGTGAATCATCAGAAACAAAAAATGTACATAATATACTTACTTGTTTAATTGCGATATATTTTTGTTTTGTACGAAACCACCACTTGCACTCGGAATTTATATCGCCGGATAAACCGAGTATAAAATAAAATATAAAAAACTATCAAATACAATACTTTACTGTTGTCGAAATGTGCACGCATAACATCACCGCACCGTGACGATGACGAGCGCGTGTCCGTTTTCGGCCGATAGATAGCGCGTCCGTTGAAAGTCTTTAGGAATTACTCGGCGGCAGACGGTTTCCACTCCTGAACCGGTACTTTAACCCGGCAAAAAGCTTTCGGCCCGTATTTCCGGATCCAGGTTGAAGCTGCCAAAGGTCTTGGCTTCCGTTCTAAGTTCCAAAGATGCCCGACTGATACTAAAACGTTCCGGTTGCGGACGGTTGAGCGACAACAGTCGACCAGTCTTTCAATAGCATATAACGGCCCTCGACTCGAGAAACCAGCATACTTACCTGGCGTGGAGGTCAACCGTGATCAAATAGGCGGTTCCTCCAGGGCGAGGCCCGGTCATTGCACATCGACTGGGTTGACCCCTGCGAGTATCCCTAATGTGGATACCTCGGACGCATAATTTTTGGTAGCTGGGACTGCGTTCGCGCCGTCCCTTATAATGAAATGAGCTTAATATCAACAATTGACTCCGATTAATTGTGCGAAGTGGGATAATCTCCCAACGTCTGTCATCGCGTCCATAACGACTCGTCGTCAAATGACCCGTATGGAAACTGGTCCGACAATTGCATTACATTCCACGCGCATTATTATTACTTCGCTGAGTATAAATCACCTGCCAAGACGATTGATATTTAGTGTATTATTACCGATTTTATTCCTCAAATCCAAACTAAACTGTAGGACTTGTGGTTGACGGATTTAAAATTTTGAAAATGGATAATAAATCTTTAGGTACTTTTCTAGGATATGTTGGAAATAGAAATTTACTTATTTAACGGGAAATCGTAAAATAAAATGGTTGTATTTTTGAAAATTTACGTAAAGTATTTTGTCTCTTATCTATGATAATTATAATTAAAATGAAAAATATAATTTCAACATACCCTAGTAAAGAACACAAGGAATCTTAATCTTTTTTCAAAGTTAAAATCCGTCAATCACGAGTCCTACAGTTTTGTTTGGGCTTTTTTTTTTTTTAGGTCTAAATATCATTTATTTTGATTGAAAAATAATTGATCCCAATTTATATTGACTTGTGTCTGCGAGTGCGTACGGATCACCCTGCATATCAAACATTGTCTCCGTCGAAACGACACCCGCTAAATGCAGATAAGGATGTTATTATTAGATAATTTTCTATTATTATTAATTTGTATTGTTATAATACATTATAATAATAAGGAGATTGGTGACGTCTATTTAAGGGGTTTAACTTAGGCAATACAATATGCATTCATGGCTTGCGTCTGTGTGCGCAGTAAGTGATCATTTGCGTGCGGATCCGTTTAACTACCTATCGCACCACTTCTATAGCAGGACTGGTTCTGTCGCGTTTCGCGTCGTTACGCCATCGCGTGGGCCACCACCGCCACTGGCATTCGATATTATTTTCATAATATTAACACGTTTACTATTTATAGGCATTTTAAATTTTCGAGTATTTTTAGTTTTGTTTGGTTTTACGTCGATAAAATCGGTTTGACCGCACACAAATGCATCAAAATTTGACACAAGTTGTAACATATAAACAAAAGTATACGTTTATATCGAATATTCAAAAAACATAGTTTGTGTGTGTGTGTGTAATATTCTTATATGCTCAAAGCAGCAAAAACATTAAAAATATTTTTCCCGAAGTTAATTCATATTATATGTATAGCGCACGCAGTTAATAGAGTTCTAGAGAAAATTCGAGAATTGTATCCCGACATTAATAAATTGATTAACAATGGTAATATATTAAGTACCTATTTAAAATTTTAATACATATGTAACTTGTTTCGTTTATTTCAGGAAAAAAAGCTTTCCTAAAAGTACCATCAAGAATAAATAAATACAGAAAAGAAATGCCGGGTATACCTTTACCACGCGAATCTATTTTTACAAGACGGGGAACATGGTTAGATGCTGCACTTTTCTATATAAATAATTTTTAAAAGTTTAAAAACATGATTAAAAGTTTAACAGATGATGCTACAAGTGTCGAATAGCTGAAACAGCTTGTACAAAATAATGCAGTCAATTGTGGTTTAACATTCATAAAATTACACTTATCCGAGTTACCCATGAATCTTAAAAATTTGGAAGAATCTTACAGTGAACTACTGAAAAGCATGGATATTTTTAGAAAAATTTAAGATATTTTAATAAATATTTCTGGTCCAATTGGGAAAAAAAATCATAGAAAAATGTATGTATGCAATTGAAAAAAATGAATAGTATACAACTTTAAAGTCTTACTATGAAGTCATGTCAGCTTAAGCAAATGTTAATTTAGATATAACGCCTACTTTATTAAATTGTTTTCAATATGCATCAGTAACTAGTGTAAACATAGAACGTAGTTTTTCTTTGTACACACATATTTTAATTAATAAAAAATTTAATTTTAATGAAAATAATTTTTAAATGTATCTAATTATCAATTTTAATTTAAAAAAGTAACATTCATTTATTTATTTTTTTTTATATAACTTGCATTTTTATTATGCAATTTATTATGCAATTTTTACGTATTTTTTTGTGCAATTATGTAATTTTAGTATGCAATTTTTGTGTTTTAAATGAAATTAAATCCGTTTTTTAATTATAACACATAGGTAAATACATACTTTTATAATACTAAACAACATTTTTACGACTATTAGTGATTAACGCCGTAATGTTATCGCCGGATATAATGCTGTTTGTAATCAAACAATACGAGGTAAAAATATTAAGGTGGATAAAATTTATCCGTTCTTTCCTGCGAGGTACAAATGAGAAGGGGGTAAAATTTGCCTGTTACCATTGGCTCTGCATACATATATTGGTAAGATTATATTGCATATTTCGAAGTTTAAATGCAATTCGGTTTTTTTTTATGTGCTTAGTGCTATTCCTATACCGTAGACTTCAGAATATACTTAATAACAAGAATAATTTAAACGGTCTTGAATATCTAGACTATCCTTGTAACTATAAATAAACTTGTAAATATATTATTCATTTGAAGATTAAATTACTAAATAAATACTCATAATTTTTATATTAAAAAGACAATGAAGGGGGTAGGCCCCTAACCTCTCTCCTTCAGCACACGTCACTGGGCATGGTCGTCGTCGGGATTAACGAGTAACGTACTGGTTTTTATTCTTTGATAATCGAATATATCGAATCCATGAATTATTGTTTGATTGGGTAAATGGATACCGTTAAACGGAATTTTATTTAAGGGGGATTTTGTGTGCGCATGCATTGTCCTCTTGCAGGTTTCGACTTGTGCACGTTATGCTTGTGAAATAACGAGTATTGTTGGCACAAGACATTTTTTTTGTTTCGTATTTTCAATATTAACGTCTCGTATTTTTCCATATGTACACACACACACACACACACACACACACACATACATATATATATATATATATAATAACAATTATTGTACAACACACTCCGTCAACATTGCCCCCGTATTATTATTATTTGTTGTTATTTGACGGCTGGCGAGTAAACGCCAAGAAAACGTACTGAATAGTATAGTTACTCGTACAACAGGGAAGAAATGAAAAAAAAGATTAATAAATAAATACCTCCTACTTCCGGCCGCCTCTTATTCCGAAACCCTCCGCAGCGCTGCGCGCGCGGGATACCGGATGCTGGTTGTTGGCGTTTACATTGTGCCCCGACGTTTTTGTCGCCCATTCAACCGGTCTAAAAATACTACGACACACACACACATAATATACCTATACACACGTATATATTGTAATCATCAACCTTTTTCTCGCCGCCGCCGCCACCACCGCCATTATTAAACGTCGTCGCAACCACCGCCACCGTTCGTGCGTGCGTGTACGGTCTATTTGATGCGAAGGGTCTTTCGGCCCCCGACCTCCCCTCGATCGCTCTCCGCGCGTATAGCATCTGTCTCTCTCTTTATTTTTACCGCAGACCGCACACGTGCACGCACGCACGCACACACCAGACTGCAGGCATTATAATACGTTATAAGGATAACGTAGAACGAGAAGGAGAAGAAAAAAAAAACAACCTTCCAGCTCTCGCAGTAATTTATTTTGTGTGTAATTCTTTGGCACGGCTTGTATACATTATATAACATACAGGGTGTTCACGCTAATAATAAGAGGTAGTACCCGCTTATTAATCATAATATTCTGCCGGTTACCGCGGTTTGTGTTTTGATCGATTTTTTGCCTACATGTATCTACACAATTGCCCGAGGTATAATAAAGTTAGACAAAAATATATGATTTTTGGAAAAAATTTAAATTTCGGTTATTGTAATACCTTTAAATATGTCAATATTATTAGATAATTGTACGGTGCCAACAGAATTTTTTTTCACTACGAAAGGGTTCGGGTTAAATGATAAAGTTATAAGGTAGCGGTATGTATAATCTGCACATTAACTGCAAGCGTTTTAACAGACCTGAGGATCCGACGAGACCCCTATCCCCGGAAATCCCTATTTTTCGTCTTGTAAGTCTTACAGGCGTGAACACGCTGTATATATTACTTATATATTTAATATCGTACCGTAGTGATGTTATGGTGCCGACGATTTACGCACGTTTCCTTTATATATTTATCTTTGGAAGACCGGGCGGCGCATTCCACCGATTTTTACCCCCTTTCGTATTTTTCGAACCATATGCCCCTACACACACACACACACACACATACACACATAATAATATTGTGTTTACATTTTGTACACGAAGAAATCCCCGCGCGGTTGTAACGTTTGTATAATAGCCGGTGGCCTATACGCGTTTCGGAGACCCGACGACGTGGACCCATTCACAAAAACGCACAAACGACCGCCGCGACGTCCGCTCAGGGGTACGAATAAATAGTTTTCGAGAGCGAGACGGCGAATGAATATGTACGAGAGAGTAGGTAGGCGTGTGTGCATAGTATTTATGGCGATAAAATGCGCGTCGTTTCATCCACCCGATTTGGTATATATTTTTAACGCGCGTTCATATTACGATTTTTATATTATTCTCGTACGTAAAATCGCCGTCGTATTTTATGGTATTGTGCGTGTGCACGGAATCGTTAAAAGTGAATTTCTACACGTTTTCGGGCTTTGACAACTCCGTCGTCTGGTTATTTTAATTCTCGGTATGTATACCCGGTAGGTAGGCTATACACCTATATATTATATATGGTATATCATAATAATGTGTGTCTGTACATACCGAACGCCTTTTTTTCCGCCCCTAATCTTCTATACGATTACAGGACAGACCGGTCCGGTAAACGCGGTTTGCCCGTAAGTATACTGCACTATAATACATAATGTGATACACAATAACAGTCTTATTAACGTCGTCGTCATCGTGACATTTTTTCCGTCCAACTTCCCGCGATAGAATGTATTACAATAACCACGCACATATTATATATTATGTAATACACAGCGCTCGAATTGAAAAAATAAATTAGTATTAAGGGATTATGTGACTTTACAAAACGAATGTCCCTAGCAATGATCGAACTCTATTAAATCCGTGGGGGGA